TAATTTAATATTAATAATTATAAAATTTCTTTACTTTAATAATTTTAAAGACTTATTTAATAAAGTATTATAATTTTTAAATATTATAAATATTTAAAATTAATAAAACTTTGCTTAAAAAGTAAATATTAACTTTTTTAAAAATCTTTTTAAAATAAGAATTATTATAAATAAGGTTTACTTAAATAATATTTAGCAAAGCTAAACCCTTAATTAATTATTATTCTTTAATATAAAATAAATAGTATTTAATAATAAGCTTATAAAGATAATATAAGAATATTTCTTAGGTATTAATTTTTACCTTAAGTTAAGAAAATTAGTTAAGTTAATAAATTTAATAAAATAATATTAAGCCTTTTTTATCCTTAATTTTTTTAATATAAAAGGAATGCTTTATAAATATAAAAAATTAAGAATTTAATATATTATAATTCTTATAATTTAATAGCTTTTTAACTTTTAAGATATTATATTTTTATTTAAAGAATCTTTATATTATAATTATACTTTACTTATAAAATATTAATAATATAAATTAATAAAGAATTATAAATTTATTATTATATTTATTTATATACTTAATTATTAAATAGTGGTAATTTTTAATAGGATAGAAAATTATTATTTATTATAAAATAATTTTGTATTAAGAGATAGGAATAGTAAGATAAATAAGGATGCTAAAGCGTTTATTTATAAATATTTAATGGCTGTCTTAAAAGATAAAATGCAAGATTTTAATAAAGAATTTATATTAAGATTAAAATAAATTAATAAAGTATTTTATAAATAATATATTATTAAGTTTATTAAAAATGACTTTAAAGAGAATTAAGGAAAGAATAAATAAAAGGTATAGGATTAAGCTAAGGCTTTTTTAATTAAAATTATATATTTTATAATGCTTAAAGCTATTGCTAATATTGCTACTTAAATATTTATTATTTAATTAAAGCTTAATGGAATTAATAAAGCTATTTAAATGCTTATATTAATTCCCTTTATTAGGATTAATAATATAAAAGTAATTAAAGTAAGAAATAGGCTTTTATTATAAAGGGAAATTATTTAATAACGGCTATTTAAATTACAATATATTAAGATTACTATTAATTGCAAGAAAGGCATAAGGGAAATAATACTTTTAATATAAATTAATTTAATAACTTAATTTTAAATATTTAATATATAATAAGGTATAAACTTTTATATAACTTAAAATTTATTAAGCTAAACTTTAATTAAATAAGCCTTTAACCTAAGTATTGCATTATAAAATATTTTAAAGTTAGTAAGGAATGCTTATCTTAGCATATATAAGGATTTTTTTTACTTATTTATCCTAATAATAAATATAAATAGAATTTAAAGCGCGCTAGCTAACTTAAAATAATTAAAGCAGTAATAAAGTTTACTTAAAAATAATTTAAAAAGCTTATAAATAAGTTAGCTTAATAATTAAATATAGGGTATGGAATTTAAAAGTAAAAGTTTTATAAGAAATAAGAGCGGAAGTTAATAAAGCTAATGCATTATATTTAATATAATAATTAAAAGGAAAAATAAATTTACTTTCCATTTTATAAAGGTATTTAAATCTTTAATAGCTATGCTAATATTAATTATTAAATTAAACTTTAATAGCTAAAAAGATATAATTAGCAAATATACTATTAAGTAAGTTTTTAAAATATTTAAAGCTTTTGCAAAAAAGCAAAAGCTAAAATAAGATAAGCAAGCAAGAAATTAAAAATAATAATAATAATTAAGATTATAGTAAGGTAAATTTTAAAACTTAAAAGTTTAATTAAAAGTAGCAAGATTTTATTTTAATAATCTTTATAATACTTATTATAAAGTATTTAAAGAAAGGTATATTAGTAAGTATAAGGAAATATATAAAAAATGGTATTGCATTAAATTCCAGCTAGCTATAAAAAGCTAGCTTTTATGCTTATTTTAAACATTTTTAAAGAAATTAACTCTTTTCTTTTCTTATATATTTAATGCTTTAATTAAGCCTTTCTTATTTTTAAGAATTTTTAAAATACTTGCCTTTTCCCTTCTTTAGCTCCCTTCTATTCTTATCTTCCCTTTTTATTATATTAAAGCTCCTCCTTAAGTTATCCTTAAAAGGGTTTAGCAGAACCTATCTCCCATTTATTTAAGTGGCTCGTTTTTATTATATATATGCTTTAAAGGTAAATATAATGCAATATTTAATAGCTAAAGTAAATAAGATAAATGTAATAATATATTAATAGTAATAATTTTATTATCCTTATAATATTAATTAAATTTAATTAATATATAGCTTTTATAATTATTTATAATTAATATTTAATAATTAGCATTTTTTTTAGCTTAATATTCTTATTAAAGTATTAAATTTATTTTAAATTAATTTTATTATTTATTTATTTATTAAAAGTAAGCTTAATAACTTAATTATTTAAAAAACTTAACTTTATTACTTAGCTAATAAAGTAATAAGCGCCTTAAATAATTATAAATAATAAGATTCATAACTTATTTATATTAATGCATTTAATAATAATTACTTATTTTTAATTATTAAGCTAAATTAATTTAGCCTTTTTATGCTTATTAATATATATAATAATTATTAATAAGGTAATTATGCTTATTATAAAGCTAGTTTTATTAAAATTATAAAGATTATTATTAATAATTTAATACTTAGCTATTATATTATAAAGAAGCTTAAATTAGTTTTTAATAATCTTTAAATCTTTGCAAAGAGCTCTTTAATAGTTATAGGGATGGTTAAATTTAGTTTTTAAGCTAAGTTATAAATTTATAAAGCATTAAGCTTAATGCTTATTTATAAGCTTGCTATCTTAAGATATTAATAAAAGGTTAGCTATATCTTTTATATTAAAAAGTTATAAAGAAAATTCTTAGGCATTTTAGTTAATAATATATTGGATAAGCATTTATTCTTTAATTAAGTTAAGTTTATATTATTTAATGCGTAAGTTTTTAAGATTGTATTATTGGTTTATTTTACGGTATAAAGTTATTTTGGGGATATTAAAGATTTTAATAGCTTAAGCTATAGGTAAGGGTTTAATGCGATTTTTTTAAAGTATTAAATAGCTTAAATAATTAAAAGTATTTTATTTTTTTTAAATAAAGGATATATATTTTTATTGTTAATTTCTTATGCATTAAATATTTAAGTAGGTGGATTAGTATAGGATTAATGTAAAAATTAAGGATGTAATTAATATTAAAAACAGCTTATCTTATTAAAACCTTAATAATTTTTAATTATATTGCATTACCTTTAACCCCTTTAAATTAATGAAATTAATTAAAAATAAGAAATTAAATATAGTTAATATTAATTAATATTAACTTTTTATTAATTTATTTGCTTTAATATAGTATTATAATTAATAAAAGTTAGGTAAAGTTGGAAAAATTTGCTACTTGGTAATATTCGCCACTTGGTAGTAAACTACGTTATAAGATATATTAATATTTAATTTTAAAGATAAATTTAAAATTTTAAAAGGGAAGTATTTTTAAGTAAATTTAGGTATAATTACTCTTTATTTATAATAATTTTAATATAATTCTTAAATTTATATTACTTTTTACTATCCCTTTAAATTTAACTTTAACTTAAGTTATTTTTAATCTTAATTTAAATATACCTTATACCTTTAATACTTTCTTTTCTTTCCTTAAATTTATATTAAAAGAATTAAAAAAAAAGCAGCTTTCTTTTAATATAAGTAATTATTAAATTAAAGCTATATTAAGAAACTTAAATAAAGTGCGATTAAAAAAGGGTGTGATATATGTTATGCAGCTTATTAGCGCCAAAACGATACGATTGATTGCATATGAGAGTAGCGAATGTTCAGCTAAGCCGCCACGCAGATCTTCGCAGTCAGCGAAGTGGCAGAGGTGACACAACGTATTTGTTTGTATGCACGTGCACCACACCTGCACAGCACTAATAACTGAAGCGGTAGCTTAAATCATGATTTCGGTTGGCATTCATCCCAGTCACGGAATGACGGGACTGAATCTTACTGCGGCGTTTTCAGGTGACTATTTCACATGAACGCAAGACTCCGGACAAATAAGAAATGGCCCTGCCTAGCAGGAACTTTCCGGTGGCTTCAATCTCTCGTCGACTATTGGACGCTGGAGCTCGGCTGCGTCTGGGCACGATATTCAAAGCCTGCCAGTAAAATCTTGCAAAAATGATTGCCAGCTGATAATCTCAGCAACAGGCTCACTTTACCGTCCCGAACTTCGGGCTAGTATCCGGGAGAAAATGTCTGACTATTGCATATTCACAATGGTCTTGACCCGTGACGCGGAGCGGGACAGCAACAGAGATGGTCCACTCGTACCAACAAGTCCCAGTTCCATCTCTACCTGGTGATCCGAAAAGTCTCGGTCCTCGAAAGAGAACAGGCATGGGCTCGTAGACTGCCAGTCCTCTGTGCATAATTTGGACAGCGCTGGCTTTTTAGACACGCTTGGCGGTATGAAGTAATTCTGAGTGGCCATTAACACAGAAAGGGAGATGCAACAACGCCCCAAGTACATTATGACTAGGTCATTTCAGTGCCTTTTGAATTTGTCCCTGAGGGCTTCCTGGGCGTGAGGTTTGACAAGACGGACGGTAAGGGTACTTAATTATCACCGAAGCGTCATTAGGTGATACACGTGGCCACAAAAGTCACGAGGACGCATGTTTTGACTTGCATATCGACCAATCTGTACGTCCCCGGGTTCTTGAACAAGGTAATCGGGCCTGTGAGGCTCCAAGAAGCTCTGTGCGAGGCACCTGACATGCGGGACCTTAAACTATTACATGATGATATGACAGCAGCACGAGTTGAGAATTACAAGCAAAGACCCTTACAAGAGATACCCGTCGATATTTTATGCCCCTTTAACGCCTCCAAGTAGGCTAGGCCATGGCGATCCAGTGATACATACGCCATTCCTCAGCTTGGCCAATTAGGCCACGGCGTAGTCCACATCTGAGGGAACCCCATGTCCAGATTCGCCGACAGCGCCGCATCGACCGTGTTCAGGTCGAAGCCAGGATCAAAGTGCCCAAATATGTCGACATCCAGCATGTCGCCCAGGGCCGTAGCAGGCAGGGCTTGCGACGTACCCGGCTGCTGCTGCTGAGCCACCACAGCGCCCGGACCGGGTCGCGGCCAGCGGCGCGCGGGAGAAGGCCTCCCCGGGCCGCCCTGCTGCAGGTTCGGGGTGGGGAGCTGCTGCAATGGGCTCTGGCCCGCCGTGATCGGCCTCGGCGTGGCGGCGACGCTGCTCCCTGCCTGCTGCCGGTCGGCCTCCCTGACGTAGACGTTCCTCCTGCTGCCGAGCGTCACCTCGGCCGGCAGCGCCCTGCGGCTGCTCACTGGCCTCTGCGCGTCTGTCGGGGTGCTGGGCGTCGTGGTGGTGGTGGCGGTGGCGTTCGCGGCTGCTGCTGCCGCCGCGGCACCCGAGCTGACGAGCCCCTTGGCCGTCTTGTCCATCTCCTGCAGGATGGCCTCGCCCAGCCCGGCGTTGACGCGGGCGCACGTGAAGCTATCGCCCAGCTTCCGGAGCAGGGCCACGACCTCCTTGAACCTGGTCTTGCCCCGGAGCCGGTACAGCGGGATCTTGGAGTAGCGCATCTTGCGATAGGAGACTGAGAGCGAGAGGGCGAGGGCGTATGGCACGAACGGCACGACTGTGATCCGGTCTGGTGATGTTGGGAAGGACAGGGCGAAGGACACCGCGTCGACTATGCGGTCTGCGGACAGTGAGCGGCGAGCGTTGATGTTTGGGTGTGGTAGGTGGGCTTGGTCTGGGGCTGACGGGGCGAAGGCGCTGGATGGTTGTCGGCATGAGAGGACGGAAATTGCGTGGTAGAATATTTCTACGCTGGCTGTTTACCAAAATTGGCCCGGTGTCAGTACTGATGTGGTACGGTATTTCTACAATGAGGAGTCTTTTGGTGGCCTTGGTGGGCATTCCTACTGCTCTGGAGCGGAAAACATGACCTACAGTGAATCCATGGCGCGGCTTTATCTGCCCCGGCATCCATGATCATGCTTTCGAAGACTGGCAGCACGACCGTCTCGTCGCCCTTGCTGCGAGGCCGATACAGGCAGATGACCTTGTCCAGCATAACGCAAACACTCAAAAGCAGCCTGAACCCCGGTTGTTCCTGGGCGGCAATGCACTCGTCCAGGTCACGGTCCGTGTCTCGGTCATGCAGCAGGCACGGCCGGCCGTGGAAGGCCGCGTTCATCCTGTCAAGGGCCCAGAGGGCGCAGTACAGGGTCTCTGCCTCCTTGCTTCGCTCGTCTTGGGCGCCGGACCCCACCAGGTGGATGCCGATGCTGACGGCGTAGTGCATGGCCTGGCTGAAGATGAGCGAGGGCATGTCAAGCTCTGACGCACGCGCCGGCTGGTAAAAGAACAGGAGGAAGAGGGCTCGGATGTGGTCTGTTCTGTCGGCAAGGACCTGTTCGTCCAAGAACGAGAGTGCGGACCTGGCAAGTGGCCTTTGATATTCTGGAAATGGGAGGACTGGACCGCCGGGCTCGAGCCGCAGGTATTTTGATGCAGATGGCTCGACGCATGTTGCGATAGAGATAACCTTGGAGACGTTATTAGCACAATACGTCCCTCGGAGGAGATCAAGTCATCGGGGCTCCACGGCATCAAGGCAGGGAAGACGCTCAGCACAACGAGATGAATCAGCGTGTTCAGTGTACAAGGTTATTGTGTCCTGGAATTGATGTCCTTTATCTGGTGCTTGTGGAGGGGGCCCTTGCAGCCAGCAAACACTTTTCAGGGCGTCACAAACCTGTCTGAAAATAATGTCCTTCACGCATCTTGGTCTGCGTGTCGCATGTACGTCGGCCACCTTGATTATAGGCCACATAAGCTGGAATCGGCCCAGATAAATTGCACAGATGTGTTCGTAATCCTCGTCAGGCGGGTACACGGTTGGACCATTCGGTGGCTTCGGGATTTCGGCTACATCGCTGTTGGAACGATTAGCTTGGGCACATTCGTAAAATTAGATCAAACAGGCGCCTCCACTCTACACGGCTACAGAAAGGTTGCTAGCCTAGCGAACCTTGCTACGAAGTAGCATCAAGGTATTTAGATGACTATTTCAAGCGGTAGACTCTCTGCCAAACCCAAGGTGATTCAAATACAGAGGTGGCATTTGAAGATAACAGAGAAGAAAGTGGGGAGTTTTATGGAATGATAGAAACCATGAATGCAGTGCTGCCGACGCCAGCCTTCCACTTTTCACTACCCTATGGGGAAAGGGGAAACAAAATGACTCAATGAAATGAAAATCCGGTGGTACGTACCTGGATTGCGGGCCATCGACCTGGTGCTCCGGGTTGCCAGTCGAAGCCACCCTCCCCGACAGGGTGCGAAGAGACATCGGGCCATCGTCGGCAGCACGATTCGAGCCCGCGGGCTCGTGGCCCTGCATCGAGGCCGCCGACTGCTCCCGCCTGGCAGCATCTCTCTGTTCGTCGTCCGACCGCCGTGCCGGCAGCCACGTGCCGATGTCAGACGGGTTGCGGCGGGACGGGTCCCTGGCGATCTTGCTCGCGGCCTCGATGAAGATGCTCTCCGGGCTCAGGTCCCCGACGAACCGGGAGGCCGACAGCTCGATGAGCTGGGAGGCGACCTCGCGGGCCGAGGACGCCCCCGAGTTCGAGTTGTTCTGCTCTGGCGACTCGGGGGAGTTGGGGAGGGTCCCCGGGCGGTTTGACGAGCCCCCCGAGCCCTCGGGCTGCTGCGGGTCGGGCCTGAGGTGGGCATAGATGCTTTTCTGGTGGGACGCGTCGGCGAAGAAGCGCGGGCCCGGGGTGTCTGGTACGTGAGAGCAGCGTTTCTAGCACCGCATGTTGATTAGCATTGCCGTTGACACAATGCAGAGTCCCATGTGCTCTTGTGCAGGCCGTCCATGATGGTTGTATTCAGGAGGAGGGCAGATCGCCTGCAGTGGCATGACAGGGCGGCATATTCGATGTGCATCCACGTCTCACCTTTCTTTTCCGACATGGTTCGCAGGCTTGCTGCACCTGACGCCGTTTCACAGGCATGCCATCTTGGTCCGAGGCGACGAACTTGACGGGTCGTTTCTGTGGGGGCTCAGCCATGGCTGGGAAGGGAGGATCCGAGTCGGAGTAGTCGAATTCGGCGGATGGGCAGGGTAGCCCTCAGGGCCTGTTGGTCGGTTCGGAGTGTGCCCGAAGGGACTGAGGCGGGCGAGAGCTGCGGGATTTGCAGGGCGGCTTTTCCTGAACAGGGCGTTCCGAACGTTGACCGAGCGCTCCCGGGCACGTCTCGCTGTGACCTTGGACTTGAGACAGGTGTCGGGACGATGGACGACAGAAGGCTGGCACCCGTTCAAAGCTGCTTTTCCCGTCGTGTCTGGGCCCTGCGGATGGCCCTGCGGCGGTGAGGTGTCACGAAGGGCATGAGGTCGGACCATGTCCTGTTCCAGAAGTCCCGCTGTGGGTCTCTCATCTCAAAGTTCTGTTCTTTTTTGGCAAATAGCTGGACTCCACACACACGGTCCCCTCCACTTCCCCGCGCCCGACGCGAGAGCGGGTGAGATACCACTCAAGTAAAATGGGGCCTGGGGTATTGTTTATCCCAGTTCACAGACCGAATATTGGCACAGGCTTCTTCTGTAGTATAATAACGTGCCCCGGTTTCCTGTTACTTCACGGCCGTTGCCATTAAGCGAGACGGTGCGTGCCAGATGTGCATCAGCCTTGATCCGCTTAAGCACCGTCCATCTGCCTGCACCTGCCTCAGCAGGGTTTCAAAAAAAGACGACATCTAAGACGTTGATTGAATTAACCATCCATGTGTTCCTGACCATGGACCAGTAGAATGAAAGTCCAAGTAAGTTCCCCGCGGTGTTTCTCAAAGGGGCAAAACCGACAAGATTCATGAAATGCGCCATCTTTATAATCCCCTCAGATCCGCGGCCTGATTGGAAATACCGGCGACGTGAATTCTCCCGGCACATTTTTCTTCGAATGTAATTAAGAATCCTCCTCCTCCGTGGTCACTGCCACCTATTCCCCAGTATGCTTCAGTCAGCAGTCAAGCGGGCCGGCCGGCCGTTGGCAGTCGCTGCCTCCCAGAGGCGTGGCGTCCAAATGGCAGCCGTGGCGACTGCGAGTCAGGATAAGCGAGAGGGCGACATATCAGACTCATTTGCTTCCTTGGCCGGCATCAAGGACGAACCGCTGCCAGATCAGTTCCGCCAGCTCAAGCTGTCATTGGTCGAGGGGCGGGAAGACAAGATCAAGGCCAGTTGGCACAGACTGCTCCAGAGACTGGAGATCGAGAACGATGTAATTGCCGGGTTGGGCTCAAGAGTGATCCCAGAGGTCCGCTTTGACAATCTTGAAGAGGACCTCGCCGGAAACAGGGATGCGATCAAGAAGCGCGGTGCCGCGGTCGTCAGGGGGGTCATACCGGAAGATGAAGCACGCCAGTACAAATTCGACCTTGAAGAGTATATCCGCAAGAACCCACAGACAAAAGGTAAGTCTTGTTTCCACTTGATGGACTAAGCAACACCAGGAAGAGATGCTTCCACTTACACTACCACCAGGCTTCCCACGAAACGACCCACAAGTCTGGGAGCTGTACTGGTCAGCACCACAGCTGCACGCCCGCACAAACCCCAACTTCATGAAGGTGCAAAAGGCCCTGATGCAGTCGACATGGTCCCTCTCCGACCCAAACTCGCTCATCTCCATCTCCCAGCCCTTATCCTACGCCGACCGCCTCCGCATCCGCCAGCCCGGCGACGCGGCCTTCGCCCTGGGCCCGCACATGGACGGCGGCAGCGTGGAGCGGTGGATGGGCGAGGGCTACGGGAGGGGCGGGGTCTACGACGCCGTGTTCGAGGGCGACTGGGACACGCGGTACGACCCCTGGGACGGCAGCACGCGCGTCAAGGCGGCCAGCGACCTGTACAACGGCCTTGGCGCGTGCAGCGTGTTCCGGATGTACCAGGGGTGGCTGAGCATGAGCAGCGTCGGCGCCAGGGAGGGCGCGGTGCTGTTCAACCCACTGCTGAGGCTCGCGACGGCCTACACGCTGCTCAGGCCCTTCTTCAGGCCGCGGAGGACGGTCGACCTCGAGGTCGCGAGGGGGGGAAGCGCCGAGAGGCTGGCGTTCCTGGCGCCTGAGAACTGGGAGTTCACGGCGGGCGACCAGATGACGAGCGAGATACCTGGTGCCACCCCGGGGTATGGAATGGAGTTTCCCAAGTTGGCTATGCACCCGCATCTGGAGCTGGACCGCACGATGGTGCATGCTCCGCCGGTGAACCCTGGTGACTTTGTTGTTTGGCATTGCGATAGTAGGTTCCATCCTTTTCCTCATGATCAGTTAGCTAACTTCCTGTGACCGTTCTGTCTCAAACCGAGCTTGTCCTGACCACTCGCAGCCATCCACGCCGTGGACTTTGAGCACAAGGGCAAGGGCGACTCCAGCGTTCTGTATATCCCCGTCTGCCCAATCACCGAGACCAACGCCAAGTACGTCAGCAAAGCGCGAGACGCCTGGCGTCGTGGAACTCCTGGGCCTGATTTCCCTGGCGGCAAAGGCGAGTCAGAACACGTCGACAGACCAACCGAGGACTTCTTGAGGTCAATTGCCAACACCGATGGTCTGGCGTCGGTGGGACTTGAGCCTCTCCCAGAACCTGTTGATGGCAGCAAAGGAGAAAAGGAGGTTGTACGCAGGGCAAATCGCACGCTGGGGTTCCAATGAAGCAATTTGCAAGTCGGTTTAGTAACCTGGAACACGGCTCGTAACTCATTGATCTTGCCTGTACAGCCGAATACGCACCACAATATAATCACCAGAAATCATATTCGAGTCACCTTCATGCACGCTTGGCCAAGTCTTATCAGCGGGGTGATTAATCTCGTGCCGTGAGGCCACGGATTAAAATTTAGCACTATATGGCCGAGTAAATATAAGTCCTGGGGTACCAGCTCCCAGAATCTCTGTCTTCCTGTGGCTCAAACCAGGGTGGAGGGTGGGGGTATACTCGCTTGTACATAGCAATACATCTCAGGCATCCTCGTCCGGCCGAGTGGTAGAAGGCCCGGGGCCTGCGCCCTCTCCAGTCCCCGCCGACCTAGACCCATGCCTCGCGCCGATGATGGACAGCCCGAAGCCGTCCCTCGGGGCGGCCGCCGTGTACGGCTCGCTCGCCGCCTCGGACCACGAGAACCCGGCGTCTGACGATGACCCTGTAGACTCAGCCCCATCCCAGGACGACGGAGCGCGGAGGGAGGACCGCCGGCTGCCGCTGGTGCTGGCCCTCAGCCCTCGCTGTCCTTGGACCGCCGCGACTTCTTGGAAAACCTGCTCGCCACGCTCGCCCGGCTCGCCTTGCTGGCCTTGCTCCGGCTGCTGCCGGCCTTGCTCGCGCGGTGGCTCCGCCTCGACCCCTTGCGCGCCGCCGCCATGGCCGCCACCCTCTCCAGCCTGCCGGCCCAGCTGCGCTTCTTGAATGCCGCCCTCGGGTTTGTCGTCGCTGTCGTCGTCGTCTCCTCCGCCGACCCGTCTTCCATTTCTGTCGATGGTGATGAGCTTGCCGCTTCCGCTCCTGCCGACCCTTGCGGGCTCGCCGACCCACCAGATATCGTCGCCTCCTGCTCCTGCTGTAGCGCCGGCGTCTCGGCTGACCCTCTTCTCCCCGCTGTCGGAATCACAACTGTCAACCGGTGAGGCCTCTTGGCTGGTGGCCAGCGGGGCCAGTTGCTCACCTTCCACCACGATCGGCGTCCTTGGCGTAGCCAGCGGCGTCTCCGAGTAGGTCACGTACGACGCGTGCTCATGCCCGTCCCTCAGTTCCTGTCCTTGCTGCTGCTGGAAGTACTCCCGGCTCTGCGCGCGTCCCGCTGGCGGCCCGGCCATATACTCGGGCGCAAGGGCAGCGACGGCGACGGCCTGCTCTGGCGCAGGCCTCAGCGCTGTGGGGTCGGCATTGGATGCCGTCGGGGGCCACGCGCCGTACTCGGGCATGCTGCTGTCCTCGCCCGTACTTACTCCGGACCCACGCGGGTGGTGGTGCAGCCCCGACGAGTACCGCGCCGTCAGGGCGTGGGGCGGCGGCGGCGGGGGCTGCATGTCGTCCGGGACGGGGTCGAGCCCCTGCGCGAAGGTGACGCTGGGCCGCCAGGTGCGCCACGAGTCGGGACGCGAAGGGCAGGCCGCCGCCGCTCCTGGGAAGACGGGGTTCTGCGACAGGCCACGGGGCGGGTCCGCCATCGCCATCTGCGGCGGTGGCGCTTTCGCGTCGCGGGGGCTCGTGGCGGTGTAGGCCATCGACTCGGCCTCGGACACGAGCGACTTGTGCATGTCGCCTCCACCGCCTCCTCTCCCGGACCGCCGGCCTGTCGAGTCGAGGCCCCGGGACCCGCTGTTGACGAGGGTGTTGTTGGTGAAGCGCCTCGTCACCGGGGTCAGCAGGCGCTGCCGCGTGCGGCGGGAGCAGAGGCAGACTGCCCCCAGGATTATGAAGAAGGAGAGGATCCCGACTGTGTCACGGTCAGCCAGCTCCCCCTACACCAGGAGAAGAGAAACCAGGCCAAGGGCCGGAAGCTGTGTGCGTACCCACGATGCCCGCTATTCCCGGGGGCGATGGCCGGGGCCCGGGACGCAGCTGCTGAGGTGGTGGTGCTGGATGGTGCGGCTTGGTACGGGGTGGTTGCCACGAGAGGGGTGGTCGTCGAGACAGCCGTGGAGAGGCTTGTCTGTAATGTCGGCAGGGGAGATGTGATCATGGAGGATGTCAGGGTCACGGTCATCTGCAGGCTACCGACCGGGAAGGTCCAGGTATCTATCTGTGTACTCACGATGGTCGTCACTTGGGTTGATACCTCAGTTGAGGTCTGTGCCGTTGTGATGACGGTTGTCTGTGTCTGGATACTGGTCTGTGTCGTCTGTACCGAGGTCACCGCCGTCGAGGTCGTGAGACTGCTCGAGCTACTGCTCGGCCTCGGCGCATCCGGCGGCGGCGGTGGCGGCGCCGGGGGAGGTGGTGCAACTGTTGATGGAGGGTTTAGCGGCGGCACGATCGTCTCTGCGGGATTGCCAGCATCAAGGACAATAGAGCTCGACGGAGCAGCCGCAGTCGGCAAAGGCTCAGCAGCTACTGGGGGCGCCGGGGGGGTCAGAGGGAGCAGCTTTCCCCTTGCCCACACCGTCGTTGCCTTTGCCTTTGCCATCTTCCAAACCATTGTCATTCCTCCTGCCTATCCTGAACGGAACAAATATATCGATCACTCACCTCCTTTGCCATTTCCCCCCTTGCCTTTTCCCTGACGCCGTACCAACGGAGGCTCTACGCTGTCCCTCACGACCGCCTTCGCTGCCTGTTTTATTTCCTCCCTGACAGCGTTTGGCCTGTGGCGTCGCTTGTGAAAGCCACGGCCTCGCCGTAATGAGTCCACAGCCATCCTGACTGAAGATGGGCCCTCGTCCGCAGCCTATAGCTTGCCTGTGGTCACCGTTGGGTATTGGGCGCAGAGAACGACGGCGCAGCCATGTGAAAAAAAGTATGCAGCAACGCTGTCACCGTAAGTCCCGTAAAAGGTTTCGTTCGAGAGGAAGCTGATGATAATAGTCTGTGGCATTAGTCAAATATGAAGGAGAAGAAACGGCGTTTCATGCAGCAGCTGGAAAGTAGGTAAGTCTTTCCAAAAAAAGTGCTTGGTCTCGGGTATTATGCTGCCGAAAGAATTACTCAAGTCCGTTTTGTTTTGTCTCCTGCCAGGGAGATCGACGAGCTGCTGCAACAACCCAGGGCAACTTGTGCTTTATATCCTCCACGGGCTGCCCCTGCAAAACACCTCTTGGCCTAGAATTCCCCGCGGCACTTTGGGCTGACAGGAGACCGCCACAACCCGCACAGCCAAGTCTGGGCGAGACCATCTCGCAACCGAAACAGTAGGCCGAGGAAGGGGGGGGTTGGGACACGCCTGGCGTTCTCTGGCGCTGCCATCTGCTGCCTCGTGGTTCATCGACCTGTCAAGCCATGTGCTGCAGACTTGCAGTGCAGCATCGGGCCCCACCGCGAATATTGATGTTGGGCTGACAGCCCACGGCCCCGGTTGTGTCGACTTGGTGACAGCTAAGTTAGTTCTTCGGGAAATTCTCTATCCAGAGAAGATGAGACTCTACAGACGCTGCGGCGCTTTGTCTTGTCCGATAAAATCCAATAGCGATCCCACCTGATTGGGCCGGTCACCAGGCGTCGACATGGCCCAGAGACCTAGGACGGAAGACACGGACGGAGATCGGACCAGGCAAAACAAGCTTCTCCCTCAAACGGCCGAGCCCCGGTTCAGCCAAGGGGCCTAAGCGCCGTCTTGAAATCCCACTAACTTAAGCACTGCATGCAAGCAATCCCAAAAATGGGGTGCAGAAGTACCATCCCAGCAGAAAATCAGGAGAAATAAAACAGTTTGTGTTGATTGGAAAGTCAGTCATCAACGATATATCGTGGTCCTGCATGAACTGGCCGGTTTGGACACACCATGTAGACCTGCCCACAAGCATTGTCAGGGTGGCAAGACCCCACAGGCTCTAATCCATGACAGGCGCGACAGAGACCCCTATGCTGCAGAGTGCGGGATGTTCCGAGCCTTCAGGTAGCACTGGTCGCCGCGCTAGCTGGGATCTTGACGATGCCAATGGGAGTCAAGGAAAACGCTGACTAGCAGATGCCATTTTACTTCGAAAGGGGGGCTCATAGAATTACACATATCCTGAAAAGAAAATGGTACCCAAGACCTGCACCATAACGACATACGTGGGTAAGCCCAGAACTGCCCGCCTTCAGGGCTTACGTATATCAAAGGGGCGTGTACATGACATGTTCATCTGAGGTCGGCCCGTGATCGATCCCAGGTAAATGAGACAATATGGGAGATCGCCCCGAGCACTGGGTCTGACCTAAAAGATCCTGGTAAGTCGAGCGTATAGAGTTGCAGATCACTTTGAAAGATCGCCCGTCATTCAACGCCAAAATATGACAGAGAGGGTGGTTCCGAATAGGAGGAGTATCTGATATCATGCAACAAAAATGGTATTGTGTCGATGGGTCCCTCCCCACTTGCGGCTCTCTGGGCAGGGCTATAGGATCCGCAGACATACTTTGTCAGAAGGTGGAGACGAGTAATAAGTGGTCAGGGCCAAACCAAGTGGGCAGACATCTGGGACAGGAGGCGCAGTATAATGACTACGGGCCGGAGGGACCCAGCCCCGGCCGGCTTCCGGTTCTCCGGGGTCTAGAATAATGAGAGCAGTTGCGCTCCACAGGGCTGGGTGCGGTTTGGTTTCGCGTTTACCTCGCCCGTGGTCTAGCATGTTTGGTCTCTTAGTTCGGGCTGCGGGAGCTTGTCTGATTTGACATTTTGAAGCCCTGCGCAGCTACGTGGTTGTGACAGTGCTTGACATGTCAAAGTGGGTACAACATCAGCACAGCCAGACTTACCGTGTGTAAGAAAGCGGTTGGAGAAGACGCAAGGTCTTGTTGGTGCCACGGCGCAGCCACTTCCTACCGCATTTTGTTAGAGCGTGCGATGGGCCCGATGAGCCCATATCCAGGAGAGGTTTCGTTCAAAGCGAGGAGATATATTCTCCAGATACGTTGCACGTCATCACCACCATCGATCGCGAGGTGCTCGAAAACCTTGTTCCAGTGATCAAACCAGGGTGATTCAGGCCTCAACTGCCAAGATGACCAAGACATCCGAAGACACGTTACTAGTCCAAGGCATATTAATGATGCGAAAGACGGGAAGGATCGTCTGACAGCATGCACATCTACGTTTAGACGAGTTTTGGTCCTACCTGCCATTGTCCGATATGCCGAGTCATCCGTCCAAAGTCCAGTACCGAAACAGGGGTATCTCTTATTCACTTGCAGGCCATCTGTTGCCTCCAAATATTCCTCCTTGTGAAGAGCACTAACCAAAAGGCTTACTCTGCAGGGCAAGCAACCTACTGAGCACGCATACTCGGTACAATACCTGCAGGGAAAGGTGCAACTCCCTGAGAGTCTGCTACCCTCGGTATTGGTGGGATGATGACAGCTCAACGTTATTACTGAAGAACGCCACCCGAATATATGGTACTGAGTGGTTGAAACAGGTGCAGGTGTTCCGGGCGACTACTGGATAGGAGCGGCTGACCAAAAGTTGGACGTACTCGCAAAGAGGCCAAGAAGACGGGATTTCATACGCGAGTAGCTTCAACACAACCCCAGGTCTTGGGGTATTGGCATCCGAGAGAGGCGCCGAGAGGACCAGTCAGCCTTGGCAAGTTAATGGGCTGGAAAAGAAGCGTGAAAACCACATGCAAACACGCCTTATTCACACGAATCGGAGCTCCTGCGGCTGATGTTTGGAACACGGTTGAAAAGAACGAGAGCGGCAAGAGAGACAAGAAAAAAAGGGTGCAACCTTCATACGGTTGCATCGGTTCGGCTCCATGGCCGAAATGGAACAAGCGAAGAAGATGTGTGGAGGAGGGTCTGCAGTCTGGGTTTCGAGGGGAGACCCCGGCTGCGGCACCGTCATCAGCGGCCGGCGGGCCGGCGGCGGGATTGTGTCAGGGCGACCGGAGCGGTGACGCTGCGTCCCTCGCCCATGTTTTCAGGACATGCAGAGCCCCCCTCCCACCCCAACGCCGTAGCTCCTGATATGAACTGAACCGGTTCGTTGAAGCTAGAGAAACGAGGAGCTCGGTGGTGGTGTGCGTTCACTCATGTGGCGCAGCCTCCAGAGCAGGGCCGCCTCCAAAGCCCTGCGCAGATCTTGTGTGAGTGCCTGGTCACTGACCATCAGGCCTGTGGTGTTGCTGGTGTTGCGGGGAAGTCCGCGTCACAACCCGAATCAGTGGGCCCAGGCCCGTGGGTCTCGGTGGGCCACGCTAGGCCAGGACGGGGAGTAAGTCAATATTTTGATCACAACAAATGGGAGTCCCGCTCGACACGCGTTCATCTCGCTCGCTTGGTGAGGCAGCACAGCACGATCCAGATCCCAAATCAGCACACCCTGGCTATCCCAGGTATTTGAATGCTGCATCCCAGGATCAGGCCCGCGATCAGGCCCAGGATCCTCTCACTCCACACTCAACCCAGCCGAGCCCCGGATCACTGCACATTGTTATCGCCTGCTTTACTGTATCATCTATTTCTATCTGTACATGTATTTGCAGGGACGTATTTGTAACCACCCCACCTCTGAGTGAGGCCGTGAATAACGCGACTGAGCACCCTCACTCACCATGGCTGCCATGGTTGAAGACCTCCCCATTGCACTGCGGCGGACGCGTCGGAGCAGTGCAGTCTTGCACAGCCATCCTCAAGAAGCACAACGGCCAAAGTCCCCGACCGTTTCTACTCCGAGCCGCGGGGCCAAGAAGAGAGTCCGCTTCTCAGACCCAGGCCCCTCCTCTGACCATGATGCACACGTCGATGATGAACACCTCTCTGCCTCGACCGGTCTGACACCGCACATCCGTCGGACAACGCTCGAGCCTGGCTCCGGGACCAAGAGACGTCGTCACTCTGGTCCAGTCTCCCAAGACCGCCCAGTTGTGTTCGACTCTACCATCGATACGCGACATAGCGGCGAGGTGACCTTCCTCCCTCTGCGCCAAGTCCTGGACGGCCGTGTCAAGCGGAGGATCAGGCGCAACGGTCTCAGCGAGGAGATCAACATCATCACTGCCGAGAGGAGAAAAAAGGCACAGCAGACCAGCGAAGAAATAGCCGCCCTGAGGTCTGAAGTCGCTGCCAAGGACGCTGAGATCCGCCGTCTCTCTGGCGCCACAGCAGTCGGTCAAGAGGAAGACGAGGAGACCCAAGAGAGCATCGACGAGCTGAAGAGGCAGGTGTCCCAGCTCAGGCGGGTCCTCAAGAGCCCTGACTCGTCAAACGAGACCGAGGACACTATCGACTACAACACCACCCGCGTGGACTGGGCCATGCAGGTCCGAGACCCTTTCTCCAGCGAGTACTCGGATATGGAGCTTGACGCCGATGATGATGACGATGATGAGGACCACCACTTTGGTGACAAAACCATGGCTGAACTGGCCTGCAGCACGCCGTCCCGTCGGTCCTCCAACATAAGGAATTCGTTCCCCACCCCGCCGTCGACCAGTCCACATCTGGGGCCAATAACGCCGAGCAGGCGGCATCCCGTCACCCCTACGTCGCAGGCCGCTGTGCAGACCTCGTTCGCCGCCGCCGACAGGGAGGAGCTGGAGGACGAGCTCGCGTCGCTGCAGCTCGAGATCGCCAAGCTCACCGGCACGCTCGAGACGTACGAGTCCATGACGTCCCGCCTGTCCGAGAAGCTCTCCCCCTGGGCGCCCAAGGACGGCTCGGCCACAGCCCTGATCATGGACTCGCGCTCCCCGGCCGTCAGGGTCGAGGCGCAGCTCAACAACCTCCTGCAGGCCCTCTCGGACCGCACCGCCGCGCTCGAGGGGCTGGACGCGTCGCTGGGCGAGCTGGGTTTCCCCGGCGGCGACGCCTCCGAGGTCGTGCTGTCGCTGTCGTCGGCGTTCCGGACCGCGCGCCTCGAGCTTGAGTACCTCACGCCGGGGGAGATCGCCCTGCCCCTGACGGCCGCGGGCGCCGCGGTGCTGGACCTCCTCCTGACGCGGCTGCGGGAGCTGGCGAAGCGCACCCTCGAGTGCGAGGACGCCATCGACGAGTACCACGTGCTCGAGCTCTCGCTGCGCAAGCAGCTCGGTGCGCGGGCCGAGGCCATGGACGCCGCCAAGGCGGAGCGGGACGCGCTGGCGGGCGAGGCTGGGAAGAAGGATGCCCGCATCAGAGAGCTCGAGGTCGGGGTGCAGCGGCTCAAGGGCGCGGTCAAGTCGTACACGCGGGACGTGTCGGAGCTGGAGGGGCTCGTGCAGCGCCTCGAGGGCGACCTGGACACGGCCAACAAGGACCTGCGGGCGGCCAGGGAGCAGAACGAGGCCGACGCGGAGGAGCGGGCCGACGCGGCCAGGGAGAAGGACTTCGCCGCCGCGATGCTGGAGGAGAAGCTGGGCCTGGCGCTGGAGCAGACCTCGGAGCTCAAGGACCAGCTCGAGGAGCTGCGGGCGAGGCACAGGGAGGACGTGTTCTCCATGTCGCAGAGGCACGGCGTCGACCTGGTCATGCGGGACTCGAGGGTGTCGGAGCTGAGGCTCGAGGTCGACCGCGTCAACGAGGCCCTGCGCGAGGCCCACGAGACGGTGCAGAACCTGCGGGTTGAGAACGGCGCGCTGAGCGACCGCCTGGACTCGGAGAAGGCCAAGGCCAAGGCGGCCATCGACACCATGAAGAACGAGCTGGAGCGGGTTGTGCGGATGGGCCAGGACCTCATGGCTACGCCTAGGAAGAATCCCGGGCGAGGGTCACGCCCTCATTAGACGCGAGGGGGCCTTTTCTGATTATGGCCTCCCCTGTTTCATTTGTTATCACACTCATCATCGATGTCATTTACATGCAGCGCCCATGTCTTTGCTTTTCGGGGGTTGGCGTTGTGGGCTTGCTGTGAAGTTCTGCATTTAGAGACATATTGTCAATGCTAAGCCGTTGAGTTGTCAAAACTGTATCTGAGTGTCTGACCCTTGAATTCAAAGACGTCCTATGTACGGCGTCAGGATGATTGGGCTGTCATGGTCAGACTCACTCGGAAAGCCACGCATGGAAAATACGAGATTACGATATGCACCATCGGGGACGTCGCTGCTCGTCAAGGAGAGTCACCATGATAAGATTTATGAGAAATCGTGAGGGACGTATTTAAGGAGTGTCTCCGAGAAATATTGGCCTCAATAACGCCGTCGAGTATCCTTTCGATTTCGTGCATGAACTTCCGTAATTGACCAACGCATCACAGAGGGCAATCACTTCCGCAACTTTATGAACTTTGGCCCTGCTCTAATTGGCAGAGATCTCTGATCGGTCGATGAATAATCTGATCGGGGAAATAATTGTTTTAATTCGTGCTGAGTTTAAGCAAACGTTATGCCAAGGGTATAGCCGCAAACTAAACCTAGAATCCTAAGGATTAGGACAAGGCACACAGAAGAGGGGCTTTCACCTCCGGCCCTTCTTTTTCAAAGTCAGGCTCTGCTAGTTGGGCCAAGGTTGCCTTAGCTGATGAAAGAGGCGGCGCTACTAAACTACGCAAATCCGGGGCGGCCCCCATCCCCCAGGATCTCCGTCTCACTGCGGGGTGGGAGATTACGCGGTGAGCCAAGAGGCTCGCTCTCGGGGGCTGAGAAACTTGTTTAGACTGACCGCTGAGAAGCCTAACAGGCTTTGTGTGAGACGCGTGCAGATTGGGGCGTGTCTGCTGAATGTAGATCACTTGCCCCGGCGCACCCGAGACCACAAGCCTAAGCGGCGCTCGAAGCTGTCAGCCTGCGAGACATCTAAGAACAAAGAGCGAGGCTTCCTTTTATCCCGCATCTTGCCGAATGAGCGGCTTCATGTGTTTTGCACCGCCGCCGAAGAATCCTCCTGCATGCGTGCTGACGTCTTGGGGGAAGCCAGCTAGTATGCCTCGGGCACAATATATCCAAGTCACGGGGTGGTGGGACAAGAAATTGCCAACCCAGCTGTCTGCTCTCCGGACTGGAGTGGCTTGTGATGCTGAGCCTTGCCAATATCGCCCAGCGAATCCGCCGATGGATCTTGGCATGCTTCCGGTGGGGGGACCAATGGCCCAAGCATGTGGTTCTGTCGAGAATCTCATATAAGCCTTGATTATTCTCGGCAAGCAATCGAACGGATGAACTGATTTCTTGCCTCAACCTGGAGAATCTCCGGTCATTCTGTGTCATCCGATCCAAGTGATAATCAGAGAGTAAAGCTGGTTGCTATCACTTACGGATCCCAACTTGTACTCATTCGTTTGCAACCCAAGATGGCTTTCCTCAGAAGCGTAGTCCTCGTACAGGCCTTACTTCTGACCATCGAACGTACAGTAGCAAAGCCCATTCCCCTCATTACGAGGCAGACAATTGAAGACCAGTATGACTTCGTCATCTGCGGAGGTTCGTGCCGTACCAGATCCTTGAACGGATTACTCCGTGCCATTGCTTCCTCGGTACTGACTTCCGATCTTCTACAACAGGCGGAACAGCTGGGCTCGTCCTCGCCAACCGACTGACTGAGTCTGGGGGCCAACGAGTCCTTGTCCTGGAGGCTGGTCAAGAGCCAACCATTGTTGCTGCGTATTCAACCCCTGGAGGAAATCAGTTCCTAAAAGGCAGGTTCAAATCTTCCACAGGCCGGCCAATCATGACTGATTAAAATGACAGGGAGCACGATCGACTGGAACTTTGTCACTGTCCCGCAGATCGGGCTAGAAGGTCGGCAGCTGCAGTATCTTCGTAAGTGGACATCTCGCTGAGAAAGTGTAATTAGAAAAGCTAACGTGAGCACAGGTGGCAAGGCCGGTGGTGGATCTAGCTCCACTAACGGTCTGTATTACGCTCGAGGAAGTGCGAGCGTCTATGATGACTGGGTTACTTTGGGTAACCCAGGATGGGGCTGGGAGGATGTGTATCCCCTCTTTGTCAAGGTACGAATACTCAGCAACTCGTCTGACAAACTGCGTTATCAGTGGTACCTTGCTGTCACTGAAGATATGCGGCATCCTTACCATCTTCCTGCATTGAATATGCCTTTTGGATTCTCTGAATCCAAGTGCTAACATACATATCCAGAGCACTCACCTCAATGAGCCCGAGAATGCCGAATATGCCCAGGCCAACCGGTTTGACCAGACTTTCCAAACCTATGACGCCGAGGCTTATGGTGACGGGCCCCTTCAGCTTAGCTACCAAGGCTACGTAACCGATTCAAATGTCGGCTTCATGCGCGCCCTAGAGGCAGTAAACGTTCCGGTCGTGAACGAGCTCAACACTGGAAACGCCACGGGAGTCAAGCAGGGTTTGGGCACACTGGACAACAGGCTGCGCCGGAGTTCTAGCTTCGACAGCTTCTACAGACAGGCCCAAAATCGAACTAACTTGGATGTTCTTTTTAACGCTCCTGTGTCGGAACTGGTCTTGGATACGGATGGTGACACCCCGACCGCAACTGGTGTCGTCTTTGTGGACCAGAATACCGGCTTGATCCACCAAGTCAGTGCGTCCAAGGAAGTCATCCTGAGCATGGGTGCTTTTCATTCTCCTCAGCTGTTGATGCTCTCGGTAAGTGCATATCAAACCAAAGGCACTTTCACCAGTACTCCCAACTAATTCGTCGATTGGTCATAGGGTATCGGGCCACAGTCAGACACCGCTGGTCGTGAACGAGAACGTTGGGCGCAAGTAGGTCTTCACAGTTCGCCCTGGAGACTCCACACTAATCCCGTCCTAGTCTCAATGATCACAGCGTGTTCAGCATCATGGCCACTGCACGGCCCGAGTCTTCTACGACAGAAATGTCCGCGACCGTGGAGAATCTGCAGGAGGCCCAAACTCAATTCTTTTCAAACCTTTCCGGACCATATACGGCTCCGTCTGGTATTACGAATGGCTTTAAGAAATTTTCGGAAGAAGAGATCCAAGCGCTTAGTCTGACCGAGATTGTCACTCGCAACCTCGCGAATCAGAACCATATCGAGTACCTCTACGAGAGCGTGTGGTATCCTTGGATCCCAACGCCTTTCTATGCACCCCAGGACGGTGAATCTTACATTTCACTCACCGCCAGCTCGATGGTGCAACTGTCACGAGGGAATGTCAGTCTGCGGTCGAGTTCCATGTCTGACCCGCCAGTCATCAACCCCAATGTGAGTTTTGCAAATTCAATCTGAACTTGATGGGAATGCAGGGGCTAACTTGCACCTCAAGTACTATACCGAAGAGACCGGCACAGACCGGGCCGTCGCCATCGAGTCATTCCGAGACCTGCGCCGGATCCTGGCCCACCCGGAGCTGTCGCAGTACACCGTCGGGCCCAACAACGGCGAGGTGAGCCCGGGCGTCGAGAACGTCTCAGACGACGACGAGGACGCCATCTTCGAGTACGTCAAGGCCAACACGTTCCCGAACTGGCACGCATCTGGAACAGTGCAGATGCTGCCCCTCGAGGACGGGGGCGTGGTTGATTCGCGCCTGAGGGTCTACGGCGTGGACTCGTTGAGGGTCATCGACTGCAGTGTCATGCCGATTCTGCCGGATGTTAATATTCTTGCGGCTGTGTACATGGTTGCGGAGAAGGGGGCGGAGCTGATCAAGGAGGACTGGGCTGCTTGAAGTCAACTAGTCTTCACAAGTGCGAGAGGCCAATTAAAGGCCATCTGAAGCTCTCCAGGTGTAGAGTCGTCGGTAACTACGCGCTAACTTTGCTTAAATAGTCTCGAACGCAGTTCAAATGGAAAGAACTCGCAAGACTCTTCGGCACACAACCTGCAATTTCTGTGACAGGCTCAGGTGTAAGCATAGCACCGAAATCCCCAGGCAATGCAGCAATTAGTCCAGTCCCCTCCAGCCTGAAAGTTGAACATTAATATTAGGTACTATCTTAAAACGCAATGCATCACTCCTCAATCTCCTTGTAGACTGGAGGCTCCTTCGCCTTGCCTTTGGTATCCAACCTCCTTAATTTTTCCTCCTTTTCAAACTTCTTCAATGCCTTCTTCTTCTCACGCCTCTCCTTCATCACAACCTTGGCTGTATTCTTCAAAACCCGCCTCCTTGATGCAACAATGCCACCGTCGACCAAAATGTCCACCCCGGTAATGTAGCTTGCGCCTTCCGAGGCCAAGAACTTGATCACGGGGACAACTTCTTCCGGCCTCCCCATTCGTTCCATGGGACCCGACCCCACGAAGGTAGATATATTCGGGCGAGATGCATAGTGGAGAGTCATGTCCGTGTCAATCACCCCCGGCGACACGGTGACTATGCGAACACCCCCGGGGCCGGTCGCAGAGGGCTGAGCCAGATGCCGCGCCATCTTCCTGGCATAAAGCTGCATGCAGCGCTTAGACACCGAGTACGCGGTGTACGGCCACCGCTTGAGCGCCCACAGCGTCGGAGACCGCGCCCCCTTGAGGTGCCTCTTCACAGCGAGGTCCACCGCCGAGTTCTGCACCAGCTTGGCCCCCACCGAGGCGACGAGTATCACGACGCCGCCGGGCTGCTGCATCTCGGGCGCGAGCGCGTCGACCAGGAGCCGGGCGGCGGTGAAGTTGACGTCGAAGATGCGCCTGCCGTCCTTGACGGCCGGGGAGACGCCCGCGGCGTGGACGAGGGCTGATATCTTGCGCCCGCCGAGCGCGGCCTTGATCTGGGCGGGGAAGCCGGCGCGCGTGATGTCGCCCGTCACGGCTGTGATGGAGCGGGTGGACAGGAGGTTCCGGACGGAGTGCATCGCCGCGTCGACGGATTTGAGGTCGCATAGGATGAGGGAACGGCCTTCGAGGGCGAACTCTTGGGCCATGGCTCGTCCTAGGCTGCCGGCGGCCCCTGTTATTACGGCGACGGGCCTGTTGAAATCCGTGTCATTCATAGTGATTGAACTTGGTCAGTACGGTATTGGAAATCAAATATGTTTGACAAGGGAAGTCGCTCGTGAACAGCCTCCTCATAAAGGAGTGTTTATACAGACCAATTCGGGAGTAACTGACCTACCTGCCAGTCCTATTATCGCTTTTTTTATTACCACTGCGCACAACCTCACACAGGTGCAGTTGCTTGGAGCTTTACCATCAAGTGCACGATGTTGGTGTCGATCACAGCCGTCACACGTGCTAGCACTGCCTCTGCCGAGAGCCGTACGTAAGGAGACCGCGTCACGGCCTTGGCTTAGCAAGAACAGGCTCAGCTGAAAACGCTCAGAATTGACCAATCATTGGACTTTGGGTTTTCAACATGAAACTGTGTGCAGGAACGGTACCTGAATTTATGAGATACTAAGTTGTGTGTATGGCGGAGCCAGCTTCTCCATCACACCCTCCTGGCGCAGTCACCTGTCCGAGTCTCAGGCCGACAAGAGGTCTGTTCACTGAGGTTTCAATCAGCTGAAAATCCTTAATGCTGAATCATGGTTGCGATCTAAATCACAAGATTTGCCCGTAGTAGCGGTATCATGTCTCTGGATAGGCTCGATGCAATGGGGGAAGCGAAAAACATGCGGCGTTATACGGGGCTCAATCGTCGAAGAGAATTCGGTTGAAAAGCTCGGGAGAGTACAAGCAGGATATTACAAATCAATAAAGGCTCCAAAATGTAGAGACAATGAGATGATATGCTGTACATTAGCACACTCTATAGCAGCGAGTATGCAGATCTATATATTGTGTATCGATGGTGACAAAGGTCCTGGTCTGATACGCTGCTCAAATTGACCTCTCATCGAAACCAACGGATAAGTTTCCACGGTGTGGCTGTTAATTCCATTTATCAAGCACTGTGTATACCCTTACTCTACCCCACAACTTCAAGTATATGCTCGAATAGTTCATCTGTATCAGGTCCGACAGGGTTGGCCAAGTTCAGAGCCTCCGAAGCGTCAACCGGGGGATATATCAACTGCCTATTGATGTACTCCTTGACCTTTTTGGCCCGATCTCCCGTAAGGCTCACTTTTCTCTCCCATCCCCGTCCAATCACCGCACCGCACGGGCCAAGGTCAAGACAGCAGGCATAGGCGGGCTGTGAGTACTCCACCGTCGGTTCGCCGAGAAGATCTGCCGCCGCATTGTAGCCAGAAACACGGCCAAGCTGTAGAGCATGCTGGCACGACATCAGGGCATGGTGACCTTTGTCGTCTGCGAGAGCGTGGACGGCGTCTCCGGTAGCGTAGATGTGCTCTGTTGACAAGGCGCGAAGAAACTGGTCGACGTGAAGGCGGGAGAAAGAGTCCTTGGGTCCATCGATCTGCTGAGTCAAGGATGTTGCCACCACGCCTGCCGTCCAGATAGTAGTCTTGGTTTCGATACGCTCGCCGGTTGCAAGGGTTAAGCCTTCGGCATCGACAGATGATACCGCCGTTCCGGTCCTGACCTCTACCTGTAAATCCTTCATGGCTTGAGTGATGACTGGTCGAGGCCCTGGTCCAAGCCCCGGACCGATCTCATCTGCGCTCTCAACCATGATGACGCGAGGGTTGGCTATAAGTCCAAGGACACGCTTAGGCAATTCGGCCGCGAGCTCGATGCCGGTGAAGCCTGCCCCACAGACCACGATTGTGTTGCGAGCAGGGCTCTCTGGCAGTGACGAGAGTCGGTTGAGGTGCTCCTCGAGTCTGGTGGCCGAGTCAAAAGAATCGATGTCGAATGCGAACTCACGGAGCCCGGCGGCACCCTGAGGCTGCCTGACCGAACTGCCAGCTGCTAGAATGAGGCGGTCATAGCTGATAGACGTCGTTGGTTCGACGCTCGATGTAGGCTGGGCGTGAACAGTGTGCGCCTTGGTGTCAATGATGTCGACTTTCCCCTGGAAGAACTCGATGCCTGCAGAATCGAGGAGTTCAGCGAGATGGTGCTTCATGCCGGCAGCGTTGGCTTCATATAGTCTCGGACGGAGGACCAAAGACGGCTCGGGAGCGATGACCAGGACTTCGATCCTGTCCTGCTGATTCCTGAGGTTGATCAGGCGCTTGGCTGAAAGAGCGCTCCATAGACCGGCAAAGCCAGCGCCAATGATAACAATTCGGCTCGACATCTTCTGGACGGCTTGAATTAGAATGCAGCTTGGTCGAATATACTGTTCTTGGTTTCGAGAGTTGCTTGATTGAGTCCTAACCATGGAGGAGAGACACTGGATCCAGCCATATATTTGTTCATCCTTTTATTTTCGTACATGGTGGGCTCGGTGCTGTCATCACTAACCAAAAGGTTTGGTGATACCATCCACAGTCATCCACGTCCGGTTGTGGCGAACCGGGTTTCCAATGGGTTGCTTAGTACAAAAATATAGCCTTGGTGGATTTGTTAATAAGTGATGCGTGAAATACGTGCATGCACTATCAGCTTCCAACGCGGGTGTGGGCTCTGACTGGTACACCGGATACCCGCGAGACCGCATCGGATACCCGAATAGCCTATCCGGGCACGTTCCGGCCCTCTCTCTCTCTCTCTCACTCGCAAACCACGGACGAACCTCTATCCAAGCCATGTCCTATATCCAATCCGCATTTTGACCTAACGCCCATGAATACTACCGATACAGCAACATCACAAGCCCGCGGAGCAACGCGCTCATCTTTGGCGTGCCTTCCCTGTCGCTCACGCCATCTGAAGTGCGATGCGACAAGACCACAATGTAACCGATGCTTGGAGGTCGCAAGGCATTGTCAATATGCGCCATCACGCCGCGGTGGCCTGGATCGTGCGGCTCTAGCTGAGAGGCGTAGACGCCTGGCTTTGGCAGGCAGCACAACTGGCCCAGACTCCACGCGCATCCCGTCTTCCCAAACGACGGCCGCCATTGCGGCCGATCAGGAACCAACATCTCGGCTTGTTGAGTTGCCAGACCTGCCCGATGACTTCGACGTACTAGCTGGCAGCATCAGTGACAACGGAAACTCCGCCTCGGTGTCACCACCGAGACTTCGAATGCACGTCGAAGACATCGAGACAGATGCTCTTGTGACCTCGTACTACAGAAACTTCCACAAATTCCACCCGTTCCTTCTGCCTCGGAAAAGCTTGATACGGCGACACAAAGATGCGACAAACCGGCTTGACCTTATACCTCTCATTGCTACTATGCGTCTGGTTGGACACATATACGCCTCCCAAGAATTGCCACCCCAACTGAAGGACCATGCAGAGGCCTGCCTTAGTCAAACACCACCAAAGAGTCCCGTATTGGTTCAGTGCCGTCTACTGTATTCTATTGTGCTGTTCTGGCACAGCCATAAGACTGAAGCCAACCGCGAGATACGAGCTGCAGTGAAGCTCGCCATCGACCTGAAGATGTTCCGTCAAGAATTCGCGAGCGAACATGGTGCCGCAGATCCCGTGTTGATGGAGTGTTGGAGACGGACGTGGTGGATGTTATATATCGTTGACGCCTACTACGCAGGGACTCTGGGGACAATGAACTTTGCCGTCGTCGACGTCGACGCGACAGTGGACCTTCCGTGTGAGGAGCGGGAGTATGAGTTAGAAGTCAGTACTGCAATCCGTTTTGACTATGTTGCGCCTGACCACAGAGCTGATGTATTTCTAGCAAATTCCAGTTCCAAAAACTCTAGAAGACTTCGACTGTCGAGAATTTGCCGACGAAGGCACCTCATTCTCATCGTTCGCATACTTGATCAGCGCCCTCAGATGTGCAGCATTAGCAATATCCATTTCGCCAAAAATCGCGGCCAAGGAGGACTCGGCGGATATGATCCAGTCCGCCGACTCCATCATTGACGGATGGTCTCTGCTATTGCCCAAAGATCGCAAGCAGGTCATGACCAAATCCGGGGACATTGATGAGCTTATGTTCCAAGCGCACCTGCTTATTCATGTGTAAGAATGCCCTATGATCATGCATGCAATAGGTGCGGAAATCTAGACTGACAGTGTGTTCAGAGCTACAATCGGCCTGCACAGACCTTTGTCTGACCTCAAGTTCAACCCAGTAGAAGACGTCTCAAGCTGCGCCCGAGACCCACCCGTCGACAATCCCACACCGGACCTCATCAACGTACACACAGTACGCGTCCTGCGATCTGTGGAGGCGCAGATCCGTCTTCTCGCGTTGCCATCCCGACCGTTCCAGCACACTCCGTTCGTTACCTGCATGGTCAGCGAGGGGACACTGGCCTTGCTCTCAGCCTGTGCTTTCCAGCTGAGTGGAAAGGAACTGGCGATCGCCAGGGACCAGATTCGGTTGACAATTGGCTGTCTTAAAGACCTGGGAGAATTATGGCCGAGAACTGCGAGAAATGTGAAGGAGATACGGACCATTGCTCGTCATGTGCTGGGACTGGGTGGCTCAAGGGCCACTGGCAGTGGCAGCCCGGCTGGGTCGAGTAACGTGCCGAGTCTTTCGGGTGGTGAAAGTCGTGGTAGTCTAGGATCTGATGCTGAGGTTTCCAGTATTGATAACGGTGTTCTAGGCTCATTGGGCTCGATGGAAGATGTCTGTGGATGGTACAACCTGAGCGACCTGGGCCCGGAACTCGAGCAATGGATGGGCGATGGGTTGTGATTCGCCACACCGTTATTTGGAGTGCTTTAAAATATCTAACCTTCCAATAATCGCTTGTTCATCAATTTTACAATGAATAGACCCAGCGCATAATAATTGTGTAACGGAATGCTGCTGAACTTTGTGTTACAGTGCAGACGGAGACCAAATTGCTCGATACAAGGCAGCAACGTTGCCCTTTGGGAACCAACAACACACGAGTTCGAGTAAATGAGAAGAACTGTGGAGTTTTTGAAATTTCCTTACTGGCTGGCCCACAGAGTCCTATTAAGGGAGAAATTCCACTATATCTAGGCATCCATGTGCCCCAGGATGAGGCCACACCAACTGTATAAATAACCAAAGCCTTCTTGCTGCAGCCTAAACTTTCACCTTGCCTGTTAAAAGTAATTCATTTTCAATACTGATTTCGAATCATCTTTACCCATCCTTGAAATCCTATACTTACCCTACGCCACGGAAGCCTTCATTCTTGATTCCTTCTCCTTGTCAATCGGTAGGAAAGCAGAACTGCGCATAGGACCCTGAGGCGGAGTCCAATGTAAGAACATTTTGCAATCTTACAGCCAAACCTCGGAATACTCGAGTCTGAGGAAGAGAGATCAAATACAAACACTCTGAGCCACCTGCAACTTGGCGCCTAACAAAACGTGGCCAACGAGGAAGTCACCAGGAAGAACAGATCTTTCAAATCCGATTAACTAAGCGATAACCCCAATTCAAATCAGAAGACACGTTGAACCAAATCCGGAAAATGACGGCCAACCCGGTTCCTGCTGAAACGCATGACACAGTCCCTCTCGATCTTGGGGACTTCGTGGACTCTGACAATGAGGTTAATATTAAGGCTGAGTTAGAAGACACATTGCAATATTTCATCAGCTACTTCTATCCTATATATATCGGCGATCTTTTAAATCAACGCTATTAAGTTATCCACAAGCTCGGTTAAGGTGGTTTTTCCACTATATAGCTGGCGCATAATCTCGAAACCGGAAAAGATGTGGCACTCAAGGTCCTCGGTTCGGATGGGCATGCCAAGGAGTACAAGACACATCAGCATATCGCACAAAGGGTGCAGGATTGCTCCCGGCTTGTCTTATATCAGGATTAGTTTGTTCTCAGCAGGATGGATGTCAACGTTAAATATAAACATACTATCCTGGTTCTTCCATTACGGGGCCCAAGCCTCTTAACCTTCTATATTAAGATTAAGCAACCTCTTATTTATCGTATATTAGCTGCAAAATAGCTTTTGCAAGCTATTTCTAGTCTCCACAACGCAGATCTAGTGCACAGAGGTAAATCACCCCGCAACTACATATTCTATACTATGGCTTACCAACTTTTCTCTCAAAAGATATTATACTTCCCAACGTTATATGTAGTCTCAATATAAACTTCGGGAAAATATCCACGGCAGAAAAGTACGAGATTCTCAGCCGGCCCCTAAAGGCACGAACACTTAAAGAGGGCCACCAAGCAGTTAGCGAGTTAATCGCACCAGCCAAAATTCCGCTTAATATCTTAAGCTTAAATACCTACCTCTGCAATTTCGGCATTCTTATAAAGCCCAGTACCTTAGCGCCCAATAAGCTCCAATCGCCGGGAGGGTATTACCCCCCTAAGCTCTTCCATGATTTCAAACCCAGCTTCGCTAGTGACATGTAGAGCTATATGGTTGTATTCCTATATCTCTACACAGGGTACCCGGCATTTCCCGAAATGGGCTTTACGGGTAATGTCAACTCTATTGTTGAACGTATTGGAGTGCTCCCGTTGGAGTGGAAGGGTTGCTATATCAATAAAGAAACAGTTGAGGAATCATGGTATGGGGATGCCTCGCAATCGAAGGATATTTTCAGCGCGTTTCTGGATCAGCATAGACCTGATCTTAGTACGAAGGAACATGGACTTTCACTGTCGGTAATTGGGCAAGCTTTTCGGATAAAGCCTGAGGATCGCGTTAAGGCTTCTGATCTTTTAGGAAATAGGGATTTTGAAGATCTAATTAGTATCTATGGGGTGTAAGAGCTGTTAGTGATACAAGTAAAGGGCAACCGGAACTTATAGTGAAAGGATCATATGGAAGGTAGATCAGGTAGTCCTAGTTCAACTATCACAATAGGCTGCTATAAGTACATATGCAATCAACAAATTTAGGTTTAGAATGTGCTCAGACAAAGCTCACCACCACCTTGGGCCCGCGACTCCTCAGTCGGGCGTGTGCCCATGCTTGCTCTGCCTCATCGACGGGGAATGACCTCACTGCCAGCGCTTTGATAGAACCATCATCAAGCATCCCTGACAACTTAGCCAGCCTTTCAGAGCTTGGAGACACGATAAAGTGCTTGTACCGCACGCCAGGGAGGTTGGCAGATTCAGCAGCATCACCTCCCCCAAACGCCCAAGGCGGTGGCGGATCGCCGACCGTGATGATAGCGCCGTCATTTTTGACCGTCTCCCAGGTCTTAGTCAGAATGTCTCCGCCCACGGTATCGAAGACCAGATCTATGTCTTGTATCTGGTGCTCCCAGTCAGGGCTGTTGTAATCGAGCACCCCGCTCGCTCCGAGTCTCCTTCGGGTATCGTTGTGTCGGGATGAGGCCAGGGCAGTGACATGACAGCCATTGAGGTTTGTGGCAATCTGTACAGCCAAAGAGCCAACCGCCCCAGATGCTCCGGTTATGAGTACTCGCATGCCAGGCTTGGCGTTCCCGTGGTCGACAATTGCCTCGCATGCTGTCAGGAATGGGATTGGAAGTGCTGCAGCCTCCTCGTGAGACAAAGATGCCGGCTTCGCTGCGACTTCGTCAGCGAGACAAATGGCGTATTCAGCCTGGCCTTCTCCGCGGGCTGCTGCGATGAATGCAAAGACTTCTTGGCCGACTTCCAGTGGTCCATGGTAGTCGGGGCCGGTGGCGGACACAATACCCGACACCTCGTGGCCTGGGATCCGAGTCGCGGTGCTGTAAAGTTCGGGCCAGAGAACCTCGTCTCCGGTGATTCCGGCGGCGTAGACTTTGATGAGGATTTCATTGTTGCAAGGGGTGGGCTTTGTCACTGAGTGGTTGATAATGACTTTAGGGGATGAGACGTCCCCAAGAATTTGTATGGCCTTCATCATTGGGGCTATGGTGAAGGCGATGCTAAATTGATAGAATGTGTGGGAAGGAACAAGGGAAATTCATTATATATGATATCCAGCCATATCGAGGGCACTTTATAGCATCCCTGCTGCCTTTGGGCTTTGTGAATAATGTCGGGAACCCGCCGGAAAGACGTACCACACCATCCCATTCCGAGGTCTAGGCTACTGCTGACAAGGGCGGCACCTGTCAGGAACGGAATTCTCACTGAGAAGGGCTCTCGTATGAGACGCGCTACAAGAACAAAGTGATCGAGACTGCATCAGGCGCAGAATGCGGGAAGATGATCGATTACCCGGATACCCGCCCGCGGCCTGGTACTGCCCGCCTCCTTCGGGCTTCGCCGACTCGGAGCCCGGTAGGTTGTCCGCCGTCCATTGTACTGACCGGCAAGCAGCTGCTGAGATTGAACATATTTATCTTGTAACAAATCTCCCAAGTGATATTGCAATTACATGAGCCAGTGCTCAACAGTGTACCATTTACTCTAAAAACCCTCATACCAAACGCCATCTCATAAAAGCAGTAAGTCGCTGCACGACCAGGTCCAAAAGTCAAGAAGCTATATCAATAAAGCTCATCATGGACTCCAAGGATCGCGAGACCCAGTGAGTGGTACCCTGAAAATTTCCTGGAATTAAGAATGACAGTACACTAAACACCGACGCCCGCCTAGGTCTCGCCCACGAGAGACCGTCAAAGTCCTCTACGACCACGCCCTCCAAAACGCGCCAGGCAAGTCAATTGTCGGCCTCGAGGTCATCTACCCGCCAGGCGGCTTCACGCCTCCCCACAGGCACGCGGGGGCCACCGTCGTGGCGCGCGTGACCGAGGGAGCCATATTGAGCGGTATGAATGGAGAGCCGCCGCGGGTGTACGAGGTGGACGAGAGCTTTGTGGAGACGCCCGGCTGTCACCACACTGTTGGGGAGAACACTAGCCGTGAGAGGCCTGCAAGGCTTGTTGCGGTGTTTGTTGTGGATACTGAGGTTGTGAGGAAGGGGTATGAGAATCTTACGGTGATTGATGAGGGGTGGTGATGCCGGCTTGTTTCAGATATTCGCCTTTGTTGGGATCAATGTCAAGTAAATTACCCGTTGTTAGACCGTTATGTGGAAACGAAGAGTGCCACCATAGGCAGGTCTACGAAACTTGCGTGATCATTTTTAGACGTCATTACGAATGGGTAATATCATCACGAAGGCCTTGAAGACCATCCGGATGCAACTTTGAACAGGGGCGCCAAGAAGAAATTCGAACGCATGTGAAATTGTAGTCTTCCCCCAAGCCATCGCGGCTTGTAGCACTTCGATCTGCATCCACCAAGATCAGGGTATCTATTGTTGGACCGCAAAAGGTCTCTCGAGCCGCACAAGATGTGCTAACACACAATTCAACTCAACTGGCCTAGGCCATCTTCTCCTCATCATGCTGCACCAGCACGCCAATCCCTCCCTGGGACGACGAGCCAGTATCCCCATGGCCAGCACCACCCTTCTCCTCGTCGCTGGGCCGTGGCTGGCCACGACCGTGGGCACGCCCCTCCTCGGTGTCGGAATAGTCGACCAGCAGCTCGCCGTTCTTGCCGTAGCGCCTCGGCTCGACCTTCGCCTGGTGCACGGCCTGGAAGACGCCCTTCCAGCCCGGCGAGACCTTGTGGAAGATGCTGTCCATCTCCTCGAGGCTGCGGTAGGCTGTCTCCGGGTAGAAGAAGTAAACCGAGGGCACCATGAACGCATTAATGACGGCGAAGATGATGTAGGTCTGGTAGCCGATGGTGTCGAAGGCGACGGGGGTGATCATGACAACCATGAAGTTGAAGATCCAGTTGCCGGACGTCGAGAGAGCGTTGGCTGGCGCGCGGATGCGCAGCGGCACGATCTCGGCCGGGTACAGCCAGGTCATGCCGAGCCAGCCGACCGCGAAGAAGGAGTTGAAGACGAAGAGGAAGACGATGCCCGCGATCCCGGCGCCCTTGCTGCCCTTTTCGGATTCCGAGTTCACGCCCGCCAGGATCGCCATGGTGGCCGCCTGGCCCACTGCGCCGAAGAGCATGAGCTTCCTGCGGCCGACGCGCTCCACGAGGAAGACCGCTGGCCAGGAGGCGAGGAAATATTCTGTGCCGTTGAGGGCGGCAAGGAGACGGGACATGAAGTCGGACATGCCAAGTTTGCTGTAGATAACGGCCGCGTAGTACGTGATGAGGTTGATGCCCGAGATCTGCTGGAACATTTGGTTGATATAGGCGAGCAGCGTGCGGTGCAGATTGCGGTCCTTGCCCATTGTGAACAGATCGGCGAACGTGCCCTTGGACATCTCGAGAACCGTGTCCTTGATCTCGTTGAACTCGCTGTGGATGATCTTGTCGTTGACGTCCACGTCGTTCAAGGCGGCGAGGACCTCCCGGGCATCGTCCTCACGCCCCTTGAGGATAAGCCACCGAGGAGATTCGGGAAGACCCCATATGAAGGCGAGAATAAAAATACAGAAGACGATCTGAAAGGCCAGCGGGAATCGCCAGGCCACGGAGCCGGGGGCAAAGGAAAGCCCCAGATCGATCCAGTATGATATCATGATACCGCCTGTAATCAGGGCACCCTCAACCATGACGAGCTTGCCGCGCTTGTGAGCATGGGACGTCTCGGACTGCCAGGTGGGGACGGTGGAGGTGTTGCCCCCGTTTCCTAGACCAGTGATGATCCTGCCGATGATGAAGTGGTCAAGGGAGAATGCAGAAGCCTGGAGGATGGCGCCAACAAGCATGATGGAGGTTCCCAGCATGATCATTTTCTTGCGACCGAGGGGATTGCTGATGAAGATGGCGATGACTGCGCCGAGGAAGCATCCCAAATTGTACGATGCTACGGCGATGCCTTGGTAAGTGGAGCGGGTAGCAGAGTCTGGGCCGGCAGCCGGGTCGATGTCGGGGAACTGCGCGAGGAAGACGGGCAGGGTCAAGATACCACCCATGACACCTTGATCTAGAATAAAGGTCAGCTGTGATTCCTGGCACTTTCGACAGAGGCCGTCGAGGTCGTACCGTATCCGAAAAGCAGGAAGTCGCAGCCTGCAATGATGCCGACAGCATAGTTCAGGGCGTTGCCCCTGAGGCCGAAGAATTTCTTCATGGTGAAGATATTTGGTATGGTTTGAAAGAAGCAGAGACGGACTGTGGATAGCTGACAGCTATCCCAATGCAAAATATTGCTGTTCAAAGGCTGATGCGAATGGACACCTGGGTTAGGCCTGGTGAAGGAGGCGAGGTTGAATGTTATATGATGGGCAAGGTGAGCATGTCTGTTCTACTGTGGTATTATGCCGCTGCAAGTGTGCTTGGTATTTCTGGGGTTTGGGTTTGGATTGGATCGGGGAAGGCGATGGGAGACCGGGATGGCTCTGGGGTCGATTGGTGGTGTCAGCACCATGAATCAAACTAAGATTGTCGTCGAGGTGTGATTCCAGCTTCGGGTTTCCATAAGAGGGAACCAAGTCTTGAAGAAGAGGCAAATGCCTGTAGAGGAGGCTAAATGATGCAGCCGAGCCGAAGTGCTGGGTGAGTTTCGAGACCAGACGGCGCGAGGGCGAAGTGAGGATTTATAACCAGCGTGTCGAGCGAACCACGCACGTCGCCGCTTGGACGGGTTCACTGCACAGACGGGTGAGCCAAAAAAATCCAAATTGTCGGGTGAGGGTACAATGGCGGCGTACCTGCCGGTAGAGGGACGTGAGTGGACGGAGGCCAGTGAGATGGATTGGCGGGTTGCCAAAAAGGGAAATCCGGTGGTCAGTCCTTGGGGCAGGAGGAGGAGGGGGCCCCCTTGGCGACTGTCTGGGGTTTGGGGCCTGGGGATTTAGACTCATACCACTGCTACGGCAGGCTACGACGGTGGTCTTGGGTTCCTGAGCACCCATTATTACTGTATTGATATTGGTGGTAAGAGCGGTCATAGGCCAGAGTTATTACCTATGCCCAGATGTGGAGACTGTCCATCTGAGCATCTGCCCACGGACGGGTCCGGGGTTGAAAAGCTGGGGGAGAAATTGGGGAGAGATGGGGAAGGAGCGACGTCATGTCAAGTAGGGCAGTCGCAGTGGCGCCCGACCGCGAGTGGGCCCTGAGTCCTGTGTTTCTCTCCCTAGTGGTAAGAATTACGCGTGCGATGCATGTATCATATATTACAATCCAATTTTCTTCGAATCTTTGAAGGTGTCTGCTGATAGTTGCATTGCAGGTGCTGCCACAGTCTAGCTGCTGGGTCCTGGGCTACACATGAGATGGTGTCGATGGAAAAGCCCAAGCTGGGAGGTCAAGGCGAGATGGGAGAGGCGGTGGCCACTGGCCCAACCTGGTGACAACGTGGTGATCTGCAATCAATCATTCGACAAATGCAACTCATCGGGGCTTGTCTTCGCATCATGCAAATGGGAAAGTCAATTCAGCCGTTGACGATCCAAGTGACAGATACGGCGCATCTCTGTGCGTCGTCCAAAAGTTCTGGCCCACGGAGATCGGCTGGAGGCTGAATGCACACACAAGTATGTCACACGCAGATTTTCCCTCACCTGTTGATCTGAGCTCACACCTCTGTGGATGAATCTGTTGGTTGTTGATCATTCATCTTCTTCACCAGCCGCCACGCACAACATCTTCTTTCCTTCCCGCCTCCTCCCCGTGCTGGCCAAAACCGCAAGTCCAAGCGCGGCATCGGCAACTCAAAACCCATAGACCTGACGTCATGGCATCCCGAAATGCTGCGGGTCCGCTCTTTCCCCATGAAAAAATGCCCGGACTTTGGCCGACGGATGAATGCTCTTTCCCCACGCTGGGCCTTCTGTGCTCGACTCCCCGAACCCTGGGGCCTGAAATCGGGTGGGTGATGAAACACAGCTGCAGCAAACAAGCTCGTGGTGGCCCAAGCAGTGGAGTGTGCTCTGTTCCCTCAGCAGCACAGATCTACACCTCGCCGGGGTAATAAACGTTATTTTTTGAAGTCGTGACCCACATGACCCACATGTGGTGGAGCGGTCACCCTTTCTAGCAATTTCTATGGTGGAAGGACTTAAGCAGACCACTCCACTTTTAAGAGATAACATTCGCTACCTTAACTTCCATATAATCTAGTGGTTGGATTACGTACCTTAGGTTATGTGGGGCTGGTGGGGCAGTACCTAGGCAAATAACGTTTATTACCCCGGTAGAGGTGTACATGTATCAGGCCACGAGGCTCTTCATTTGAGTGTGTATCCTGGTTGATATCGCCGTTCTGCCTCTGAACATGTCGTGATCCTTCGACCCTCCAAGGCCAGGCATGCTCATAATTAATATCAAAAAACCTGCTGGCGAAGGCTTGGACGACTCGGGCAACCGCGGCAACTTCCTCAAGAGCGCAGACGCGATCCATGCCACAAACCATGGCCCTCGCTCGCAGGAATGCCTCGTCTCCACAACACCCCACGAACGCTCGTCGCGGTGGGTACTCTCGTTTCTGTCCAGCAACGAGCATCTTGCTTGCCAGCCACACGGCCAGCCTCATCTCGACCTGCAGTGCATACCGCCCGGGTGAGGTCGTCATTCTCGGCCTTTTTGCGGCGGCGGCGGGCCCCGGGCTGGCCTCCCACGCGGCGGAATACATGGGATCGTCGGGTCTCCTCCACATGTTCTCATCCAAAACCGCCGAGATGCACGATCTGATAGACAAAGTCGAGATCTCAGGCGCAGGAATCAACAAGCCCAGACCCACTCGGCGACGATCCTGACCGAACCGCCTGACATGGTATCGACTGCAGTTTCGGAGCGACTGTTGATTATCAAGGCCACGCGCGCCGACGCTGAGGCAGGCCTTCCGAGACCAGCATGCGGGAACGGCACGCCTGCCGGCGTCCTTGGGACGTTCAGGCCAGCCATGTTGAGGTTGTGGCGACCTAATTTCGCGACCTAGAACTGTCAATATTTCTTGTCGGCGCGCATGGCTTCAAAGCCATCATTCTGGCCGTTTTCTTCACCACCATGCACGACATGCCTCCTGTGGCCCCAATCTCTCTCCAGACTTCATCTTCACACCGAGCACACCTGCTACGGAGCAACCACCACTGCCCACCAGCACGGCTGGCCACTCGCCGGTCAACTACGTCAGCCCTGCTCTCGAATCCGACAAGCGCCAGAGCAAGTTGCCCAAAAAAAAATGGATACTGGTCTGTCATGGCTACAGGGCTTAGTAGAAATCGCTTGTGGTCAGCATCTGATCGCTCAAGCTCGAGGCATCGAGACTCACTCACAGCTGTCGGTCACCACACAGAGTTGCTCAACTGTAATCTGCACCTCGTCAGCGCTCGTTAACAGGGAATACAAGTCTCAATTAAATTGCAATAATTCCTTTCCCTCACACAAGTCGCTCTGGTTAAACTGACTTTTGGCCCTTTTGCTGCCCAAATGTTGGACGCTGACCTGAAGGTGCAATAAGCAAGCGATTCGGTTCTTGCCCGGGCCGTTGTTCAGTCACTCGAATCCCAGGTCGTCTTGGGTCACACCTTTTCTCATTAAATTTACCATTATTGATTGGTTATAGTATGTACACTCGTGGCTCCTGGGTATATCTCCTATTCCTGGTCATACAGGTTTCTCTTGCCCACGAAAGTCCCGTTCTCGGACTTGTCCGAATAGAATGTCACAGCATCCGTCGAGTTGTCGTATTTCGACGCAGTACCGCACTTATCAGAGAATCCGCTGAACTTATCCGCCCGGTCCTGCACCCACGTCTCAAAGGTCGACCTGGAGCAGGTGGTCCCGGGCCCGTCACCACAGTCGGGCAGCGGCTGCGGGGCGTTATTGACCAGCACGCGGTAGTAGTCCCCGTCGTCGTAGCCGTAGCTGCCAGTGCAGTTAAGCCTTTCAAAAGCAATATTCGTCATGAAGGGCAGGACGCGGCTGCTCTTCCAGGCACGGCGGTGGTTAATTCTGTCTGAGGGCATAGTGTCGTTGATGGTAGCCTCGGAGCCACCAAAGGCCGAGTTGTTGAACAGCCCCATGGCCACCAGCACCGTCGGTGGCAGCTCGCGGTGTGTGAAGCTGACGTACAGGTCCTGCACGTCTGGGCTGCCCGGCTCCGCCATGAGGAGCCCGGCCGTGGCGTTGACCCAGGGAAGCCCGATGGGTCCGCTCACCTCGCTGCCGTATCCGGTGTTATAATGGTACTGGACGTCGGCCGTGTACTCCCAAGCTAGCCAGTCGTCCGGGCTAAACAGATCGAGGTCGCAGAACGGGGAGCTGCCTCGGATGACGGACTCATAACCGCACAGCTGCATCATCCCGTACACATCTTGGGCCGTGAAGTTGAACTCGGGGGCGGCGGCGTTGAGCCTCGCCATGATGGGCTTGGTGAATTTCTTCAGGTACACGCTGCTCTGGTCGCTGCCCGCACTGGAGCTGTACTTGGGGCAAGCGGTATATGGGGTTAAGTTGTCGGCGCCGCCCTCCTTGCTCTCGTACACGGACACCAGGCTGATGGTATCGTCTTGGCCGGCGGGCTCGAAGCCACGGATCAGGGCCTTGGCCGACTCGTATGTCCGCTCGGCCGAGCTCGTCCAGATCTTCTTGGGCAGCTTCAGGTTGGGGTAGCGGAAGGACATACTGGCGCCGAGCTCGGTGGCCTCGAGCTTGCCGACGCGGGTCAGCAGCTCGCTCTCGGCCTCGCTGATGGGCGGCGACCACTTGTTGAGGAAGCTGAGGTCGGGGATTTTGGACCAGTCGATCGAGGTGATGTTCTGGAACTTGGAGATGAAGGGCTCCATATACTCCTCGTAGTCGAAGTCATTGGCATAGATGGCAGCATGGCGCACCAGGTAGGCTGCGCGGACGGGCGTGCATCCTTGAGGCGCCGAAGGGTCTATCTCCGGGTCGAGGGGTTCGAAATAGGGAGCCACGCCACCCAGGTGTTCGAGGGGGTTGAAGTGGTAGTCGCTGAACAGAGGCACGGCGGCTTGGGTGAGCGGAAGCAGGAGGGCTCCCCCCAGCAGGTTGGAGGCCACATGCATCGTAGGAGCTGGCTCAAAGGCGGAGGTTAGGTGTGAGGGCGGGAGATCTTGAGCTGAGATGAGATGAGCTGGCCAAGGTCGACCGTCCTGGGAGGCGGCCGGGAGGAGAACAAGCATTTTGTAGCTCGCAGGTCAAGCTTTGTTCTCCAGCCAGGTGATCCCAGCTCCGTGTGAACGACCAAGGCAAAGGCCGGTCAAAGGGCCAGAAGCCAGGAGAGGCAAGGCACAGACAGGGCTGTGGTACCAGTCTGATGTCAAAGGGCCGTTCTGGCTATCCCATTGGAGCCACTGTTTACGTCTGTTCACCTTAGATTGCCATCGCATCTCCCAACGAGATTGGGATGACGACATCGGGCGCAACGTTCCCAGGCACGGGCGCCCAGTCGGGAGCTGTCGGCAGTGGGCCGCGCTCCCTCTGTGCGCTGCCCTGCGGGTGCGGGGACCCGCCTGCCAGCGCTACGCAAAGGTCCAGTTAAGCTTCGCCCGCCCCTGGAAATCATCCGAAGCCCACCTCTGCGCCGATCTGCCGGTGCCACTGTGCTGTGATTGAGATCAGACGTCATGTTGAGCTCAGCGCTCAGCCCAAATTTCTCTACCTTGCTGACCGCCTGGATGTTTGGTCATATCTACATATTTCTTCTTCTCCCCTGCCAGACCAGGGAGCTTGATTTCCACACCGAAGATATTGTTGACCTGGATATATGTGGCCAGCGCCCAGACCTTTTCTCTCGTCATAGGCACAGGCATGTTTTCCTGCGGGCTTTCTCGCTACCAACCCGTCTGGAAAGGGGCATCTCGATTGCGGCGCGGTCCGGTCCTGACGCGTCGCTCGTGTTTGTGCCTCGCTTTCTCGACCACAGGAGCCTGGCTTGTCGGCTGTCTGCGTGGTACTACGATTAGGATGGGACCGCTGAAGTTCCAATACTCGGGCTAATTCGCAAAACTGCCAACCACTCCTCATCGACCGTTTGTCCCACATAAGGCCCAGACTAACCGGTCGGCCTGCGCTGTCAATGGGATACTGGACATTCTCAACCTCTACCTGATTTCAAAGGAAGACTGCTTGCTGCCCGAATGACTATCCGAGCTGTTCAATTCCTCAATGCTGGTTAGGAAGCGCGTCAAGACACAACCCCATCGTCCTCCATTTTCTTCGCTTCTCACGTCTTCTCAGTTATATCTTATGTTTTAGCACAGGATCGAGCGTATTATCCTTACCTAGGCATATACACCCGGTATCGATGTGACTTGTTGACTCGAGAATCTACTGCTTGCATTTCTCGCAGCCCTGATGCCGTGTTGTGGTTCAATCGTAACAACGTCCGCTGGCTTGTAATTGAGTGTGGACGTTTAACGCGCTACACCACCCTTCATGATCCCCCAGAAGTGTATCAGATGTTCTGGGAACTTCATACTGACAGCCAGACCGACTTGTTCAGCTTACAGCAACGTCTAGCCAACTTTGTCAATGGCACGATCGTAGGGTTGCATATATGCAAACTGTCAGCCCCGATGATTCGGGACAGCAACTTGTCTAGCCCCCGCACTTCCAGCCGCAAATCCTTCAGGCTACTCTCGAGTGAGAATGTCAGCTCAACTTGTTAAAAACAAACTTCAACATTTACACATCACGAGACACTTGACTATGGAGTTTCCTCCGCCTCGTCGTCGTGAGACTTTACCGGCCCGCCTCGGCGCCACGCAGCAACAACAAGGGCCGCCTGCTACTGTCCCTGGAACGACGTATGCCACACCCCCTGGACTAGGCTATGGCGGTAATCCGCAGGTACGTCCTGGCCTTTGACGCCAGACACGAGACCAGAAACTGATTCTCTACTCAGCCGGTCTACTATGCCCCAGTCTATCCTGCAGGTCCCTCTTCCGGCCCATATTATGCTCAGCCCGCCTTCCACCCCCAGCAACAGGTGCACTACGTTCAAGCCGTGGACCGTAGAGAGGAGAGTGAAGAAACCAGTCGCCCGCGTATCAGCGAGACCCCTCGCCACAGGTCACCGTCGCCACCGAGGGAGGTTGAGCGCAGAGAAATTCGGATATCTCGCCCCAAACGGACCAGATTTGCGGATGATGAATATTATGGCTACGACAGCGATTCGTCTAGCCCCAGAGACAGAGCCGAAATTCCAATATACCACAACTCCAGCCGCGGGTCTGGGTACACTGAAAACGATAGCTCCACAGTGTACTCTTTCTTTCCTACGCGTGCATCACGAGCGCCATCTTCTTCTCGCACTGCCAAGACTGATGACGAGGAGGTAGAAAAGTCAGAAAATGGCTCAGTATCGCAAGAGAGCGGAGCCTCACGTGTCCGAGCTACTTACGTCTTTGAGTCTCGGTATACTGGTGAAAGTCGATTGGGTGACCCGCATACAGTGAAGTTGTCAGTGCAGAAAACCACTGCCGTCAAGCAGAAGCATCTCTTCAGGTGGATGTAAGTCCTCCATTCTGGGCCTTGAGCATCCCATCTTTCCTAACAATTTGTATAGACACACGACACGATCTTCTATGAACTTTGATGAGTTTGCAGTAATTGAATAGGTTCTTGGTGTTTTGGTAGCTCTCGCTAACAGAAAATGCAGAACATCGCGTCTCAGGTGCCCGCTTTGGATGCTTCAGAGAGGAAAGCAATTGCCCAGCTTCTCCCTCGCGTCAAACGAAAATTCGTCAAGACCATACAGACATCGACGGGCAAAGACGTCCAATACATGGAACCGGCAGTCATGCCGTACCGGATACCAGACGGTGGCAAGAATCGCAGTATTGCGTCACGGACAGCAGCATGGGTCTGCCTCCCTTACTTTAGCCTCGAGAACTACTCCGGCTTGCTATCGGCCGAGAACTCGGCCGAGTTTCCCGTGCAGACACTCCTTCAGGCTCAATTCTCGAAGACCGCCCGGGAGCGGGACATGCAACAGGCAGTCTGCCAGATCGGCAGGAGAGGGAATGGACGTTGCTTCCACATCGCGCAGCTGTGGTGTCTCATAGTCGACAAATGTAAATGTCTTCCTGTTGTTCTCCCCTCAGTCTGTCTTGCACCAACCCGGGGCATGGTGCTGACCAATCTGATTTTTTAGCTCTACTCCTGACCTACGGACGCATGACCGAAGATGCTCTCTGTGCTGAATCCAGAGAGGCAATGACTAAGATCACAATAGAAAATACTATGGCTCAAGTCATGCCGCGCTTGATAGTCTCGTATCGTGGATCTGTTGTGTGGGCCTTCTCCTTGGAAGAATGTCAAACCTGGACTGTAAGCTACAAGCTTTCTGGGTGGATGCAGACGATTAGTAGATTTGCTGACTTGACAAGGACTTTCTCTCTCACTTTCGGGAGTTCTGGCCGAGACGTTTGGTTTTCTTCATGCATAGAAGCCCAGTAAATGCAGACGATTGGCCTAGGATCTGGCAGGGAGCTCAGCGCGCGAACCTAGCCATCGATGTTGATATTGGGTAAGCCGGGAGATTCAAATTCATTTGTGAACATGTTCTCTTTTTATTTTAGAGTCAAAGCTCACGATCAAGACAGACCGGACCCTAAGCCACCACCTCGACGTCTTCAACGATTGCTGAATGGTACCCAAACTTCAGACACCGAAGGCTCCACGCAGAATCAACAGGCTGGTCTCAAGCCAAGTGCAGTGCAGAGCAAAAATCTTTCCCCTGACTGGAAGCCAGATATGTCAAACAGGACGAATTCCATTCCCAAGCCTGAGTCTGTCTCGATATTTGCATTTCTAGAAGGCGTTCCACAGCCCGCGGGTGTCGACGAATCAGTCCTCAACGAACATCTCCTCGAGATTGAAGACTTTCTCCTGAATCAGACAAATTTCACAGATCGCAAAGCCTACCGAAGTTGCAATCCGTCGTCTCGTAACAACGTTCATGGAATATTGGAGAAGCGTGGCTCGATTCTAAGCCAATCCCCGGACTCATCCAGCAGAGACCAGGTAGACTACGAGGAAGTGGTGGACATTTTCAATACCGCCGACATCATTTTCCGATTTTTCTTCCCGGCTGATTCTAAGGTGGCAACTGTGGGCAAGTTCTGGGGCGCTGTGAAATTGCTCGTTGAGGTGAGCGTCAAGGCCGACTTTTTTTTTCTTTTTCTTTTTCTTCTTTTTTTAAATATCTACGTGATGAGAACCCACCTAGAGGCTAACTCGAAATGGCGCAGTCCCAGAGAGAAGACTCACCACTGCCGAGGAAAATTCGACGACAACGGTTCTTAATTAGTAGGATCACAAGAAGCTTGACCGTCACTATCACTTCGTTCAATGAGACCATTGGCTACTCCACTGACCCCAGCCAGTTGGACATAGTTGTCCCTGACGATCTCAAAAATGCCTGGCTGCATCTTACAATGGGCCTTATATTCGTGCCACACGATGATGTCATGAGCGAGACCCTTCTCGTCCATGCTCAGCTTCTCATTGAGGAAGGCATCGAGAATATCGTCAAATCCTTATCCGGGAAATCCCTCATGGAGAATGCAGTGATCTCGCCCATAGAACTCTGCACGTTGATGGGTTTGAAGATGCTCCAAGATTCAACAGCAGGTCTTCCAGACATCGGTCACACTTACTCCGCATACCTCGAATCTGTGGTAAGCAAAGGAAGTCCAGACAGCTGAAAAGCACCATTTACACAGAATTGACAATTTACTTCTAGGCGGCCGACATTTCGAACAAGCCTTCAGATCGATTACATGAACGTAGAATAGGACTCCTGAAGCAGGAACTATCGGTCATAATGAAGACTCTCAACGCTCAACATCGAATTGTTGAGAACCTAGAAAATGAATTCAAACCACAGGTCATTAAGAGCGAATACATGGCGTCAACCGAGCACCCGAACATCGGGTATGAATACTCCAAAAGCTTGGTGGAGCGCGAGCCCGATTTCTCAAGGGTCAGGTCGTCCTCAAGGATTCATGAAGGGCCAGCAAGGTCGCATGTGCACGATGTCGAGTACCCGAGATCCTACGTATACGACAGGCCGAGATACCGGGACGAGCGTGACCGGGAGATCCGAACGCACGCTGGTTATTATGAAGAGGACCCTTATGTATACCACACCGCAACCCAGTCAAACCCGGACTTCAAGCTCGCGCCCACGGATGTGGGCGGCTTCCGCAAGCTGTTTGCCGAGGAGTGCTTCCGCCACGTCGAGCGTCGGAAGCGCGAGTTTGGCGAGTTCCGGCACCAAGCCACCTTGCTCGAGGAAGAGGTTCGCGCGCACGCCCCATCCCGTAGACCTCTATTACCCTCGTCTTGTGTCCACTTACTGACAGCATCTAAGAACCAAAACAAGGTCGAGACAACCAAGGACCGCCAAGAGCGCGCCATCTACGCCTTCACCATCGTCACGGTGATATTCCTCCCGCTCAGCTCCGTGGCGAGCATCTTCGGCATCAACACCAAGGACGTGCGGGACACGGAGCTGGGCCAGTGGGCGTACTGGGCCACGGCCGTACCCGTCACGGCGGCCGTCGTCTTCTTCGGGCTGCTGTGGACGGGCGAGCTGGGCAACATCCTGCGCTGGGTTTCGTTTGGGCCGCACGTGAGGAGGAGAGCATACCAACGGATCCCGGATGACTATTGGGACGGGGATCCCCTTATGGATCGCTATTCCAGGGGCCCTGCCGTCTTAAGGCTGCGGGAAAGGGAACGGCCGTATGTGTATCGTAGCCGCTCTCCCTCCCCGCCTCCTCTGCGGGAACCCCCGGTACATTTCATTCGCCGTCGGGAGGCTATTTACTAGAGAGATAGGTGAGCATGCTGAATCATTCTGGCCCGGGTAGAAATGATAGGAAAATTCAACAAGCTTGAATATTTAAAACAGAATCACGTAGGGGATAAGCATCCGTATGCCGATATTTCTTGCCTCCGATAGTGATTGTGGTGATGGCCAGGGAAATAAGAAACACACTAGAATCTCAATCTAAGCCTCCATCACCAGTGGCTTTCCTCCCTTGCTTTGCATGACAGCATTACCCATGACATATGACATAGTCTTCTTGACCTCCCACTCCCAGGCAGTGTATTGGCTGCCCTCATCCTCCTCTCCTTCCCCGCTGATCAACCTCCTCATGCTTGCATTACGCTCTGGCCTGACCAGAAGAGCCAGACTGAGCCGATCATGGAAACGCTGGGCACCGGGTGCATATCTGATGCGATGAACGTTGCTGCGCAACAGCCCGCCCGTCCACTGGACCATAGCGTCGCCCAGGTTGACTACCAGACAGCCCGGGCGCGGCCGCACCCACAGCCAGGCGGACTCATCCGCGGGGGACTTTCCCGGGGCCAGGATCTGCAGGCCGCCGAGCAGGTTCGCAAGCAGGGTGATGCTCCCAAAGTCGGTGTGATGCCCCATGCTGGTGCGGAGGTCCTCCTCGGCCGGGCTGGCGGGCGCCTTTATGAAGCGGACGACGGTGCCGGACGGCTTGGTGGGGTCCTGCAGGGAGGTAAAGGTGTCGGGTGGCAGGCCGAGCTGGGTTGCGATGGCGGTGTTGACTGTGGCGACGATGCTCTGGCCGTGCTTCATGAACGAGGTGAAGAGCTCCAGTTGCGAGTGTATGATGGGCGGGAGCGGCTGCAGGGCTGAAGTACCCATGAGGCCGTCCTGTCCGATGTTGAACCACTCGAATCGGTCTGGTTTGTCGGTCTCGGTTTTGGCACCGCCGAGTGGTTTGTACCTTGGGATGTCAGGGGGAAGACTTAAGGAGTGGTAGATAAGCAATGGAGCACAGGAGTAGAACCTACCCAAGGAAGCTTCGGGGGGCATCATGCAGGTATTGTTCTTTTTCAGCTAGTGGGAGGTCCATGATATCTTTGCCCGCCAAGAAGAGCTGGTCAATAATCTCAACCAACTCGTTTCCCTGGGTGTCGCCGTTCAGGTCAAGCAGGAAGAAGCCTAGCTCTTGACAAGCGGTCAGGAGACTTCTTGCGGCCGCTTCGTCGCCGGAATTCAGTTTTGCCAGTGAGATGGTGTTCATGGATGCTGTGGGTATGTCGTCCGGAAAGGCCGGAATGGCCTGGAAGAGCTTCTGCGACGCCATATTCGAGGGGAAGTTACGTGCCTCGAGTGTCAATGTTCCTGCGGCGGAGAGAAATGTTCAGGAAGAAGAGTTGGTGAGATGGGAATGCCACGTACGCAATTCTTAAGTGCTGACATCTGACCATCCTCCCGCACCACATTAGACGCTGATCCTATTTCACAACGTCGGTACGTGCTTGTCTGACAACTTAAATGTTAAAAGTCCCCGCATGCTGAATAACGTTACAGCGGATGGTTTTCTGGGATGAAGGATTGTGATCCAGGCGCCGTCCAAGCCGGGCTACCTTGTCTCCCTTTCACGTGCCATCTTTCCTTGGCTGAGATAAAGCTGGACTCACTCCATTTCTGTGCCAAATCTGATCTTGAAATATTCAATTTGCAACCCAATGACCACCTTGACTCCGTGATGCCGGACGACATCGCCCCGCCTGTTCCCAGCTGCAGCATGCGGCTGGCCAACTCGGCCTATCTCTCACCCTATTCGCACGCCGGCTCTCCGAAGTCACACCCCAACACTGACCCGTACGCAGCACTCCGCGGCCGCGCCCTTTCTACCCTCGAGGCTATGGGTTACGACCCTAAGACCATGGCTGAGCGCGGCGTCGTGTGGGCCGAACACCAAGACCCATTCGGGCATGTAATGCATTCGCAGTACTTGCACTTCCTACGTGCCTGCTTCCACCAATTTATGGAAGGCTACGACGAGTGGCTCAGCGAGAAGGAATACGACGGCATGATACGCGCTAGGATGTGATACCTGTCGTGCGCAAGTATGAGTTGGATATCCGCAGCCATGTCAGGTACCCCGACTCGGTGCGTGTGACTACCATCTCCCCCTGATACCCCCATCCCACCCCTCCGAGCGTTTCGCTGAGCGAAGCTGACCTTCAAAACAGCTCATCGCAGCCTACCGCGAGGACCGCATTGAGGCAACGCGCAGCAACAGAACAACGTGTCTCGTTTCGCTCAAGTTACAAGCCATCGTCGCCCTAGTCAAGGGTTCCGTTACCTACTGGATATCAAGACCGGCCGTCCCATCGATATTCGCACACTCGGCGGTTGATGGCGGGGGGTGTACGACGGCTTGGTCCAGATGTCTTAGCGTTCAAATGCACTCAAGGAGGACTGGGCGAGCCAGAACGCCACAAAATCGAGGGTTTGAGGCATGGATATAGCAGAGCTGGCAAGGATGGTTGATAGAATTACTCAATGTCTGATGCATTACAATAAAATACGCTAGACATATTAAGTGGTCTCGTTTTTAATCTGTATACATATGCTTCTTAAGTAATATGCATTTAATCCCTTTATATAGTAATAAACGCTTAAACACCCAGCGTTAAAAAAACAATATAATGTTGATAATAATAGGTTTTAAACATAATTATAGCTTATAGTTAAGAAAATAATAATATAACCTTATAACAGCTGCATAAACAAGGCTAGCAAGAACTGCTTTTAGCGGCGCTATAAACCGTTAATATAAGTAACCTAAAACTAATTTACCACGGCGCTTTAAGGTTAAAATTAAGCAATTAATTATATAGCAAAGATTAAAATAATCTCTTTATAAAAATAATAATCTTATAAATATAATCTTAATTAAAACCTTAATCTCTTTTTATTTATATTAATAAATATTATAAGCTTTTAAAAAAAACCTTTATTAAATAAGTTATTATTATAATTAATATTTAAACCTTAAAAAAATATAACAAAAAATTACTTCCATGATAATTATTTATAATTATTTTATAACGTGGTTTACCAGGTGGTGGCCGGTATCAGATAGTGGCCGATTTTTTTTTACATATAAAAAACGTCCGTGCACGCTTTTTTACACCTTAATAACTTCTTTAAACTAAGCCTAATTAAGATATAAATTTAATCTTATATTTATAACTATAAAATTAAACTAAGTTCTTATTTTTAAGCTTATATTTAAATCTTTTATAAAGATATTTCTATATAAAGAAATGTTAGTAAATAATAGTGCAGCTTCTAGTATTTACTAACGTACCTACTTTGGTGTATTTCCTGCAAAAAGGTACCTAATCGGCCACTATCTGATACCGGCCACCACCTGGTAAACCACGTTAAAGCTATTATAAAACCTTTAAAGAGAAATAAACATAATATTTATAATAAAATAAGCAATATAAAGAAGTATAATTATATTATACTGCTTTAAATTTATTTTTTTAATTATTAATAATTAAAAGATATTTCAAAGGATTAAAAATAATTAAGAATTAAGGGTAAAAAAAGGTTTTAAGGTTTTATATTAAAGGATTATTAGTAAATATATTAAGCTGTTCGCAACTTTATGCAAGACCTTAAGGAGGAATAGTTGGAAAGCTAAGCAGATAGCAAACAGACCAATGAATAGTTCATTTTTTAAAAAAAACACACAATGTGGCCGAAGCCCTAGACATGTTAACAATGAGAATTATCATCAAATGTAGAAACACTTGCTGTTAGGAGCAGTCATATCTTGAGGCTACTGAGGGCTAATGTCTCTTGGACGAAGGTTGAATCTGTCACTTCCTTGAGCAAGCACTTGCTCCACATGAATCTCCAAGCTTGTAGTCGCTTCTTTAAGACCATCTTTTTATGGAGACTCAGAACAAATTCTCAGAGCTCACTCCCCTGGGACGTCGAAACAACAGAAAGTAATTGCTAGGCTCATCTCACGTCCATCACGATGATACTTCTATACCCTGGGGCGGTTCAAATGAGTTTTAGCATTGCATGTGCAAGGGTCTTTCACGCTCATTGTCTGTCACAGGTTTAAGACAAGTCACAAGAATACTTCTCTTGATTGCTTCTCTTGTGTTACGCATTCTTTGCGCTAAGTACTCCATAAAAAAGAAAAATATAGAGAGCTAAGTGGCTGCTCTCTGAGAAGTTATCTTGTACGCCTTAAGCATCAGCTATCTGCACCTGAGTAGTCTAAACTCGGGTGTTCTGTCCATGTACGTGGTTGAGCATGAACATCTAAACGGTAGGGCAGGTTAGCAACCACGTCCTTTCCCTCGAGGTTGGTCTTGTTTTTTTTGTTAAGCTTCTCGGCTACAGTGTCCCAAGCATTCATCCAGAGGCCGCCATTCTGAATTTTGCGAATGCTTTCAAGTTGATCATGTACCCAGTCCCTCAGACCCGGCATATTCCAGTCGACAAGACTTTGGTCCTTCAGACCCGGTGCTGCCTGGTCGACACGGCTTGTGTCCTTCACGCGAAGGATAGGCACATAACTCTCAGGTTTGTTCTTCTCGCGAAGGATAAGACGGTGAAGCTTGCAACTCATGGCAGTACGGCCCAGCTCTTCACCAATCTTTTTATCGGGCACCCCGTTTTCAAACGACATCCAGAGCTTTTTTTTTCTTCTTCCTCTGTCCATCTCCGCCTCTTCTGTGGCTGCGATGGCGACTCATTTGATTGATCCGGTTCAGAAGGTTCAATGTTGTAGTCGTCACCAGAACGAGTACGCCCGTGCTTCCGTGGCTGCGGTGGCGATGCATTTGGTTGATCCGAGTCAGAAGGTCCAATGTTGTGGTTGTCACCAGATTGAGGAGCATCCTGCCAATTGTGACCACTCTGCGGGCCCACAGCAGATTCCGGCATCATGTCAGGGTATAGCAGAGCCTTCGCATTGTAGGCTGCATTATCGAGGATTTCCGCACCGGAGGCATCTGAAAACAGTTCGCCGGCGTCACCAGAAAAAGACAAGCCGTCTCCGAATTGATAATTTTGATCAGGATTGCTCAAATCTGTTGAATATCTGGTTTCATCGTATTCCCCAAAATTGAGAGTTGCCGCCACACCGATATCACAGGAAGGATCTCCGAAGTTTCCAGTGAAGAATGAGTTGCCCTCCGGGTATGGGGTTAGACCAGATCTACTAAAGTCTGTTGAGAAATTTGTGTGGTATTCAGGTTGAGAACTGGCAATCCCGGAATGGGGAATGTTGAATAAATATTTGATGTCAATTCCAGTGAAGGATGAGTTGCCCTCAGGATGTGGGTTTAGACCAGATCCACTAAATTCCGAGTCCATTGAGAAATTTGTGTGGTATTCTAGTTGAGGACTGGGCATCCCGGAATAGGAAATGTAGGAAAGATGTCCACTGTCATTTCCAGTAAAAGATGATTTGTCTCCAAAAGATGTAATCTGACCAGACACTGCCAGTGGCATATTACTGGAGTCTGTGAAGTATGTGCTTTCGTTCTCAGCCTCAGAAAGAGAGGTTCCCGCGATTTCGGCATTTCTATTGTTGATGAAATGTCCGCCGTGGCCCTCATGAAAGGATGAGCCACCTTCACGATGTAGGTACTGATCAGACATTCTGGAGGCAGCTGAATACGTTGCTGTTTTATTTCTCCGGGTCTGACACCACAGATTGGGTTGCTTTTGTGACTGATCTGTATGATAGCTCTTCCAAAGCATAAGAGGGATGAGGAAAATCAAGAAGCAGAGGAGCGACAGCCCACATATTTATATAGAATACACAAGCAGTGACTGAGAGATTCTCACTCGTGATTGACTTTCTTATCTCTAAGTCACAACCCTCGGCTGAAAGAGGGTGAGAGATACAACATGGGCAGTGACTAACTTGGCTGTCCCTCTTCACTCAATCAATATTTCCTTATCTCTCTCTTTCTTCTGTGTGCATCTGATATTCCGATTCAATGATGGTCACGACCAAGCACAGGAGGCTAAAAATGCCACAGCTTCTTGTTCAGATGTCTTTCGGCCCTTGCCCATGGCATTCACCAAAAGTCGATACAGACTACGTACAACAACCTCTCTCCACCAAGCTCGTAAAAATGGTGTGGTTTTACTTTCTCACCTTCTCTCAACAGTCCTAAAACTCCTGTCCCTCAAACTCAAGCCCAACAGAATGCAAACATTGGGCTGCAATATCATCCTGACCCTTCTTCCGGTCATACACGTAGAGAATGTCCCTCTCAATTCTGGTCCCCTGCCCCAAAATCAAGTCATCGAAGCCACAAGTTTCCCAGTTAATCAGAAACTCTGGTGTCGGTCGCCAGAGATCAACAAGCGATGGAAAATATATTGGTGGTTCTGTCATTCCTGACTGTTCACCATTCGCTGACTTGGAGTGCTGCGGCTCTTGCTGCAAAAGCATTTGTTGTTGTTGCTAAAAGTTGGCAGGCGGATCCTCTGTCGTTCGGCTTCCGTACCGATGGCTCATTGAGTTGTTCTGGCCTGGACTGATTTCCGCGGAGCTGCACTTGACCATTTCCGCATGATCATAGTATATTCAGCACTACATGCACTGGGAATTCGTGCTGCGCATTTGCTTTCCAAAAACCCTGAAGGAGAAAAAGGCAAGATCTCTTCGAGTTAAAAGTTTGAGGGAACAGAACTGTTGGAGCCGGGCAAGCAAAGGGGAACTGTTGTGTCCGTCTCGGCAACTTTTGATTGTCACGGATGTGATGTGCTCCCTGGATCTCAAACTTGAAGAGTAATAGGCACCGAACACATCGTGATCAGTACAACCAGAATCAAACAGTTTAAACGAAAGTCATTCGCAAATCATATCACCTGCCACAGAGTGAGCGGAGCTGTCCCTGGACGCCGCTAGACACTGATGCTCCTGGAGTGAAATCATTTGTTTCGTCGGTTACATATGAGTTGAACCTAGTAGCATATGAATGCACATCCATCTCACCGCTCACATGCATGTCCATGCTTGCACAGACCAGGATGAGGCTTATGATGAATTTATGATCGCCTTAATGGTGCCTCCGTGAGTCATGAACACAAATGGGATACTTGCTCTAGCCCCTTTCGACGCCATCATTTCGCCCTTTGCGCAAACATGTCCAAACATTCTGCATCATACTTGTTCACAATCTCTCATATTCGAGGTGTCCGCAAAGGCTGATCCGTAGATCGGAACATTGCTCCAAAATATTTGATTTATGCTCCAAAAAATCTAAGCCATACTAGTATGCTTATGTATAGAGAACCGAGCGACTGTTTCCAGACAGATCATCTTGTACGACTCAATCATCCACATACGTCTGAGCCCAGAGTCCATACTTGTGTATTCCCGGGAGATCGGCTTGGCAGCATGATCCCGCGACAGTCGCCTTGGTATGTATGTTGATTCCTCCACAGCCGTCGCGAACGCTTGCTTCGCGCCCAATTCCCCAGATGATTAGATCCACCCTGACTGCAATGTTTTGCCAGGAAATCCCGTGTTGTTTCGAATTGGTGAGCTTGGCAGTTTTCTCAGGTGTCCGTCCGTTTCGGTCGGCCAGGCCTCTACTACTGCTGTGTTGATGTCTAGCGTGAGGCTCCCGGGCCACCAGATCCGCCGGTCTGGTCGGTCTGAGGTTGCTGACCGGGTTGCTGATCGCTCGGCTGGTGGCCTCGCGGCCACGACGGAGGTGCGGTTAGGATATAAGTTGAATAACCCGAGATAGGTGCACCCACTTGGTAGGAATACGCATACCCGGCTTGCGGCCCGCCGGTGCCTCCAGCCGAGGTGTCATTGGCGTGGTTCTGGTGCTGATTCTGGCTAGGCATGCTGAAGTCTCTTGAGGAAGTCACTGTATATTTGCTGTCGGGTTGACACTGAAGAGTCGTGTCGCTGCTGGTCGTGATGGTAGATAACAAGTTGATGCGTTTTTGGAAATCGGTGTGGTCTTTTACTTGTGTGAGGCCTGAGTGAGCCGAGAAAAACTGAGGAGCCAAGGGAAGAAAGTTTACATGTTTATAGGGAATACACAATGAGTGACGGGGAGGAGCCCAGCCGTATGCTCCCTCCTCATCACTGCACCACAATTTTGAAGGAACAGTGTGAGAAGCAAGTTGTGGGCGGCGGCTCACTTGGCTGGTCCAACTCACCCATGGGAATGGTGCAAAAATGACAAATCTTTTGAGCGACGAGCCCTGTCGGCTTTGCTCATTACCACTTCTGGGCCTTCATGAGCTACATTGGCTCTCTCGTCCGTTCGGTAGTCGCTCGAACAATCAGATGCCCACCTAGTCACACCTACCCACGGCCAACGCAGGCCGACGAGCTCAGTCATAGTCGTCATGGATCTCAGTTTCGAAGACATACCCGATGCTTACTGGCCCTAACATGCATTTTGAATCGCTCATGGAGCCCTCTCAAGTCTCTATAGCGATAGCAATGCTAGGCAATGTTGGGGTTGGCTTCGAGCCTGAAGGATCATATGTGAGAAGACTGAGGGGGGAGATTGCGGCGAAGAGGGAAGTGATTCATATGTAGTCTCGTATAGACCTACGTCGCAGTTGACCGTTGCCATCATGATGGCTCTAACACAGCATTGGGTCTACCCTGAGGAGCTAGACGATACAGTTTGAGGATAATGAGTTCTATAACCTCAAGTCAAGACAATATCCTGCAACCCAGGCAGATCATTCCCACCGCCTTCCCAGTGCATAATGCCATGAACATATGTCTCGCCCACCAGTCCAAACTCCTTCTTATACCCAGAGGCCGATCTCTTCCTCACAAGCATCGGCAGCTTAGAGCCAGCCAAAATCCAGACCTCATCACCCTTCTTAACCGACTTCATCCCCGTGCCGAGGAGCCCGTTGTTCGTCCTGAACAGCCTCCTTGAGCTGCCGCTGGCTATGTCGAGATCGTGTTGGAGCTCTGCCAGGTTCATCGGCGAGTAGGTGCCCTGGAAGATGTTCTCCATAATGGTTGACATGCGCCTCTTGTACACGGCGAGGCCTTCTGGCTCCGATCTTAGCAGGTCGTGCCAGCGGGGTTGGATGTTTTCGGCGTGGGTGTGGCTCTGGTGGGGCATGAAGTCAACGTCCGACCAGGGTGCGAGGGTGTGCCTGATCTGTAGATTCAGGATGTACTCCATAAACAAGTTCCCGCAGTGGTCTGGGGCTGGGTGTTGCCGTGAGTATAGGTCAGTTATTAAAGTCCGCCAGAGGGCTTCCAGACGAGACTGAGGCTTTGTCCGGACGATTGTCCAATTTGGGAGCTGTGGATACTTCTCCTCCAGACCCAGTGCCAGGTTCACGATAGTAGCCCAGTACTCTGCAGAGCATTCTGCCTCGTTCTGCAACAGCGCAGTCTCTTCAACTACACCGATCCTTGACCCCTGAACACGAAGTATGCCCTGCTTCAAGTCTTCGTCACTCGACGGAGGCTGCCATCGTGTGTTTCCACACGCTGACCAAGACGCGGTGCCACGGAACCTCAGCGGGTACGGCACTAGCTGGACGCTGAAATCAGGCACCCAGCTCGGCAGGCCCTCCAGTTTTGTCAAGCTTGGGTCCTGGGCATGAGACAGCAGGTGTAGACCCCCGTGGGCAAGGAGCAACTGTGCCATCAGGCGCGTGTAGACGTCCTGGACGGGAAGCTCGTAGTCTGGCCGGACGGACGTTGCAGGCGCCCCGCATACCAACGTCTTTGTATTTGCGAGGCCCACGAAGGCGTACACCTTGTCTCTAGGGTCGATGGCAAGCTTGTCGCGGTGGACTTGCATGAGCGTATCGAGCGAGACGGTGCCCGGCTTGGGTTCCCAGGGATTGTCAGACAGGGAAAGTGTGTCACTGCTCGCCATCACTTTGGGCAACAGGGGACCACGAGCGTTGTGTCTTAGAATCTTCCTCGTCCGCATCAGCGAGAATGTACCAGTGGGGAACTCGGTCCGCGAGGCCAGGAACTCGGAATACACGCCAGGGTCATCGCGGAGGCTGGCAATGTGCCGCATCTTCTCGGTACACAGGTGGTGATACCATCTCTTGGCATGTATGAATGTGAGCGTCGCCGCCAGTCGGGTCCAGTGGACTATTTGCTCGCCACAGACGACGGTTGCCTGCCTCGCAAGAGCCAGCTCCTGCACGACCCAGGCCCGCTGGAACCAGGGTCGGCTGAGCAGGGCGAGAAGGCCGAGCCATTGACGGTGGGTGATGCTGCCTCGAAGCCCGGTTGCTTTGGAAATCCTCGAGTACCAGCTGTCGTCAAAGAAGTCCGTATAACTGATATTATCCCAGGCCCGTCTCGCCTCGGGGTCTGAGTTGGAGGCCGTCAAAGCCATGAGAGGCGAGATGGCTTCAACGGCCGCGAGCGCATCGGCTGTGAATTGGTCCTCGGGACCTAACCAAACGGTAACACTCTGTGCTGCACGGAACACATCCCCCATAATCGAGACCTGGGCATTACGCTCCAAGACATTGGACTGATCGACGCAAATTGCGTCAATCCAGAAGTACCGAGCCTTCGAGGGCAGTCCTTGGAAAAGCGGAGGAGTCTGCTTTCTCAGGCTGCTGCCGGGCGAAGCGAAAGAGGATCGCCCCAGGTGTAGGACAGGGCTTGGAATTCGGGCGCCTGAGACTGCCTGAATATCCTAAGCGAGCAGCGAAAGTCACAGCCGGTTCGATCTGAGCCTTTAGCTCCACGATCGGCCGCCTTCACCTCGAGGAGGCGGATGAAGCTCCCAGATCTCGGATTCTGTGACGCATCTGGGAGTGGCTTGTAACGATACGAGGCGAAGAACCTCCGCGCTGAATAGGGACAATGGGAGGCGGCAGCCCATGACCTCGGCTGCATTGCATTGCGGATCTCGAACCTGTGGCCGATTCCATATGCAGAGCATCGCGAACTCGAGCCCCGTGCGCGCGCGCGTGGGAGTAGGGCTAGAAGGGACTTCGCGCAGCCAGCCACTCAACAGAGGCAATGTTGTATTGGGCAATGGGCACGAGTCGTGCACCAAACAGGATTGGTTGAGGCCGCCAGGGGCGCCCACGACCGGGATGATGAGTTCCACCTTCCCCGGGTAAAGATAATCTGCTAGCGTGTCTAGAAGCAACTAGCGGGTTTGGTTTTCTCTCTTGGCGCTCCTTAGCATTCAAAGTTACTTTTAAAACGCATCTTGCTTGTTTTAAGGAACATAAAGAGTATTGGGTTGGGCCTTAAGTCGTGCTCAAGCAAGGCCTATCAGCCATTTGCTGCGCTTAGCTCTTCGACTTAACTAGCCCTTTCTTAACTTATTTCCGAGCCTAAGAAAGTAATTTTAATTAAAAGGGCGTAACATAGATGCTGAAAGATATTAAGAATGAAAGTAAGTTCGCTAGCTGCTTTTGAAAAGGCTAGCAGATTTTCTTTACCGGGGAGGGTGGAATTCATCATGCCGGCCCACGACGGCCGGCAAACCAAGGAAACGCAGCGAACTGTACCGATGATCTAGAATCCCAATTAGTTGGGAAATAGTAGTGCACTCAATTGACCTTCGGATGCAACGTTTCAAATATCAGTACATTGTGGCAACTTTGACACCTGGGCGGATTCCTTTCCATTGGAGGAATTAATGGAAGTGCATTTTTAGCAACGACATGGTCGAGAGACGGGACCACAAGGTAAGTTCAAAATCGCAGACTTTGTTGCAAGCAGTGAGAATAATCACTGTGTCTCCAGAGCATGATTGACTCCGGTTGAACGAGAAAACGGCCAGGTAGGCAGGGCCACATGTTGAGGTTACGGTACCTTCGAAAAATGAAACTCAAAATGGACGTGTTGTGCATTAGTCAAGTTCAACCGAGGCCATGGCCTGCACGTCACCTACGAATTCCACCACATCGGGATTCGAAATCCGGGGTCAGTACTGCAGATGACGCCGGTTGCTGGCTTCCGGTAAACCCTGTTCTGGCCCACAAAATGTTTCAGCGTCATCTTGGGTCTACTTGATGCTCATGAACAATGATGGCTGTTGGGGTAGTCTACGGACACTGAGTCTGCGAGAAAGTGGTGCGTCTCAACGACAAACTCTCACATAGCGCTGATCCAAGTCGGTACATCCATGGCTGATTTTGTCGAACCTCGGAAGTTCCTCAGTTTGGAAGCCCATTGGAATCTGGCTGAAGTTTCTCATACTTGAGCTCTGACCAATGAAAGTCCCACATGCCACAATCTGTGCAAACATACTTTACCGACTATGCAAATCCGCCTCCGTGTGAAACTTAGCTCAGATATAAACTTTTCGCAGTTTATCGTGACGTACCCCCACACCGCATATGCAACATGACTAGGCCAATCGCCCCGTGCGTGCGGCTGACCGTGCCTGGCCATGTGGCGGGCCGCGCTATTTGATTCAGTCCAATGGACCATAGCTCAAAGGGGGGATGAACTCCGCGTGGATCCTGTCTTTAACCTCGGCAGGGATCTTGGCCATGGATTCCACACCCTCCAGGAGAACGACCTGCTGCCCGGCCTGGGTGGGTTTCAACGAGGTTAGCAAATGGGAACGAGTTTTCGGCAACCGGATGGCGAGAGATAAGCGAAAATGTGAGATCGTTCTACCTGCACTTACCCCGAAATGATGAATCATGTGGCAATGCAACATGCTCGCCGCTGGGAAGGCGATGTCGTACCGGATCACGGTCCAGTCGCCCGTCTGGTTACCCAGGCGGCAGCCGTCCCGGAGAGGCGGGTCGACGAAGTTGAAGTTTGCCTCCTGGCCGCCGAAGCGGATGGCTTCGTCCACGCTTGCCCAGGGGAAGCCGCCTGTGCCTGTGCCGATGATGAAGGCCTTGTTGTTGTGCTTGTGGAACGGGTGTTGTGTGGTGACGTTGGCGCCGTTCTCGAAGATGATGTCGACGACAGAGCCATTGCGGAGAGAGCCCTCACTGTAAGTAGTCTCTCCGCGGGAGTCGTCATCCCACAGAAGTGGAGGAAGTTGTTGGCGAAAGGCCTGATGGGGGCCGATGTTGAGCGCCCAAGAGCTGGTGCCTGTCATGTTGACAAAGAACTTGAGGGTGCTGTCTGATGCGGCTGGAGGGGGCCGTGCAGGGAAAGGCCTGAGCTTGGTCTCGTCCATGGCGACGAGAGAATGATCGACGAGACTGCCGTTGAGATGAACCCACGGCCTGGTGTTTGGAACAGCGTCGAGACCGGATGCAGACGCATCTGATCTTGGGTGGTCCTTGGCGTATCTCAGGATCCCGATTCCTTGGATGATCTGTTCGGCACGAAGTGACGTGACGCGAATGGCATAGTCGCCTGGCTTCTGATTCAGACGCACCAGAATACTGCAGGATGTCAGGTCGCGCCATGCAGACGTCTCCACGATTGTTCACTCACCTAATGCGCTCGCCAAGGTTACAGTTCGCCGCATGGACCTTCTGCGGGTGGACGAACTCTCCGTCGGCAGCAACGACGTAGAACTCGTGCTCATCAACGCTGATTTGCAGCTCGTGGTGTGCACCGGAATGGATGAAGTTAATCCAGATCCACTCATGACCCTTCGCTGCTTGGAATACCTCGAGTGGCGTGAAGGTCTCCTCACAGACCTGCTCGTTGGTGTACAAGTCCCTGGTTGGGCTGCATCTTGCAGCCAAGCGAGTTCCTGCCTGGCCCACCGACGGACTCAATGAGCTCTGGAGGGTGGCAGAAGGTCCTGCTTTTGGAGTTGAGGATGATGGAATTGCTACACCAAGGCACGATGCCAGTGTCTCTGTACATGATGAGGAGGATGTCCATCCCCTCGGCGTTCCAGTCGCTGATCACAACGTGGTGAGGGTTCTTTTCTGCCTCTCTCATAGCCTTGATGTCGTGTTTTGAGGATGAGATGAGATCATAAGGACGCGGTCGCCACGCTGCTGGGCGGATCCAGATGGGACCACGCATGCCATCAGCAAACGCTGGACCGAAATGGCCATGATAGAAGTACGTTCCGTACTGCTGCTGGACAGTGAAGCGATAGGTGTAATTGTCCCTGGGCTGAATGGAGTACTGTGTCACACCTGGAACGCCGTCATTCCATGGCCTGTCAATCTGATAGACCCCATGCCTGTGCAGATACGGCGAGCTTGTCAGTATCCGATTCCTGAAGTGTTGGGACAAGGTCTTACCAGTGCATGGTTGTCTCGGACGTGAGCTGGTTGTCAACGAAGACCTCTATCTCGTCTCCTTCATCCGCTTCAATGACGGGACCAGGTGACTGGCCATTGATGGCAAATACAGGTCTGCCATGACCATCCCCAGCAAACCACCTATTTGTGATTGTGAAATTGTAGGATCTCTTTGCATGGCATCGCACTGTCGAGAACAACAGTGGAAGCAGCAAAATAAGGGCACTTCTGTGTCTAGCCATGGCTGTCATGCCAGAGATGTTTGGAGATTCAGGGAAAGGGAAATGTTCGAGCTTTGCCCCAGCGATCAGACATTGAGAGCCCTAGGCCTTTCAAGATTTCATGACTTGTAAATATCGCGGGGGGTCCTCCCTCGCTCTACATAGCCGAACCTTATTTTTGAAGGCCAATCCTGGCAGATGAGGCACGCCTGCGTATTCGATCAGCCTCAAAACCACCGATGCTCTAGGCCCTGATGAACGGGGTTTCAAGTGACCTATAGGAAATCACTTTAAGAGGTCCGAGCCTGGCAGCTACGGCGTCACGTAATGAGGTTGCACAGTATCATTGGTGGACGATCTTGACCTACGTAGTACCTAGGTATATGCAGATATTCAGCTACTACGGTGTCACTATTTTCGAGTTGGGCCGCGTTGAGACTCGCAGACCCAGGTGTCAAGAGGCAAAATAAGGTGCCAAACTAGGGAAGGCCAGTCTGGACTTCCTGGGATCCACCTCAGCGTACCCACAATGGTTCATGGATTGCTAGCCCCAAGTCCGATGGGTCCTTCACAGACCTGGGGTAAGAGATCAGCCGGGGTCAACGAGGTTTCATGGTCTGGCTGTCACTCTCTGGCATGCCCTGATACCCCCGTTACAAAAGCAGCCATGACATCTGCTCGAATTTCTTGCATCCTCCTCTTCAGCGCCGGCCTCGACTGCCTCAACCTCCTCAACGCGTAAAAAATGGAATCCAAAGGATTGCTGAAGTCCGAGTCGGACTCGCAGACATGTGCCGTACCAGAGGCTCCGAGACGTTTTACTTCAATGAATAAGTTGCAGTTGTTCTTGATTGTAGCCATCCTGCCGGTATTCGAACTCTGGTACCATGGCATGCCAGCTCGACTGGCTACTCCACTCATCAAAAGTGGTAAGACAGGTTCAGATGGACAGCTTGTTCGCTCATACAACTTGAGCATAGGGTCACGATGGATAAATCAAGGTTAGATATTTTCTCTTCTCGCTGCTTCTCTGACCAGGACTGACAAGTCCTCCAGACGGAGGTCGATGGCGCCCAATGCTGGTGTGCAACGGACAGACGCCATGTCCGACATTGTATGCCGAGGAAGGCGACATTGTCCAGTTGCATGTCCAGAATGATCTTTACGCGCAATCTTCCATTCATTGGTACGTCTTTGAATGTCGTGACTTGACTGTCTGTTGTTGCCGTCCCCGCTTACATGAGTCCATCTCCACAGGTCCGGCATGGCATACCATCGATCCACAAAGTAAGGAAGACTCTCCATGAGCACGCCAAACAACTTGTTATACTAAGCCCTTAGTACAGATATGGACCATGGAATGACGGAACCGCTGGATTGGATCAGGTAAGGCCCGGCCCGGCCCTTGTCTTACCCACCGAAGATACTAAACCAGTCTCAAACAGTACCCAACTCTGCCCAGAGGCAATTACTCCACAGTCCACGACACCACTGGCAGATGGGGACTGAATTGGTACGCCGAGCACACAACAGCTGGCTCCATGGACGTGAGTGCGCCTTGACAAGAAGAGACGACCTGGGGAAATTCAGTCTGACCTGACCTCCCAGGGATTGTACGGCCTCGCCTATGTGGCACCAAGCCCTTCACGAAAGCGTCCTTACCACCTCATCACCTCGAACCCTCTTGAGCTTCGCCAAATCCAAGAGGCTGAGCGCAACATTCAACACCTGGTCATCAAGAACCACCAGCATCGTGACACGGGCTGGAAGCTTCTGCGCATGCGAGCAGAAGGCTCAGAGTTCTACTGCTACGACTCTATAATTGTCAATGGTGAGGCATCGTGTGTCTTGAGTCAGAGAAGTCGTCCATCCGGCTGGCTAACAATCCGAGTCATGTGGCAGGCAAGGGCCGAGTGCACTGTCGACAGCCTGGCTTCGAGAAGCTCAATGGCCACGATCTAGATGCAAAAGGCTGCATCCAGCCTGAGGGCCTGCCCGAGGAGAAATGTTCGCCAAGCACCGCAGACTATGAGGTGAGTCAGTCCTTTACTTGCATTCCTTAAGCTTGGCCGCACATGCGCTGACAGAAAACTCTACTACCCCAGGTCATCGAAACAGGTGGTCAACAATACCTTATGCTCAACCTCCTCAATTCGGGGTTCGAGCATTCTGTCAAGGTTGCCATTGACGGCCACGAGATGATTGTGGTGGCCAACGACGGCGGCTTCGTGGAGCCTTACACTACTCATGTCAGTTCTGGTGCAACCTAGTCGCCTATGCACCTCGCGTTGCTGGCCCACCCATCCACACCGCACTCCCAGACCCTGGATCTAGGCGAGCCGATTGAGATCTGACTGACACGGCATCATTTCCCGATTAGGTTGCGTACATCCCAAGCGCGGGGAGAGTCACCGTGCTCGTCAAGACTGATGCTGCTGCCGAAGAATACGCGGTCAGGATATCGTCCACCAGCGTGCTGCAGAACCTTCAAGGCTATGCTATTCTGCGCTATCCTGTCAGTGCCCCTCCCACCCCTCATCTTTCTTATTGCATTGCATCACACGAATCAGGGTCTGACCTTCGGTTTTCCGTGCCAATAGGGGAAGCGGCAGCCAATCTACGGTCAGCCCATGAAACTCCCCGAGGCAAAGCCGTCCGAGGAAGAAGTGTGCCTGCTCAAGGATTCAACCGTGCGCTCGCATTGCAAAGAGATCGAGCCCAACTTTCTCCCTCCCTACCCTCCCTCCCCGGTGCCGGCGGCAACGACGAGCCAGTCGTGGAGGAAGAAGGACCATGCCGCCGCAGACCTGACCTACCGCCTCACGGCTGGGCAGCAAAAGTCCAAGACGGAGCCGCACGCCCCCGAGTACTTCATCAACGAGCAGCCCTGGCAGCTGTTCCGCGCGTCCATGACGCCCGTGCTGTTCAGCTTCGTGCAGGGCGAGTCAGCCGCCGCCCGCGAGTTCGAGAAGCCCATCATCGGCGGCGTCCCCGCGGGCGCCGTCGTCGACCTCATCATCGAGAACACCCTCAACGAGACGATCCCGCTGTACAAGCACGGCGAGCCGCACTGGGTCCTCGGCGCGCAGAGGGACAGCTCGTTCCCCTACGGCACGGTCAGCGAGGCGGTCAGGGCGGGGTTCGGCCCGCTGAACCTCGACAACGCCGGCCTGGCCATCGTGCATGACCTGCCGCCCCTTGGGTGGGCTGTTGTGCGGTTCAAGGCTGCCGCCGGGGCGGCGACCATGGTGCATGCGGTCAAGCTGAGGATGTTTGCGGTGAGTTGTTTCCCTGTCCCAGTATCCTACCGGCAGGCTTCGGATTTGCTAATTTTGTCTCCTTCTTATAGCTGGGAATGTCGGTGCCAATCCTAGAGGGCCTCAATGGCGAGAACTTGGTCGACGTGCCAGAGTATGCCAAGTCTCGGCCTCATGTCAAGTTCGAGCCCGCCAACGACGGGGTCTTCGGCTAGTCTGATTTGAACTGAATTCGTACTTGACCATTGCTTATGGTACGCCTCAAGTAAGTGAAAAGGCGAAATCAGAGAAACATCACTGTCATTCGGTTGTCTTCCGATCCTGCACACCTCGGTTTGGGTGCCTCATTGAAAGCATAGCATGAGGGAGACACACTTGAGCATGTATGCCACGACGTGGAACATTTTGTGTGGTGTGCTTCAAATTGATCAAGCGATTGCGGCGGGAAGGTTGGCGTTCCCACATTGAGAATGTGTTGTGTTATACACAACAAAAGGATTGGTGTCAGATCAGCTTCAAAATTCGGGTGGGGTTATGACTGCCTCGGTGCTCTACAACACGTCTTGAGGTTAGCAACTCCCAATCCTAACTGCAAATGCACCCACATAATTGAGACAATCTAGCCATAGGAGTGAGAACTGCCTGTTAAAAAAAAAGTATTGTGATATATGGGTTTTCAGACCTTGAAGGCTGGCTCATTGGGCTTGGAAGAGGGATGAGGGCCCGCATCGGAGAATATCCGACAGGGATTGGCGGAAGGGTGCATTTGAGTTTGGAGAGGCAGGTGCCAAGGTGGAGGAGAATCAGACCACCACCAACAAGCACACGCGACCTCATTCCAACTTCGATTTCTAGTCTACTCTAAGCATCTCTTTGCCTTCTACAACGATCTCTGTCCTCCTCTATTCTATGATGCAAGTCTAATTATCTAGGGTGTCCACGATGTCTACCTCTATCGCTTCCATATTGCACGTGTCTATCTATTCGTCGTGAAGCTTCCCCTCTCTATTCCAGTTCCTCCCAACCAATCCGGAACACCTTGTATCCAACCTCGTCACCCCGCCCGACACCCTTCCTCTTCTCGAGCCTCTCTTTCGCCAGAATCCGCAGCACCATCTTCCCATCTTCTGACTTGGGACAGTCCTTGACGTCCGCAAAGGATGCCTCGACTGTATCGGTGACGCCCTCGAACCGGCCATTCGGCCTAACCGACGCGATGAGCCAGAAGATGCCATCCTTCGCAAGCAGCTTTGCCGCGCAATCGCGCAGCCAGGCGGCATGCTCCGGGGCGTAGACCACGTCTGTGGCGATGAGCATGTCTGCCGCAATGTGGAGAGGTGGGTCGAAACAGGGACTCGACCAGTCGAGCAGGCAGGTCTCGACGGGGATACTGTCGCGCTCGGCGAAGTTTGCAAGAATGTTATTATGCAAATTCTCGAGTACAGCGGGGTGATAGTCGGTTGCGACGACTGTCGCACCAGGCACGCCGAGCCGAGGGAGCAGCTTGGCCATGGTAATGCCCACCAGCCCCGTCCCGGCGCCCAGCTCCACGATGCGCGGCTGCCGACCCAGCTTCTCGGTCGTCAGATCAAACCTCTCCGGGGAGGAGCACATAAGATCCGACACTACGATCGACGCGCCCCAGCTCTGCAGGCCCACATCGGTGTGATCCGTCCCTGTGGCCGGGGTCCCGTCCGTCAGTCGAACCTCGATATTGTCCCCCTCCTGCCCGCCCCGCGCGAAGCAGAACTCCCTCTCGATCGCACCCGAGCCCTCGTCCTCTTCCGCGTCCGTCGCGCTGCTGAACGAGGCCAGTATATACGAGGCGTCGTCGATGACCCGCTGCTGGGCGTCTTCGTCCGCATGGGGGAGCAGCTCGTCCGCGCGCGAAATCAGGGTCGTCAGCCAGCGGACGGCGAACTGGCGCTCATAGGGGTCCTGGCGAAGTTCCGCGACGTGGTCTTGGTCCGTGACGACGGCATCGCACGAGTCTGTTTCTTGTTCGTCGCCCGAGGCGTACCCGGAATCGACGTGCTGGGGTGTCGATGCACCGCTACTCGCGCTGGAGATGGTGGTGTCGGGCGTTGGCAGGTATTCGGTTTGGCTGGGAAGAAGCGACGGCTTTCTGAAGGCGGCTCGAGGCAGGGGGCAGTAGATGTCGCGGAGATCCTGCAAGGCGCAATCGATCCTGCCCAGGGTCAAGTCGTCTGGGGAAGAGCAGCGCAGCCGAGGCAGGCTGCTCGTGGGAGGGAGCAGGGTGCCAGAGGCCCTCATCTGAACTTGCTCCAAGGGCCGGCAGAGAGAGAGGGCGACGGTGAGGAAGGAGGTAGAAGGGAGCGGTGACGGAGGCAGAGACCTGACGGTGGACGGCTTATCTGGCTGGATCCGTATTACTGAAGGGGCAAAGCCGAGCAGGAAGATATGGCCGTCAGGCTGTGTAAAGAAGAGAACAAGGGGATGTGTTTCGTGGTCACCGCAGAGACCCGAAATGCTGAGCCTCTGTCTGAACCGTCGCCATATTGATTGATTTGGTTTATGTTTGTCAGGGCCAGGTCAGGGCGGCAGAAAGTGCCGGGCAGAGCCAAGGCCGTGTGTCGAAATCCTCGAATTTTTGCTGTCATGAAGCCGAGGAGGACCCTGGCGGGCCTGGATCGTGAGTAAGGATTACCCCATACGGTTAGCTCGCCTATTAGCCCAGACCTAGACCCAGGAGTAGTCTAAGCGTCCGTCGGGTCGGGGTGAGGTCAGGGTTAGGGCTGGGCAGTACGGCGTGTGTCATAGAAACAATGCTGGAATCCGTGGCTTAAAAACATGTCGAGGTTGGCGGGCAGTATCAAGATTGGAATTGAATATGAACTCCGACATCACGTCCAAGCTCGTAAATTCCTGTATTTGGTCGCAGAGCTGCTCACTGTGAGTTTGCAGCAAGTGCATTGGTATGTGGCATGTGGCTGTGCTTCTTTATGCACCTAACCCACTGAACAGCACTGCAACGATCACGAGGGACGCTGTAGACTGTACGGTATGGGTGTGTAGGTTGCTTGGTTGCTAATTACGCTCAGAGGGCAGTGCCTCTGGTGTTTTGGGCTGCAACGCTGCTTATGTAAGCAGCTGCCTGCCCGCTATCTACGGATCCACATGGCTACCTGGTACATAAATGCATGTACCTGCGTGCTTACCTAAGGCATGCGGGCATCCTCCAACATCAAACTCAGTCAACATGATTTCACGTTGGACTGACCTTGCTCAGTCTCCGTATTGTGCACTCGCGCTCCACGCCGTTCCGCTCGCTCGGCTCACATAGTCGACCTCAAACCCCTGTGCGCTGTTCGCTCGGCGACTGACATGAGGCTGTCGTCGTTGCGATCGTGGCTCGGTGCAACAGACGGCGACATCATCCTCGGACCAAGCCTGGTCTGTTCTGCACCTGCTTGGCTGAGCCGTCGCTACTGCACCCACGCGGCATGGCGAAGAAACATGTTTCTGGCTCCGGTCGCTTGTGCCTTCGGTAGCCCTCGAACTGGCCATCATTCGTTAGAAAATCCCACCCGGAGGCTTCATTCTCATCACGGCGCCCACGAGGGAGCCGGGCCACACTCAGCGTCTTTGGGCCCCGCCGGAATGATCACTGGGTTGCAAGCAAGAAAACTTCGCGCTAGACAGCTTGCAGAGGCAAAAATATCTGAGACAGCACCTCGGACGATTGCCAGAAGCCGGCACAGAGAACCAAGGCCAGGCAATACCCCAGGCAGCCACAACGCAAATCTAGACAAATGGCTTCGAAATAAACTGGAACGGGAAGCCCGCCGCGAGAGAAAAGCTGAGCCAGCCAAGGCGCAGAAAGAGGATGACCAGGATTCTGTCCTCGACAGCTCCCTTGGGTGGTCCGAAGTTCACTTTGCTTATTGGGGCCCAGCGATAACTGCTGGCGCCGTGCATGTGGACGCGCTACTCAAAGCTCATAAGGCAGCCCAGAGGGCCGAGAAGGCTGCCAAATGGGCTGCAAAAGTTATCGATGCTGCGTCAGTCGCCAAAGGGTCACATGACGAAGAGAATGCCATAAAAACAGCAGACTACGCGAGGACACAGGCGGAGATTGCTGCTTCTGCCGCAAATCAAGCGAAAATGCGTGCTGCAGAGGAAGGGGAACGATACGAGACAGTCAGAGCCGAGCTCATGGCAAGCAGGGAAGCGCAACCTGTTTATTGGGATATTGAGAGCAGATTCAAAGATTCCAAAGTTTCTGCAGGCCACAGATTGAGAGGGCTGATTCACAGCTCGTGTCAAATATGCCATGGGGCGCATCCCCCTGCTAGTTGCAATGTTCTGTTTGATGCTCTAACTACAGGTATGGAAGAGTCGGACAAGCTTAAGCTTGAGCGCAGACTATTCCGAGACAGGATGAGTATCGACAAGGACTTCCGGGAGGCAATGTCATACATCCTATCTAAATTCTTTGTCTCCCGAGGGCAGACTCGTGAGGTCGTGCCCTTGCATCGTAGCGCGACCGACGATGCGCCTGCTTCGGCAATAAGTGAGTCTTCTGCGCCCTACAACTGGTTTACATCAGCCAGAGCCTGACGTCGCGTCAAGTATAAAAATTGCTGACATGTAGGCGAAGAGTATTTGCAGGGGCTCGACAGCAGGGTATTTTTTAGGACCATACTTGGTGAAGAGAGGAAGTTCACAGTAGAACGTATTGGGCTTCCCCAGACCCTGCATTCGGGCTACTGTACGTACTGACCTAGTTCTATCCGATACGATTTCAAGTTCACCTCGGGGATTTCCTGCGATCCAATATCCTGCTTATGCCCGTCCAAACTTAACTGACACATCGTAGATACCACCACAGGCGAGAGCGGCCAGCCGCTGACCATCGTGTATCCCACATGTGCGCCGAGCAACATCGCCACTGATCCGTTGTTTGAACGCGAGATCCAAATTATTCGATCTTTTGTTGCTCGATGGGAAAGGGGAGAAAAGGTAAACCTTTTTTTTTTTTTTTGGGAGAACTCATGGTCTTCGCAATTACGCTGACATCATGTGTGAATACAGTCATGCTTCGGACAGGACCCTTTCTCAGATATCCCATCTATCCAAATGATTATTTGCATGTAAGCATTTACTCTGCCTATGAGGCCTGGACCTTTGACTCCAGCGCCTCTCTTTCTCTCCTTCCCGTGCTAGAACAAAGACGCTGATGTGAAAAAAAGCGGTCGATGGCACCGTACCATGACCCATTCTATCAACCCGTTCAGAGCAGTTATGTCATTGAACATCACCAACGAGGCATTGTGGAAACGGGGCCTGTTTTACAGGTCAATCCACATCGGTACCAAAGACGATGAGATCACGAGCGAGTATGACTGGTGGTCCTATGGTCGGACTGAGGCTGATGGCAGTAGATGGGTTGAAGTCAATCTTGAACCGGTACACACGCCAACCTCACGTGTTCACTTGGCGTTCGCACGGGGCCTGATACGTGCGACCTTTCGGAATGTCACACAACCTGTACGGCGTCTTCTAGCCGCAGACGTGAAAACTGGAAACAAGAAAGCGCAGGGGCGCTACATGCGGTACTGCGCGGACGGCGTCCGGCAGGCCATCCAAAAGTACGGAATGGACAGTGAGCAGCATCGTCTGCTGGAAGTCAAGCCCGACGTGTTGGAAACGACAGAAGGCCGCAAAGTGCTTGTTGCAAAGGATTGGGCCCCGTCGTGGGAGACCATGATGCGTCTGGACCAAGAACAGCAAAAGGTCGGCCCTCTGCCACCCCGGGGCCTTCCCCCGACGCTCCGTCGACGACGACTCCTGCGTCTGGACCAACACCAGCAAAAGGTCGGCCCTCTGCAGCCCCTGGGCCTTCCCTCGACGCTCCGTCGACAACGGCCCCTGCGTCGTCGTTCTCCTCCCACCTTGGCCCTCGTTGTTCGTCAGCCATGGACGTCAAGTTTTCGGATGAAGAAAATCCTCCCTCCCGATATCACCCCAGGGAAAGGGGCTGTCGGGTCCGGGCCAAAGAACCGTCCCGAATCTCCTGAGAGTCGTCGACCGGGGGCCCAAAAGTACGGCATGAGAAGCATATTCTCGCCCCACAGCCCTCACCGAGAGGCGGTTAAAAATCCCATGATGGAGCGCCATGCCAAACGCCGCCAACCCAAGACATCTCGACCGTGGCCCTCAAAGAAAGAGATGAAGAACATCCTTTCCAATGACATTGACCCTGAAGAAGCCGATATCAGCTCCAGCACAAAAGGCCGTATGAAAAGGCTAAGGCTTACTCCCAGGGCTACTCGCCAGAGGGGTCCTTTCGCCCCCGGTATGACTCCTGAAACAAAAGCTGCCAGCTCCGAAGCGGAAGAACGTGGGGCACGCCCGGTCTCACGGGCACATCGGAACCAGAAGAAGTATGCCCCATCAAGGTCCATTTGGTGGTGAATCTCCCGTGACGGGCGGCAGAAGGGCGCGTTTCTGGCATGTATGGCGCAGGCGGAGTGGGACTGCTTCTGCCAATGGCCCGCAACGGTCTGCCATTGTCGTCGGCACGGGGTGATTTGTGCGCGTCGGCGGGTACCACTGCCGCAGGCATGTGTTCCTCTCCCGCTGCGAGGGGCCTGCTGATGTAGATATATCGGGGCTTTGAAGATGGCAAACACGCCGCCCTATTTTATAGACAAAACCGATCATCCGCTTTGACCACAGTCACATCTGTTGGTCCGGCGAATGCTGTTAATCCTCCGGTCCTGTCGCCGTGCGCATTGATGGCCAGAGGGCAATGCGGCCTGAACTGCGTGGGAAGTAGAACGCCACAGGGTTGGTCTTCTTATCCTGGGTTCCAAGCCAGAACACCGTGCAGACAAAGGCTTATGGGGTTTGAGCTCGGCCTTTCTCATCCTTCTACACTCCTATACTTATTTGGCAGGCATTTTGAGGCGCTCATCATATCAAAGTACAGGGCACAATACTATAGACCCACTATTTCGTACACCTCACGATTATGCGCCGTCAAATATAGATGCTTTTTGCCGGAGACAACTTGGAGTCAGATATAGTGAGTCAGGTTCCAACGACTCTCTCCTTCCTGGTAGACGGATAGGCTGGTCAAGAATCGCTGAAAATATGTGCTCCACATGGACATACATGATGCTGCTGCGCAATATCGGAATGCATAGATGAATCAGGTTAAACGTAGACGCGCTATTAATCAGTCCTCCTCCGCCGCCTTCTCCTTCACTCATTAGCTCTCTCGGTGAGTCAGTCGGCACTCTTCATACCTTCTCAGTTTTCCCGTCCGCCACGGTACTCCCATTCCGCGCCCTGGCCAGACTCCCCTGCCTGGCTGTCGCCATAACCTCGCCATCATCGCCCTCGAACGCCTTGTCGCCGAACGCGACGGCAATCTCCTCGGGCGTGTGGCAGGCCGTCTCGACGTAGTAGAAGTAGCTCAGGCCAGCCGAGAACAGGCAGAAGCCGGCGATGACGAGGTGAAGCCGTTCGAGTGGAGATCCGCAACTGTCTGTAGACCTTCTTTCTCGAATCCATTATTCACGAGCCAACGAGGTGTTTCTGGGAGGAAGAATGACATCGCGACCAAGATGAATGAAAGCACGATCTGGGTGATGAAGGGGCCTTGCCAGGACAACTTGTCGGGAAGAAGAAAATTGAATCCATTGTCCACCCAGCAATAAAGCATATAGCCAGCGATGAGGAAGGTGTATTCAATTCCGACCATATGGCCTCGGGCATGTGGAGCTGCGATTTCCGTCTGGATGATGGGGACAGCCATGGATAGGAACCCAACTCCCAAACCTTGGATGGTGCGTCCAGCAATAAAGGTTGCAAAATCCGGGGCGAATATTTGGATAAAGGCGCGGAAGAAGTAAATCAATCCGCCGAGACGGACGCACTTCTTCCTTCCGATTATATCACCTAGCCATCCGGCGACAAGTGCACCAAGGGCGGCGGTGGGTTGGAGACAGGCGACTGAGATACCGGTGATGGTTGGGTTTACACCGTCCGTGGAGCCGTCCGCGCCGCCGTAATCTTTGTAAAACCGGGAGACAAAGTTTGGGTTGACAAGCAGGCCGGACACAATACCCGAAGGTTGTTGGTGTCCGTGACCCAACCGTGAAGTGTCCTCCTCAAAGGAACGTACCTGAATTGTAGCCAAACAAGGCATCACCAAGACTACCGAAACCGCATGTTGCAAACAATAAGGGTGAGCCTTTGATAGGATACCTGGCGTTGATTTTCTTGGGCTTCAGCGTTTTATGGAACCAGTTCTGGTGTTTTGGATTTGAGTCTGAACAACCGCCACCGCCGGCATCACGGACATGTTCTGCGGAGGACTCGGACTTCATGATGACCAATTTCGTACTGGTGAAAAGTGGATGAAAGTCACGCAACAAGAGAGGTATTATCCGGATGCTCGACTGTGAGGAAGAGTCACAAGTGATGAGTGCAGGAGGCAGGAGAAGAAGTTGACATGCTTTAATATATGCTACGCATGAATACATGTGCCATCATTCCCCAGCTGTCCCCCGCAACTCCACAACCCCGGAGGAAATACATCGGGAAACAAAATTTTGCGGCTCCTTTGAGCAAGAACCGACTGAGGCTTTACATCTCCGCCAGGTTAAACTTTTAGGACACTGGGGTAGGTGTGTGCTGTGGAAAGTTTAATGTGGACCTTTGTGGAGGCGAGAAGCCGAATGGCGGTTCGAGTCCATCGGCCCGCCGGATTGCATGGAAAGAGACAGCCAAAACAAGGTAGTCAAGCACTACTTTACGGTTCCGGCGGAGGTGGTCCATGCTTGAGGCCGCATGACTGCCATCGATCCGGCGGCAATGCAGGGGTGAGCCGCCGGATGTCACGACTCATTGAGAGCGCCCAACTGGGATGTGAATCTCCCCACAGGTTTTGTGTAGTGAGCTCTGAACCCAATGGCTGAAGACGTTCGTTTACACTCCTAGGTAAGGAATACTGGGGTAAGACCATGGAATCTTCAATTTTCGTGTATAAAGCCGCAGCATATTGACCTAGCCCTGTTCCTTTCCCGTTCATTGCAGTTGACTTGCAACAATGGCTTCTCAGACAATGCTTGAGTCGCCTTCACCGGCAGTATCAGCGCCAGGAATTAGTACACCCTCCTACCCTCGGAAGTAGGAACACTCGCTAACCAACATTGTGAAGGTCCACACAATGATGTGTTAGCGAAGATACATGCATCTGCTGGAGTCAACGAAACATTCGTCCTCCAAGAGCAGGGAAAATTCGTCTATGAAGTTCGCTCTAAACCAAGCCTCCGTTCGACAAGAGATGTGCTGGTAAAGGTTATGGTGACTGGACTTTGTGGCTCAGATGTAAGATGACCTCCAATATCACATTTTCTAATGCGAGCGACGCTGACGATCTCATCTGCAAGATTCATTACTGGCAACATGGCCGAATCGGCAGATACGTCGTCGATAAACCCATTGTCCTGGGCCACGAATCGGCAGGAATCATCGAAGAATGCGGACCCGATGTCAAGAACCTGAGAGCCGGCGACCGAGTAGCTCTTGAGCCTGGCGCTGCTTGCAATGTTTGCCAAAAGTGCAGGAGTGGCCGTTACAACCTTTGCGCGGATGTGAAATTCGCCGCGACACCGCCATACGACGGTACCCTTGCGACCTACTACGTTCTCCCGGAAGAATGCTGCCATCTGCTTCCAGGCCAGGTTTCGCTCCGCGAAGGGGCGCCCGTTGAGCCATTGAGTGTCGCAGTGCATTGCTGTCGTCTTGCTGGAGACGCGCAAGGCAAAAGCTTTGCCATTTTTTGGCGCCGGACCAATTGGGCTCCTCTGCTGTGCTGTTGCCCGTGCATTTGGCGCCGCCCGTGTGGTGGCTATCGATATCGCAGAAGATCGCCTGGCCTTTGCGAAGCGCTCCGGTGCCACGGACACATTTCGGATGCCATCCCAGGGCCCCGAATCAAATGCGCAAGAGCTTTGCATAGCTGCGAAGTTGGGTGAGGGTGCTGATGTTGTTATTGACGCCACGGGAGTCGAATCGTGCATCGAATATGGGATCCATAGTCTCAAACGAGGCGGCACCTTCATACAAGCTGGCCTAGGTTCTCAGCGAATCAACTTCCCCATCGGTCAGATTTGTGACAAAGAAGCGGTGTTGAAGGGCAGCTTTCGATATGGCCCAGGCGATTATCAGTTGGCAGTGGAGCTTCTGGGCTCCCAGCGTGTCCAAGTTAGAGATATGAGAACGCATCAATTCGCTTTCGGCGAGGCGGAGAAGGCTTTCATGAATGTCGTGGGGCGTAACGGAATCAAGACCATAATTTGTGGGCCGGGAGTAGATCCCAACTTGGTGGGCTAGGAAGATATGATTCGACCATTAGATGGACCAAGCGGTAGAGACTCGGCGTTCGGAACCGCAATAGACAAGATTTCTTCCCCTTGGACCGGCTTGGGACGTGACTGTGTCAATGTTTTGATTGCGAGTGACACTCAGGGCTCGGTATGCATGATCACAGGCTACCATCGCTGCCGCCTTCACAGAAAGGGTGCAGCGTTTTGGTTTCCATGTCACAGTACACGCGGTTTCTGGAGTCGGCAAAGCTGGGGCCGAGCGAGCCCTTGCTGCCGCAGAGGCCCTCGGCCGTCTGCTGCTCGTGGTCGTTGATGACCAGGGTGGTGGAGAGTTTCTCGAGGAAGCTCTGGCCTCGTCTGTGGCGGCGGCGGCCGGGCTTGCCGGGGCTCGGGGTTAGTTGCTGGTGCTGCTCTTGGTCGTTGTGCTCGGTGTGCTCGGTGTGGGCTTGTCGTCTGTTGATCAGCTCTGTTGCCGACGGCTTTGTTGTCGTCTTCTCCGAAGTCGTGTAATGGCTTGGCGGGCCAATATCCGGTCTCTTGTAAACCTCGTTCCACCGCAGATCAAGCTCCTGCGGGTCGTGATTCTTGTACAGCCGGAACGATCTGCTATCACACATGTATTGTGCGCTGGTATTGAGACGAGGGTCGTCTTCGCCGACTTTCACGTCTGCCCAGTTGACATGGAATTCCCGAACGGGCGGGTTCCTTTCGCTAGTTCCTGGCGGATAGCCAGGATATTGGGATTCCTCCCAATGCCACACCCAAAGGCAGTCCGGGCTGTGATTGTCGCTGCCGGGGATAGTCATTCCGCTGTCTGTAATGTAATTAGAAACTTCATCTATAACCTATGCATCCTTTGCAAGCGGAATGGGAAAAGTGGTCGACTCACAGTACCACTGAGCGCCATGTTTCTCACAAGCATGGCCCCAGCCCCCTGACCATGCGTACTCTGACCCCTCTGACTGCCAGTGGATAGTAGCCCAAGCAATGCTTGGAGTCTATTAGCCATACAAAACTTTTCAGGTAGAGAGGGACTGTTCTGCCTATACGCAAGCCTAGTAGTTGACCACAAGAAACACGCAGAGACTCGAATTCCTGTCGCAGATATAAGGATAACTGGAAGCCCTTGGAAACACCGCATCTTACCAAATGGCATTATCGAAATTTTCACTCATGTCATGATTCCCTGAGAATAAGGTGTAGTTAGCTGCTTGTTGAGGAACCACTATGTAACCCGTGTCACCCTCCCGAGCACCCTGTCCGTGGATTTAGCATTTATTAGACTTGAACATGGCAAGTCCACTCTACTCCGGTAGATCCAGAGACCCATAGCATAGTCGCTGTTTAGAAATGGGAACTCACCTTGTTATGGATGGACTTCCCAAGAAGCTTTCCCTTTTGGTCATACACGCGGGCATCAGGCATGATCCCACCCATCGTGCTAAAGCCTGGTCTTTCGCGTTCAGGATCAACCCCAACAGCTATCCATATGGTGGAAGGATTGCTCTCAGCGCTGGAACGCTTAGCGCTGTAAGACCGGGAAGGGTGCCCTGTGAAGCTTCCTGGGCCGAAATTGACCGGACCGAGAGCGCTGGCGAGAAGGCCTGATGTGGAATTGAAGATGCCGAGAACTTGTACCATTGCTACGTTGCTTGCAAGCTGGGTGGTGTGTCAAAGGTGGACTGCGAAGGAGCAGGAGAGCAGGCGACGAAGGCAAGTGTTCTCAGTGAGCTATTGAGATCAAGTGCCACATTGAAGTACTTTGCTGGGGCAGTGCGATTCCCCATACTATTGGGCCATCTTCAAACATCTTCAACGCTGGTGCCACTAGATTGTGAACAGGCTCCATTGCCACATCATGGAGACCACTGCTGTAAGAACTCGGTCATGGAGCTCGTACCAAGGTCAAGAGAGGCGCACTAAATTTTGCGATTTGCACAAGTGCAGCACCGAACCCACGATAAATAGCGATGGATGGTAGCACCGACGTAGTGGTAGTCATAGGACGTTCACTAAGCCTAAATACCGTGCTACGGTATCTAAGAGCACTTGTCAGAGTGCCATGCGCTAAGAAAGAAGCTCTTGGGCCGGAGCATCGCTAAGCCCTAAGCTTGGGATCTACCTGACTCGACGTGACATGACAACCGAACTCGAAGAGGTGATTGTTATCCGAGGCATTCGGTTCGATTGTGATTTCACTCAGCCAACATTGCACCACTTGCATTGAAACCTGCTCCTGTGTAGTCGCTTAGATGTCGTTTGCCTTTCGGCAATTGGCCAGCAAAAGGCAGCGAGGAATTGCCGGGACTCCCTAGGTAAGGTGGATCGGTATATTGCACGGAGATCACCGCCCTTCAGCTAGAGCACGTCACATCGAGCTAGCTGGCATGGTAGCAACCATCTCCCCGAGGCCTAGCAGCGGCAGCACTAGTACTGCATGTGTTGAATACCTAGGTAGAACGAGAGGAGCTGAACACAGGCCATCTTGGCGCGCAAGACCAAGAGTGATCTCTGATCAGCAGAGAAATCCTCCGATACTGGATTTCTACACAAGACCATGTGGGCCGTTGTGGCTCGACGACGCCGATCAGAAGCAATTCTGCCTCCAGACTGGCTGTCACCGTTGGAACCGTGGGACGCCCATCAATTGGAGAAAAAGTGGCTTTGACGGCAGGGCCTGCACGTCAGACGCAGGTACAGATGCAAGGTGAGATCACGCGAATCCGGGGCACTGGATCGTGTTGGCCCGGGGGGAGCTGCATGGCCGTGGGCTGGGGGCCGAGACAGTGAGACGGGTGCGGATGCAGGCCTTGGCTTGGGACCGGGTCGACCCCTGAACTCCTGAAATAACATGGCAGACGGAACAAGCCAGTTAGACTGACCGAGCTTGGATGACTGGACACCTGCATGTACTGCAGACTAGGTATTTGTACCTGTATAGGTGAAGCGCGGGACGGAGTGACGGGCAGATGAAGCAGAAGCGGTGTCTTGTGCAAGCGAGATTCCGAAGGGGTGCAGGTCGGTCCAGATGCGCAATCTCGTCCGGGTCGAGATGGCGCTGTCGACATCGAACGCGTGCGTGGTCAGCCTAGAAGGTAGACTAGATATTCCATGTACATGCAGACATAGATACATACTCACATGCTCAGAGTAGTCGTCATGTGAATCAGCATCAGCAGTGTCGGTCGATATCTCAGCTGCAAGTTTAAACTCTCAATTGCTGCAGCTGGGCGCAGATCACTTGTCTCAACCCGAGCCGTCACTGGCAGACAGCCCGATCGTCAGGGGTCTGCCATTCCGGGACAAATAAAAATGGGGGCCAGGCCACGGCTTCCACGGTGGACCGAAATTGGGCTGAGCCCGACCCTGGATCTGCCTTTGATTAACCTGAAACCGTGCGAGCAAGCAGACGGTGCCAGAGGATGGCCTGGACGGTCAGAACAGAGGCAGATGGTGGGAGAGGGAGAGAGAGAGAGAGAAAGACACACAGACAGAGAGCGAGAGTGACAGAAAAGCTTGGGCCACCCCCAGCACCGAAGCGAGGCATGAAAATAATCATTGCGCCGGTCGCCAACGAGCTGGGGGCGGCGGGTTCTTGTTTGGCTGATGGGATGGATGGATTTGAGAATTTGATTGCATGTGCATGACCCGGGGCCCACGCCCCCCCCCCCTGAATTCTGAATTCATCCTTCGATTCGATCCATCCTTCCACAGTTTCCGACTCCGTCCCCTGCGCACGCAACCGCCGCGCCTTCCCCCTCATGCACCTGTGTCGTCGCCCGTCCGTTCCCGTCGTCAATCACCACCACCACACGATCATCAACTCATGCCGTGACTTGGCCTGACCGGACATCAACAAGCCTGATCTGGTCTTCGCATCCCGATGCCATGAGACATTCCCATTTTCTGCATACGCAATAGCAGTCAACAACCCACACTCCTTTTTTCCTCTCTTCTGAATCGAACCACGTCGCATTTCTCATTCTGTCCACTCCCTTGCCGCCTTTTCGCGCACCCCTACGCTCCTTTCCTTGCATTTACCCCTGAATCGTGTCCATCCGCTCCGTGAACATCCATCGAGACCAGACGACGAGGCGAGACATCCACCCAAACAAAACAGAAAACGACCAAAGTCAACAGAAACATAACGTAGCACAGAACGGCCTAGCACAGCACGTGCAAAGCTCCTGGCCAACGCCGATACAATGCCTCCGCAAACCCGCGTCAGGTCCCGCTCGTCGGTCGAGCACATCTTCGACCTGGTCGAGGGCCTCGACGAGGACCAGCTGCACAACCTGCTGGACGAGCTCAACAGCACGACCGACACCAACGTGCCCGTGTCCAAGGGCGTCGAGTACTTCGAGGAGCAGCGGCGGGCGCGGGCAGCGCAGAAGGTCCTGCGCCCGACGCCCTCCTTCCTCAACTCGCCGCACGAGCCCGTCGACTGGCCCCGCCAGAAGCCAAGGCCCGTCAGCGGCTCGCAGTGGCGCCAGAGCATGCGCGTTGTGTCCACGCCCTACGGCCACCTTGGGAGGCACCAGACCGAGCCCATCAGCCCTCCACTGACTGCCAGCCCGCCCTCGAGCCCGCCCCTCAGCCCGCCGAGTCACGGGAGCCCCCTCAGCCCCAGGCGCACCGTCACCACCCCGATCCTGCCCATGGAGAAGTCGGCTCGGCAAGGCGGAGAGATCGAGTCGCTCCCGCTGCAGAAGAGGCCCGCCAGCCCGCCACGGCAGCACGACGACGAGGAGCACGACGGCACCGAGCGGGAGCACGAGTCGCGGCCGTCTCTGCACGAGTTCGGCGGCTTCACTTTCGGCTTCGACGGTGCGGCCCAGTCTGCCGACGCCGAGACACCACAGCAGCAGCAGCCAAACAAAGAAGTGCGGCCGGTCAGCCCGCTGTCGCCCTCGCAGCAACAAGAGCAAGACGCTCCCGCTCCTGCCCCACAACGCGCCGACTTCAGCCGGATCAGCACCATGCCCCTCCCAAGCCTCGCAGCGACAGACTCAGTGTTCGACCTGCCCCGGCCGCGGACGTCGACAGGCGACGCCGCCACCACCGCCAACACCTTCAAGCCGCGTGCCTTCCGCCGCATCAGCAGGCCGCAGTTCCTCTCGCCCGCCAACATCCCTACGCCAGATGCCCTCGCCGAGCGCCTGTCACAGTACTTCTTCGACGGCCCATCCTCGCCACCACCCCCAGCGGGCTTCTCCTCTCTCGCGGCGCCCCCGCCGTCGCGGCCGTCTGCTGAGATGTCGATGGAGCAGATGCTCAAGGAGCCGGCGGCCCCGCCAAGCAAGCTCGTCCTCGGGCGGGTGGAGAAGGAGGTGCCGAGCGTAGGTATCTTTGAGGTCCTGACAGAAGGCTAGGCCCGGGATGAGCTGGGACCACAAGTGGTCCGAGGTTGCACCGGTGGAACGATGAAGCTTTCGGGGGTGCCGGGAATGAGGCCACTGTGGGAAGGGACGGACGGTTGTCTGCGGCGGTGAAGCCTTGGCCGAGGTCGACGACGAAAAACCTCAAAATGACACCCACCGAATCGACTTTTTTTTGATCAGTATTTCGTTTTAATCTGCATGCATCGCATGGCGTTGGTGTTCTCTTTTTTTGTTTATATAACATGGAGCAGGCTTCATTGCCGAGATCTTCCCCCATTTGTATTTGCTTTGTGTGTGCGTGCGTGTGTGTCTCACAGTCTGACTGGGGACAAGAGAAAGAAGAACGTCTGTTTTCGCTTCGCTTCGTCTCGCTTCGTGGGTTTGGGTTTCGGCCAGTCAATCAGTCAGTCAGTCGTATAGTCCGTATATATCCGTTTGCGTGGGCTGCCTGTGAAGGAATGGGCAGTCCCGCGTAGACTCGGGCCGCTCGGTCAGCCGCCAATGACATTGGATAACGTTGAGAAAAACACGGGTCTGCTTGGATTCTCAACGTTTCGAGGCACGTGTGTTCTGCGTTGTCGCTGGCCCAAGTGCATAGGTCGGTGCTGTGTGGGGTTCGGGCTGTGTCTTGATCCATTCCCGCTTGTTTGTGCGATATTCCCCAAGGTGGTGGGAGGGGAGGTCACCAGCATATGCTATATGCCACCCGGGCCAGTTCTCTTGGTCCATGGTTTCTTTGTGTAATGTCAACGGGCACCGACTGTGAACTCGACGATGAACTGACCGACATCGTGCCAAAGTGAAATGGGGGCACGAGGACTGTGCGTTAGTCTCTCAGTTAGGAGCTGTCGAGAAGCAGAAAGCATAATACTTTGGTGAGTGAGTGGTTGTCGGCAAGTACGACTCATACGTCTTCAACTATGAACTGGTGGTCGTTCTGTCTTTAATGGCAGAAAGATCTCCCCTGTGAAGCTGGCGGCTGCAATTTGCGTCCTATGGCACCTACAGGATGCTCTGGCATGGGATCCTACTTTCAAGGGTTCCGGGGCAACTTGTGACTGATTCCGGGCGCCTGCATCATAACTGTGAGCACATGGACGATGTGACGACATTCTCAGCAAAATTCGCATAGTAATCGCTAGTCACAAACCAACCTTAGAATCCACTTCAAAGTGCTGCTTTGATAGGATTGAAGGCTGAGGACCTAGACACCAATTGTGTCGTGACTAATGTCCATGGATTCTACCTAGGAGGCTCTGATGGTGTCCCTAAGTCTCTCTAACCGAGCTGTTCGAGTCTAGTGGACATGACCACATCTTAACCTAGAACACTTGAAAATCCGCCTCAGACTCGCTGACAATTTTTATCACTTGCATATATTGCCCTTGAAATTCAGTCCAAGACAATAGGAGCTCGAGGTTTACGTCTAGGTGCAGGAAGGAGAAGTAAGGTAAAAGGCATTAAAAAAGCCTTCTCCCAAGAAGCCTGAATGCGTCCGTGCTGTTTCAGCAGACAACAGTTGGATGGGACGGACAATTCAAAAAGTTGTTTTGTTTTGTCTGCAAAATCTTCTTTCCCATTCATCTAGTATGTAATTATCTCACTCCGTGCAATTATAGCAACGATCCCGTCAAGATAGGTATGTGTCCATCGGGGTACCCAATGTGCACGTGGACACCTAGCTTAGTATAGAGCTAGAAGAGAAAATTGGATGTAAAAGTTTTGGGCAAAATTGCTTGGCTACTGATTCAAGCTGCTCTGCATTTAATCTGTCGTCTCTCCAGACTCTAACCAACTATCATTTCGATTCACATCATTCTCAACTCACATCATCCTCACGTTGTTCCCTCACTTTCTTCTAGTCTCAGTGCCATCAGTGCCCATGATCGTGGGACCATCACATCGTTGCGACTTACCAACACTCTCCTCTTGCAGCTTACGTGTTTTCATTTGGACCTACAACCTGTCAATATGGGGACTCATCTTTCGACCCTGACCAGACCAACGGTACCAATCATTGCTATAGCATTTGGTACCTACCTCCAAAGTTACAGATTTGTGCGACGCAGACAGTGGATCGAATATCCTCGCCTGAACTTGTCACAATTTCCAGAGGAGATTATACTGCAAATTCTCCGAGCGGTCCATGACACCCCGATTCCAAACAGCAGATGCCGGTTTAACGAGGAATGGACTCGTTACAACCAGGGCACTCGAGATATCCAGAATGTTCGACTTACATGCAAGCTTTTCGAAAGGATCAGCTCCGAGCTTCTCGTCAAGTTTGTCGGGGTGGATCTCAGCGTGGAATCCCTCGCTCGACTCCAAGCAATAATGCACCACCCCAGGATCAGCAAAGGGGTGGGCATGGTCCGAATTCGACTCTTGGCCTACGACCCGATCGTAGGCCTAGACCTCTTCATGAATGAGATGAGGAATACTCTGAGTAATTATATGTATCAGATGGACCAAGAGATGGACGAAGAGACGAAAATGCTGGCAAGCTGGTATTTCAAAGGCTGGCGAAAAGGTACGCCGAGCGTGCTCCAGAAGTTCCGCGCAGCAGCAGAGCCTGCACATCGGGAATACAGACGGCGGTACCACGCACAGAATGACTTTTCGAAATCAGATTTCATCGAAGATGTTTCCGACGCGTTGGCGATGAGCAGGAAACCTTTGAGAATAGAAATTACGGATCGCAACGACTTCATATGGTCCGACACCCGGGCTACAAAAAGCAATCTTCTGAACGTCATCTCGGAACCTCGAGCGACCACATGGCGAGGCCTTAACGCCCGCTGCGACAGTATATCTCGGGATTATGCATGGATGATACCTCTGATGCTGATGGACTTTGCAGCGAGTCGCGTCCGCATCGCGGACCTACACTTCGACACCAGCACGACCACGCTCCCCGAAAATTTGTTTCCCATGGAAGCGTACTCGGGAGGAATGAAAGAGGCCATGCAGAATCTGCGAAGCTTTACCTACCGCAACGAAGATATTATAGACACCATGAAACCCGGACCAAAATGGACGTCGGTACTTCACAACTGTCTCCCGGCAGCCTCGCTACGAGACCTAGTTTTGCGGCGCGTCAGGCTCGAACCAATGAGCCAGTGCCGTAATCTCACCCGAGTCTCCCTCACCGAGGTCGAGTTCCGCGTCGAGAGGCTCGCCCTCTTGCTGGAACCGCTCGAGCCTCACACCGTTGACATCAGCTTGAACGAATGCGTGCTTTACGACAACGACGGCGACGACGACGACTCGTGGGCCGACGCTCTAGACCTCTTGAGGTCCAAGCAGCGCTGGACACGCCTGAATTCGCCCAAAGGTTGGGATATTGTTTGTATGTCACGTGAGAACATCAACTACCTCTTTGTGCACTTGGAAGACTGGCATGGAGGCGCCAGCAAAGCAGAGCAATATATTCGAGGTGGGTTGGATGTCAACCCAGTTCGGCAGCATCTGGACCGTTCAAGTTTCAACAATTAGCCCGTCTTACCACCAAGACCTCTTTCAACTGTCCGCTGAGACATGTTCAAAGGGATGTGGAACAACATGAAGTATTACTGGACTACAACGGAGCGCGGGATAGGCCGTCGTACTTGCAACTATACTCCGCCAACGGGGCTACCCAACATAAGCCACTGGAAAATGGAACCGCGGCTAGTACACGTTGTGGAGGGAAAGACACTCTCGAGGCCGACCCAATCACGCTGGCCGATGGGCTGTCAAACGACTGATCACCAACACATCATTGTGATGATAAGACTACTCCTTTGCAGACTTGCTGTTTGCTGCGGCCCGTTTTCTTACTGGTGCATTGGAAGGAAATCACAGGGTACACAGTTTAAGACGGACCAACTTAGTTCGTGCTATCGTATGTACCATAGAAGCATGTGCGCAGATAGACATATATACATGAAGAATAAACCTCAGAGAAGCCATTCGCCCCATCGACAAGTCTCAGGGATTGTAACTCGTGACGCTCAGGTACTGTGTCAAGAAGTAGGTCGTATCCTGAGGGCCGGGAGAACCACTGCTTCCCTCCATCTGGTAGTCAATGATGAGGTTGAACGGCGCCCCCACCATCTTCGCCCCGTACTGGGTGGTGATCAGCTTGCCGTCCATGTAGAAGTTGATCTTGACCGTCGTCCCGTCAGACTCGGCCCGCAGCTCCGCGAGGATGGTCCGCCACGCCGTCGTCGGCGACGGGTAGGTCACGTCCGTAGCCTTGACCTCTGAACTGGTGTTGCTGTTCGTCTCGCGTTAGCAAATCTGGGACTACTGCAAGTGCTGGGGGCTGCCCTCAGCAGTGATGAGAATCGTAGACGTACAAGGTGTTGAAGCTGATCTTGCCCGTGCCCTTCCACTCAGCCAGGTCGATCTCCGGAGGCCAGCTGTTGGCCCCGTTGAGCCAGAAAGCAGGCCAGGTACCCTTCGCCACGGGTGCCACAAAGTTGGCCTTGAAGTCGAGGCCGCCCCCCTTCTGGACAGTGAACTTTTGCTTCGCGTAGACTGTACCGCTGTTGTACTTGAGCTTGCTGTTTCCGCTCTGAGGGCCAGTGTAGTCCGATTTAAGCTGCAAGTAAGCGTTGTGAATAATGCTGACTTGTGCCTTGGACATTAGCGCCGCGCCGTTGTGCGTGTCGCCCCACGGGTAGTTGTAGTTGAAGTAGGACTCGAATGCCTGTGTGGAGCTGAAGCAGGTATCCGGGATGAGGGTGGTCGCTCGCTTCTTCAGCTCACGCTCGTGGAGCGGAGTCGATGGCGATGCGGCGGCGAGGCCGGCCAGGAAGGCGACAAACAGGCTAGGGATCATGGTAGATGCTGGCGGGAGGAAACGTCCTCGCGCTAGGAGTATGTGGCAGAATCTGGGGAGGCGAAACAACGCCTGCACTATTCTCGTTATTCAAGATCTGAAAAGCTCCGAAAGATGCGATGAACTGCCAGGCGCCATAGGTCATAATTCGACGAGCCGGCTCACGTATTTATCGGTGCCTCTGGGCAAGGCCCATGAGTACTGGAAACAAAGTTTCATTAACATGAACCGGCGGGGGCAGGGATCGTCAAGACGAAAGGGGGTAGCCCGCGCGCGCCATTGGAGGACAAAAGTGACCCCATGGTGCCCACTTGGAGCTGGACCAGCCATGGTACTGGGCAGAAGACGTCGTGTTTAAAGGAGCTTCCCTAAAGCGCAACGGCAGTCGGCTTTGCATCATGCGGTTGATGAAGGTTCGAGGTTGCATTTTGTCGATCGCTGCTCCACGAGCACCGTATTTTGAGTTGCATTCTGTGCACCATTCGGCCCGCCTCGGACCAAACCGAGCTTCTCCAAGCCAGTTGTCCGCGTCTGTTATTGTCAACATGCACGTCAGTGTAAGTCGCCGTGACTGCCTTATTGAACACGGCATGATGTATTGCATCAGCCGATACATGATATCTATTGGGTGATCAAGGCGTCCGAAAAGCACTGAAGAGGGTGAAGTCAAGAATGGCAATACAGCGGCTGAGAATGCGGTCGGAGTAAAAAAGAGGGTCCAAGTTTCAAGCTTTCCGGGGTGCCGCCTTGGCTTTTTACCAACCCGAGTTTGGAATTGAGGGAAACGCGCGTGAATAGAGCTTCCAAATTTATCACCGTGTGTGAAAGCTTGATTACGCCTTGTGTTTGCATATACGACGATACTGGCCAATGAACATTCAAGAATCGGTCATACTATGCTTGGAACGCGGGAGTCCGGATCACGCGGACATTCTCAAATGGTGGTCATTACTCACATAAAGCTCTGCAATGCTACGGTATCTACGACTGCAGGTGGTGAGGGTTTCTAGCGTGATGATCTGCCACACATCTGCCGTACAGGGAAGATCTTCCAGCCAAACATAACGTGATGCCATTGACGGTTGAATGAGACGGTCGGCCCCGGTATACCCGCAATTAGGTCAGAGGTCGGGCATCTGGATAAATATGTTTAGCACCATAGATTCATTCATCACTTGTTCTACCACCCACTTCGGGCCACTCGCTTGGCCGGTCGAGCTTAGATAATCAGAGTTGCATCGCCCAAGTTGAATGAGTTTGCGCGGACCACAGCAATGAATCGGTAGTCTTCGACAGAAATTCCACATCTCAGCCTCGACTGAATCGTGTGCTTAACTGCAACCTTTCAATGGCCCCATAAGCTTGCAAGTTGGCTGGAGAAGGGAGGAGCGATGGACACTCATGACGACAATGTCATACGTAAAGCATTGAACATTTTGTTGGTATATCAAAAGACCGGTTTATCGATATCCATTGTTTCCCTTGGATCCGACGGCATGCCACTGCCACTGGTTATTTCCAGCGAGTGGACGTTCCAGGCCAGTCGGCCCTTTCAACTCGGACGACGAGCTTTGGACAGAAATGGCCAAGTCCTTGAACGAACATCCCTCCAAGATCTGCCGTAAGCTACGCCGAAGCATGCCGCCTGCTGCGCCGTATACATTTATGCACGGCGACGTTTCAGCAGAAAACATCATGGTCAAAGATGGGAAGCTTACAGGTATCATTGACTGGGAGCTTAGTGGTTACTTCCCGAAATGGTGGGAGTATGCGAGCACTTTCCACCACGGATCGTGGCAGGACATGGAGTGGAAGCGGCTCATACGGGAGTGTATGGAGCCTCATAAGGAAGCGGCAGAGTTCTGGGTGGCTTTTCATCGTTTGTGTGGATATCCAGATCTGGATTCGCTCGGTGAGGAATTTTTGGAGGAGCTTGAGAATGAAGATGTGGATGCCCTTGGCTTTTCTGGGGAGTGTTTACGTCGATGGCATTTTTAGATGCCTTCACAGACCTTCATTCACCAGCAGCAGGACCCATTATCAGTAGCCTTTCCACAGCACTCGCAATTTGATTTGATTTCTTATATTTATTATTGAGTTTTGACTTGTGAAATATATTCCGCTGTGAATTTGAAACGGTAACTCGCGATTGTAATGATGACCATACAAAGATTTGGCATCCATCCGACATGATAGTAATTTTGTATCCACTATTGCCGAGAGATGAAGAAGTATCATGTTGAAATCGACGAAGTTTCATTGCCTTGTTTTATCTTCTTCTTTCGCACATCGTCTAGAACTAACCTCTACGGTATGACTGTGGTAAAATATGAAAAGGTTTGCTTGTAAGAGCACACAGACACCAACTCCCTGCCCAGAAGAAAACGTGTTCCTGGGCTAGGTCTCACATTCTCGAGTGCAGAGAACACCCAAACTTGAAATTTGAAGGGCCTGGTAAGAGAGGTCACAGCAGGTACGTCTATACCTACTGAATCTTTCAGAGAACAGAGAGAAGATGAACGTCCCTATTCACGGCTCAATAGTGTTTGAAGGGTTACGACGTTTTGTGATGAAACAAATCAGTGGCAGTGATATCTACACTACCTCTACATTCAAGCCCATAATTTGTTTCTTGAACCTTAGTCTAGGTGATTAAATTGTGATGCCACAAAACGATGAGAAGGTGACTTGTGGTTCTTGATGTGCATGGTACACGCGGATCATCTGCGGTTGGAGATATGGAATCGTTACTCACCTGATAATCCATTCATGAACCAGAGTTTCAAAGTCCCCGACGTGAGTGACTAGCCATTCAAGAAAGCCACCATTAGATGATTCGCCAAAACAGTGACGGGCCACTGGCTTCAGTCACAGGCATATCACTTTCCTCCCGTCTCTGCCTCATTTCTATTTAAACATCCCAACTGCGACATCCTTTTACTCTCTTCTCCATCTTTACACTTATCAGCCCACTACAAACGACATCAAAGGACAAAATGAGCTCAGTTTACAGCCTACCCAGGCGGAACGAAAACATGCACGACTATGAAAATATACCTCTAAGAGATTTCAATCAACCGCAACAGAATCAACCGCAGCAGATCCAACGGATTGAACATGAAGAAACGAAGAAGTCCATAAAGTGGAAGTGGAAGGCCGCCACATACTGCCTTGGGCCTTCATTTCTTGTCAGCCTTATTCTGGCCGCCATATTTATGCCTCTCTTTATTATTGAAAGGAATAAGTCACCAGAGATCACAAAGAATGGCACAGTGCTCACCTCCATCGTTACAACTACAACAAGCATACCCGGTAAGGCCTCAATGAGTACCCAAACCTTACCCCCAGTAACCCATACCTTACCACCCGTGACCCAAACTACTGTTCAAACCCAAACAGAACTCTCACGTATCACCACGGAAATCACACAGACTTCAGCCTTGACCACAACTGATACTACGAGTATTACAGTGACCCCGACCAAAGATCCACACGACGGGAAGCGCTGTGACAAGAACCTGCTCTACGGCGGCCAAGAACTCCACAACATCAACAGCGACTATGACTTGTTGCTGGTCGACGCTGTACAAGAAGCGTTAGACAATGGTATGGATATAGGCGATGCCCAGGTCCTGGAAGTCGCACAGAAGAGCGTGTTCCTATGTTCGGGCAGTCATTCGATCGAACTGGTCGAGGCATGTGAATCAGGTTTCCAGCACAATGGTGACAACGTTTCATGCAATTCTGGGGGCTCATACCCAATTCCATCTCCCACTCAAACTGCCACGGAGACCATGACCACAAGTACAAGTACGAGAAGGAGGAGAGGACGTGGGTCATAAGATCACGGGGCAGGTTCGATACTGGGTGTGAAGCCTTTATTTGTCTTTGGCAGGCTTACTGGCACACACTTACCGTAATCCTAGGTATCTCGTCTAATATTATGCATTATTATCCGTGCTACTTCGCTCCCATGGGATTACTTCCTGTGACTCCGCTTCTATGTCATGATCCATCACGTGCGGTGCCTCTTGAAATCCCATATCAAGTCTCATAGAGAGTTACAATGCACTTGAGCAGAGATATAGCTTCCGTCCCAATCATGAAGTCGTAACTCTGCATTTCGAAGTCTGCAGCCTAGATGTCTTAGAATTTGAAGTTGAAGCATTGAATGAGGGAGTGATATACAATTCTGTCTATGCAACACGGGACCATAGAGCTTGATAGGCAAATCACAGAAAGGCCAGGTCAAAACGAAGAATACGGGAAGGAATATGAACATACTGCATGTCCACACAAATCCATGTCCTCAAGAAAGGTATGCATGTCTTACCCAACTTCTTTTTATTCTCAATATTCCAACGATCAGGGCCAATGCTGAAGGTACAGCGTCTCATCAGTATGCACAATGTTGTATCATTGGATAGCTGCTGCAATCACGAACGGAGGCCAAACCACTCCGCTGAATAAAACTTCCGGATAATGTGGTCTGACGCTGCTAGACCGGGACTTGCTAGGTTCTAGGAAATCCTGTTCCTTGAGGGGCCAATGGCGCAACACCTGCCGTACTGTAAACAGGTCAGGAATTCGAACCTTACAAACATCCATCTGTACTACGTATATCCTACCCATAATGGTGTGTAGCATCGAGGCTCGCGGTTCGTCGTTCCGTACTACTGGTTGGTACTTAGGCAGTTGGTTTGACAGCTTGGCAACAACGCTAAATGTGCGGTTGCAGAAGAACGTGAATCCTACAGCTGACCAACAACAGCTATGTGGTCAACAATTCTGACAGGTTTCCCCTCTCTTGAGTCCCATTCTCACATTGATTGAACCATCGCCCCCTCTCGTGTCCGTTATTCACGATTTGCCAAATCTTACGCTTTTCTCTCCCCCTTCCAAAGTTCTCAGCGAAAATGGCTTTACCCAACAACCTGCCCAGAATCGTCGAGCTGGCTGCTCAGATCAGCAATTCGGTCGCCGAACTGCAAGAGCAATTGACAGCTCAGGGCGCGCCATCCCCATCTTGGGCCGAAGACAGTCCTGAATGCCTCCCCGCTGATGTATCTAATCTTCAGGATGCTGTCCTTGACGCAACTGCTGAATTGCATGAGCTGCTATTGGATCCCCTGATGCTCATCTTCAAATTCGCTTCTGTACGACTTTCTCGGGCCCAGCTGAATCTTCCCAAGAACTAATGCTTCAAAGATCTCCAACCTGGTCAGCATCGACGCAATCTGCCGATACCGCATCCCGGATATGATACCTCCTGGCGGCCAGATCTCCTTTGGAGACATCGCTATAAAGACTGGCCTCGAGAAACGGGAGGTCAGACGTCTACTTGGAAACGCGATGTCCATGCGTATTCTGAGAAGTCCGGAGCCAGAAATGGTGGCCCATACCAAGGTCTCCAAGTTCTTGACTATTCCGTATATCAATTCCTGGGTCGGTTTCGAAAGCAAGGAGACCTGGCCGGCCACTACCAAGGTACGCGTGCAGGATTTATCGACATCAGAAGAACGCATAGGAATGATCTGACACATATGCTTGGATGTAGATTGCGGACGCGATACAGAAATGGCCATCATCGGAAGAAGCTAACGAGACTGTGAGCCTGTCTTAGATCCTAGAGCTGACAATATTCTCTGTCTTCGCGGGCGGTTGAGCTGTTGGTTAATACACTAGAGACTGTGCTGATCAATTCAGGGCTTCTCTCTTGCCAACGGAAAGTCGGTCTTCGAGGTCCTCTCCACAGACCCTACGCGGGCGATGCGATTTGCGTCTGGAATGCAGGCCATAGACCATGTTCCAGGATATGCCATCGGAAATGTTACCAAGGTCTACGACTGGGCTTCCCTCGGAGACGCCTTCATCGTCAATGTTGGCGGATCCAGAGGGCAAGCCGCCGTAGAACTGGCGAGCAACTTCAGGAACGTCAAGCTACTTGTCCAAGACTCGCCGATGATCATTGAAGGCGCGGAATCAGATGTCCCCGATCAACTCAAAAGACGCGTTGAGTTCATGAAACATGAGCTTTTCGAGCCGCAGACGGTACAGGCCGGTGTCTATTTCTTCCGCATGGTCTTCCGCAACTGGGGCGACAAATACGCTCTCCAAGCCTTGAAGGCGCAAATCCCGGCCCTCCGGCCTGGGGTCAAGGTTCTCATTCAGGATGTTTGTATGCCAGAGAAAGACTCTATTCCATTGTGGAGAGAGCGGGTTCAGAGGTATGCTGCTAGGTGTTTACATGAGTTATCATGAAAAGAACGTCTGCTGACAAAAGCTACAGATCTGTGGACATGAGTCTGAAATGCTTCTTCAATGGTCGTGAGAGATACCTGGACGAATGGAAAGCTTTACTCACTGCGGCAGATGAGCGATTCATACTTCATCGGGTTTATGTACCCGAGCGATCTCTGTTGGGTATCTTGGAGGTTCACTGGGATGTGCCTGGTGCTGCCGAGGCTTCAAGGGGAATCAACCAAGCTTGATATAACGACTGGAGATCACCGACATTCGGTACCTCGATAATTTTCCTGTCAGGGACACACATGAAAGAATGACTGGGAGGGACAACCAACACTCTCAGTATATAAGTGGTCTCGTTTTTAATCTGTACACATATGCTTCTTGAGCAATATGTATCCAGTCCCTTCATTCAGCTCAGTATACAAGAAACTCTCGAAACTCACTTCTCCTATACATTTGTTTCAAGACCTGACGCTGGGCAAATTTCTCCCTGAGCATGCAGCACTGTGGCAGTGAGTCCCGCATGAACTCCAAATGAGACTCAAGTTCTTTGAGATGTCTCTCAATCTCATCCTCATTCGCCCTGAAAACCTCCAGTATGGTTGATGTGTCTGCTTCGTCGATAGCTTCGAATAGCGGTCCAAAGGTGTCCATCATGCTGGCTGGTTGCAGGAGAGTACCACGACTAGTCAGCTCAAGAAGTAGATCCCTAAGCTTCATTGTCATAACTCTGAGAGACGCCAAAGCCGTGAATGACCAACTGTGTAGAACGCCGAGTGTCTGGTCTTCCGCAGGTTGGTCGGACCAAATCCCGGTCCTGAAGTCAGCTAAAGCCTGAAGTAGGCCGGGCCAGGACACCGCCTCTAGCTCTGTGACGATCCTATTCCAAAGGTCCAAGTCCTGCCATCGATCAAGACATGTTGAAACGTTTTTGAGGGTGTCTTCCAAGCTTGTTGGTTGCATCGCCACCAATGGGTCGCTGCTAATACGATCTGCCCACTGAATATATCGTGTCATGTCCTCAGACGACAATGAAGCGGATGATTCCGGGCTGGCAGAGCCTGGTGTCTCTGATAACGGCCCAAGTGCAGTACCGTACCCTGTCAAAAGCTCCCAATTCTCCAGAAATTGAAGCTGGTGCCGATTGAAAATAACCAGACGTGAAATAAGCTCATCATTCCTATACTTGGGCAGGACATGGGCAGACCCGTCCGTTGGCACAGGTAGTGCTTCACTATCCGGCAGCCGCCCGTCAGCCTGTGCCACCACGATAGCTAGGCCGCAGACTGATACTATGTGATAGGTTCCAGGCAGTGAGGATATTTGTCTCAAGAGGAAAAGGTCATCGCATCCTGGTATCTCCACGATCCAGTCGCCTGGCAGGCCGAAGACATAGGACTTGTCCAGCCACTTCCGCGTAGCATATATTCCCCATCGCACAGGGGATACTGTCGGAGTAATGAGAATCGACTTTCTCGTAACATCACGGTACTTGAACGCGCCCCGAAACGGTGCTGAGTCGATGTGGAGCAAAGGGTACGCTTCTACTAGTAGAGCGCCAGTTCCCTTCAGCACCCGAAAAGGGTACGTTTTGCTTGAGCTGCAATCAGAGGTCTTGTTGCTTGCCTCCTCAGGTGCTAGAGTGTCGTACCAAGTCATCTTCCGATTCCAATTCGTAGACATTGAACCCGTATTCAAATCAAACCAATACTGCACACCGACAGTATTTGCGAAGCTGGGTTCGTCAGATGGATAATGGTCCCAAGAGGGGACCCAGGAGGGCAGGCCTGGCAGTAACCGGTCATGTCTCCGGCTTCCAGCATCGAGGGCGGCTGATTTCAAGATATTGGTCTGCCTATGTCGAATGAGAAAATAGGCTGCGATGCCAATACGTATCTCATAAACAGACTTGGAGTAGTCTGCTACCAGTCCTTCCAGATGAGCACCTTGAATGAGACCCAACAATGCGAAAACCATATCCTTAGGATCCGTTGCGAGGCAATTCGATGTTTCCGTTAGTAATGTCGAGAGGCCATTGAAATCTCCGATTGGCAAGGCTTTTCCCAGCCGGAGCCATGGCGGTACACCGAATTCTCTCCGAGGCTCAACTAAACGGGCCTCAAGGAGTGACTTGAGAGGAATGGCGGCCTCGCCTAGTACAACGATGGCCCGTTTTGACAGGAGGACCTCCTGAATGACCCATATACGGGACCAATATGGGCGGTCGAAAAGTGCCCGAACAGCAAGGTGGTCGTCAACAGCAGCCCAAATGACTTGTCCTTGGTCACCATTGTAGAATCAGCTCTCGCTTGTCCTCTTCAGTAGACGCACATCTGGCGTATCCTCGTCTGCACCCAGAAATATCGTCACAGAGTTAGCCCGAGAGAAAATATCACGCATCAGCCCAACCTGATGCGATTTCTCGTCTTGATTTGATTGATTGATGCAGATAGAGTCGACCCAGAGCGTCTGCACATGATGCCCAGATCGGAGCCGGCGTAAAGCTGCTGCGCAATTTGACGTAATCGGAAGGGGCAACCAAAGGCTCCCCAGAAACATCACTTCGTTCAGGTCTCGGTTGCCATCGGCATCTGCCCACGTGTAGGAGACAGCCGTATATTCTGGGCGGATAGATAGGCTCGTGCTCTCTAAGAAGCCATGGAGTACCTGATCATCTGTAGCTCTCTGGGCCGACAAGCGTAGTAGCCGTACTTCGTCAACGCCTGTCAGGGGATCGTATATTGGGGACTTCTTCCCTGCGCTTCTGTCGTCTGGGTCCCTTTCCTGTCCCTGTCGGGCTGCCCTTCGGTCGAAGTTCCTTCCGACCTCAATCTCCGATGACGGCTCTTCGCGAGTGTAGGTGACAGAGGACTTGATATCAACAGTGCTTTTTGGTCTCTGATCCTGATAGTGATTGCCCTGTTCCTCAAGCATGTCCTCAAGCTGCTTTAATATGTTTCTAATATTGACGTCTTGTACCTCGTCGGGACTCGAGAACTCAACCGTAGATGGCCAGTCCAGGTTCAGGTACGCGGGAGCTCCCTCAAATCCTGACACTGCTCTGTCAAGTTCGCCAAAGTTTGCTGCCTCATCAGTACCGTCGCGACTGTAGAAGGAGCCGCAGCTCATGCAAGTAGGCATTGTGTCGACGAGGACCACATCCGCTCTTCGACAGCTTTTTTCATGCCAATTTGTCATTCTGGCTAATGAGAGCGATCTTGTTGTATTGTGAGTACAGAAGTTTGGATGATATCAGAAAGATATTTAGGTTGAACGAATTTCTATTGAAGTGAACTGGCTACGCTGCATAGGACGCGCAAAACTGAGTTGTCAGACGCGGATGCGGGGTAAGATTGGGGAACGAAAGGCATTCAATTGGCTTGCACAGCAGAGCTCTAAAAACCAGACATGCTGACAATACTATTGAGTCTCCTGCTCACCGTGCCGACCGACGGTTCACTTGTCACTTCGGATCTGAGCGATCTTTTCGAAGCGCTTGGAGGCGGATTTAGCCTCAAAAAGTGGCCATGTGGGGCGATCAAGAGATGTCCTTTTAACGATGACGTAAATTGGCATTGTGCGAAGAGAAACTATCCTCATGGATGCCACACACTGCAAGCTCTCAAGCGGGCGAGCGCTTATCAACTACTAGTAGATACCATCCTAGTTGGCAAACCGAGCCAATTTCTCAACTTCTGCAGCGATTCCGTTTGACGTGGTATGAAGGGCGTGGAGCAGATCCTGAAGCAAAGACTTGTGATTCAATTGGTGCCGTATGGTCTTAATATTGAGACATTCGCTGTGGGACAGCCTGGAGTAAGAAAATCTGGAAATGTTGTCAACAATAAATAGTAGAATGTCATCTAGTTAAATGACTGATAACCAATGTTCAGGTGGGGAAGGCTTGGCTAAGAGTGTGATCTTTGGCTAGCATATCAAGAAGTCTCGTTGCTCCCTCCTGCAGAGCCGCTTCAGAGCACGCAGCTGATCAAATTTGCCTCGCAACGCATGACAGTCAGCTTTCGACCGCTCCATGAATTCCCAACACGATTCCACTGCCGTCCAGTTTTTGAATATCTTGGCCTCTTTGGTCCGAATCTTGTCCAGACTCCAGGAATCCGGTATGTTGATGATGCTGTTGAGCAATGACACACACGTGTCCGTCGACATGAAGCTCCCTAGGGACTGTATGCCCTCAGTAGCTTGCAGATGAATGTTTGGGAGCCGGCCAAGGAGGTCGTCGAAAAGCTCTTGAAGTCTATGTCTCCAACGAAATGTGTCACATGGTTCTCCATGGCCAGTCCTGATCTGGTTCCTCGTGGCGAGGTATTGCCAGACCTCGGCCTTGACATCCGCCAGCACCTGCAGCATGGCTTGCCAGGGAACTTCAACCACGATATCGTGTATTCTCGACCAGATATGGCCATGGTCCCACCTTTCCAAGTAGAGTGATACAGTTCTCACCACGGAGTCAAAATCGTCGGGGTGCAACCCATCCCCAGAGTCGGGTGCGGGTATGAGTTCCAACCACCGACCATATTTCTCCAATATCTCCGGTGATAACTCGAGTGGTGAATCGTCAGGCCCTGACTGGCGTGGGGCCACCAAATTGTCCGATCGAGTGATTGATTCCCACTGCCTGAGGAATAGCAGATGTTGTAGATCACACGAAATAAGCGGCATCCAGAATCTGTAGTCCCGAGCTGCATCCCGGGCAGAGGATAGCGTATCCTTGGATACCGGTCCATACTGGTTACTCGAGTTCGAAGTTTCTGGTGTATTATAATTCCTGATCAAGAGGACCGAGGACAATGAGGCAATCTTGTACGTTCCGGGCACTCTCCCGGACGGCTTGAGATGTAACAAGGTGTCGCATCCGGGAGCTTCGATAATCCAATCATCATCTCTAGCAGGCCAGGCATTGGTATAGGCACAGATTTCCCATGTCATTGGTGTTCCGGTGGATGTGAGTATACTCATGTTGCCACCAAATATCCTCTTGGTCGAACAAGTGAAAGCTCCGTGCAACAGCGCAGAACCCGCATACGATATGTGAACAACGGGTGATGCTCGAATGAGCAGAGTGCCATGATTCCGAAATACCTTGTAAGTATTGAGCGATGCCTGAAGTGCCTCACAGCTCCTTGGCTGCACTTCAGTCAGTTGATAGTATTTATTGCGACCTTGTCTCTTGTCGTCCATGGCGAGAATTTCGCACCATTTATCAAAAGTGGGAGGATCTCTGTCCTTGAAGAGCTCGGTCTCATGTGGATCTGGAGACTTCGCAAATGGAATCCATGATGCCAATTCGGGGTGCCATGGGTAGTTGTCCGTGTCTCGTCCTGGGGAACTTTGTATATTAAGCTCTGGTACCATTAATCTTGGAACTTTGAACGTCGGATGTTTGGAGCCTTGACTCCGGAACTCTGCAGCTGCAGCCGCAGACGTAGCCGCAGACGCAGCGGCTTTGAGAAGTACTGACTGTCCGTGGCGTATTAAGAAGTACGCCGCAAGACCAGTGTAGATCTCTGTCATCGTCTTCGAATAATCAGCCACCAAACCCTCGAGACTCGCGCCCTGCACAAGTCCGAATAAAGCAAAGACCATGTCTCGTTCGTCTGAGGCCTGGCAAGCCGAAGTCTTGTCCAGGAGGTTGGTAAATGCATCCACGTCCCCAGAGCGGGAACCGCCCAGCGAGTAAATCCATAGAGGCAGCAAAGAACCAATAGAATCAGGAAGTTTTTTCATGAAGTTGTTGGTGAACTCATGCAAGGAAATGCTCGCGTCCCCCAGAATGATGTTGGCTTTTTTGGCCAATAACACCTCTTGGATCACCCAAATTCGTGACCAATATGGTTGGCCAAAAAGATCACAAATCCCGTGGTAATCAAAACCGCCACCCCAATTGTCTGTTACTGCCTTTCCGGCGCGAAAGCGTTCATCAGACAGCCTCTGCATAAGCCGGCCTGCTGGGGTGTCGACATCCTGCCCCGTGTCCCCGCCAAGGTATATCGCCACCGACTCGGCCCGTGAATAAATATCTCTCATCATTGAAACTTGGTGAGACCGTTCCCCAATATTGGTCTGATCAATGCAGACTGCATCTATCCAAACAACGCGTGTCCCCCCTCTCAATCGCAGCCGGCGAAGTGCGGCCGCGCAGTTGCTTGTAATTGCGAATGGCGTCCATGCGTTTCCGAGAAAGACCTTCTCGCACAACGTCCTGTCACCTTTCGTATCTGCCCATGTGTAGGACAATGCGACGTAATCTGGTCGCTGTGATAACTTCGTCGGCCTAAGAAATCCATGCAGGGGCTGTGATACGGTGTCATAGGAATCCAGATGAAGGAGACGGATCTCATCAGTGCCTACCAACGAACGGTAAACGTCATTTTGACTGGTGGCGTCTGGTTCAAGTTTTTCTGGAGGGACGTCTAGATCCAAATTCTCGGTGGATGTGTGCGTTCCGTAGTCGTCTCTGGGTGCATCACCTGTAAGAGGCTCCGAGCTATCCTGCAAGTTCCCTGCTGCTGTGCTCTGCTCGACTTCGGTTCCTGTTGCAGTGTGCTCTTCCATGAAATCCTCATATTCTGAGGGTGTCATTTCCGAAGCCGTGTCTAGGTCGGCGACTTCGGCATATCGATCTAGATCCAGTAGAATCTTCTTAAGGTCCGGATCCGTGACGTCGTCTGGCCCGGAGAAAGTGATGGAGGACGGCCAATCGAGGTTGAGGAGGGGAGAGGCTTTATCAACCACCGCAGTCTGCTTGCTCAACTGCTCCTGTGCCTCGTCCTCGTATTCGAGGAAGAGTGAGCCGCAGCTGATGCAAGTGGGGGTATTTTCCATCAGCACGACATCTGGCCGCCTGCAGTCTCTTTCATGCCAGCTCGCCATCCTGGGTCAACTTCAATTTGAGATGTAATCACGGTGTAGTTCTCAGGGGTCAGAGTTCTGTGCAGCTCAACTGCCGGAGAAGAACAGAAGTGGGCCATTGAATTAGATGAATGAGGTCGGAGTAGACTATGTGGCTGAAATCTCACCTGCAGGAGGCGGGGTCAAAAGGCAACCTTGAGGGAAACGAAGTGTGGCTCAGCATCTTGGCCAACAGCAAATTGGCAGCAGAACTTTGGTGTCCCACATAAGTACAGAGGTACTTCACGATCTAGCTCACGTCACATCTGTCTGTGTTTGAGCACCTTGAGTTCTCGAAATGGCAGTATCAGAAGTTCAGCATATTTGAATAATGGGCATAATGCAAGTAGCTTCAATAGTCTTCTTCGAGTCTTTCATCGTCAATATGGAGAACTCCAACCCGGCGTCTTAAGAATAGCCACATCCACATGCTCTAGTAATTACGTCTAGCAGATCCCAGTGAATATGACACGTTAGATCCATATTGTCTTGTGGCGCATTGTGTAGTGCTCACCAATGCAGAACATTATCAGGAACCACATCGATCCAGGGCTCATGTTCACGTATGAGTTCAATATGCTCACTCGCAGTGCGCAGAGATGAGTTGATATTTTGTTGCTGTATCCGCCGTCTGAGCCACCATTCTGCCGGTATCTTTGTGATGTGAGAAACCAGAACCAATACCAAGAAAACACTTGGTGTACAAAGCGGCTTCTACGCGGAGGTAATGCCATCCATGCCGATATCCTTGCAGCCCGCTTCACCTGCCCCTTCGTGCTCCTCACAACGCCACCAAGTCATCCTCCATCATCTCCTCACAGGTAATGAGGTGTCGTGTGACCCCAGTCGGCAACTCGTCACCAAATTGGCATCCTCGCTGCCAAGCCCAAGCATGGGAGATGTAGAACTTCCCACCTTGGTGAAAGGGAACCAGCGTATGCTGGTTATTTACGTCCACCCACAGCTGTCGACACTGCCTCATCGACTGGACTGCCCCTTCCATTCCGGCCTCGCCCGGTAGGTTGAGGTTAATATCGACCTTCCTGGTGATAGATCCTTCAGAGATGAGCTGTGTTGGGTGGGCGTGACATCCTGCCTCTACCGAATGAGAGTGGCTCGGGGCGGAACGGCAACAACCAGGGTCGTTGAGCTCCGGAAAGTACAGCATAATGTGCTCCAGATCGGTAAAAAGCCGTGGGATGAAGTGGTCAGTTGGACCGCAGCCCCTGGAGTGGCTCCTGAAGGTGAGCTCGATGGCTAGAGGCTGGCGGTGATCGCGGGGCATGTTGATCTCCTCGGCCATGTAGACCACTCGGTAAGCCAGGTCCCCTGCCTGGGTTGTGTTCAAGGCGAGATGCTTGATATGCTGGAGTCCGCCCATGCCATCGAACTGGGTTACGAAGTCTCCATCTTCCCAGGTGGAATCGATCACCAGCATGTCGGTTTTTGCATTCCACCAAATTCCACCTTCTCCCGCCTTGCCAAATGCGAAGCCGCCGTGATCAAACAGGAAGGCCCTCGAGTCCTGGCAAATCTTGGACAGGAGTGGCACCTGAGGCTTGGATTGGCCGGAGTGGTGCTCGAGATAGAATTGCATTCGGTTGGTTATGCCGTTCTCCCAGTCTTCGTCCGTGGTCACGTCCCGCATCTTGGCGAGCACGACCTTGGGATCGGGTAGGAGGAGGCCCCATATCATCATCCTGAGCTCGATTGGTAGGGTCAGAAGATGAGAATGGGAAGTGACTGTTCTGGTGACTAGGGCTGTGCCATTGTGAAGCGTGGCGTCCAGCTGGCTGGCTGGGAAAGTCCAAGTCTGAAGAAAAACGTTGCTACAATCCATTTTGACAGCGGGTCGGATTGTGAATAAGTATGGTGCTTGGATTGGCCCAAAGACGGCGGAGAATGTCTGCAGCGGAGTCAGTGGATTGCTCAAAAGTCATAATGGACTGTCAGGATACAGGTTTCGAAATCACAAGTTTCAATTCCCAAGTTCATATTCCGTGATGTTATCGCAACTGGGAAAGACAAGTGGATGCACTCACCGAAAGACCAAGTAGGCGGGGCACAGAAATACTCAGCAAGCTGCTGTGTTAAGCTTCTGGGAAGACAACTTTCGATGGAGGTATGGGCCAGATGCAGCTGAGGGGCTTTGATGGCGGCAGATGACAGTTGATGAGCAGTGGTCGCTGTAGTAGAATCTTCGGGCAATGGAAGAATGCAAGAGAAAACGTGGTGTCGATGGGCTTGATGAGATCTGATGGGACAGGAATAGCCAGAAATTCCATTCAGATGGTTGATAGGTAAGTTAGGAAAACGAATTGAAGAGATGAAGCTTGGTATTTATAAAAAGATCACGGTTTGCCGGCCGGTAGCTTTTCAGTGAATATTTCCCAGACCCCATAGTCACAAAGTGAAGCTAGCCAAGCTCCATTGTGGGATATGGCGACATTCACTTTGATGGAGCTAGCAGGGGGTGACTTTTGTAAGCCCACCAAGTCCCTAGCCTTGATTCACCTTTGAGGGCTGTGCCTGGGTAATGCATCACTATTTGTAATGCATGCGAGTGTGTGAGAGCCATATTGAAATCTCTGAATGTCGATACATGGCACCAACCAAGTGAATTCGTGGCGGGAGCTTGATTGCTAGAACTTGCGTGTACTACTGCTAGACCGTTTGGTTAACAACACAAACGCCCGTCACTAGCACAAACACTGGTACTCACACGAAAGACGACTGGATGCAGTTTTTTGCATTGAAGAGAATCAGAGCATGAGAAACAGTGATGTAAATATGTGATTAGAACAGACAGAGGAGCACAGGGACTCCTTGTCAAGCATTCACTCAGTGAAGTGAAGACGTGACTTGTAGACCTTGAGGATTGGAGGATTCCATGGAGGACGGCAAGTGTTGCATTCATGTCCCAAAATAACGACTCTAATGGTAAGATACTGAAGTATATGTTCAAGGGCCAAGCAAGCTGTAAAAATGGGGGTTATCGACATTGGCAGGTAGGGAAGGGTAGTCAGCATTATGCCTCGAAAAGGCTACCCTCAACGTCCAGTAATTATATCATCTGCAATCTTCTCCGCCAGCGCATACACGGCAGACTGTGGATGCCCAGGCAGAGCGAAAGGAAAGGCACTTGCGTCCGCGGCCCTTAGCCCCTGGACTCCAAATACGCGCCCGCGGCTGTCGACCACGGCCTTACCGGACGCAACATCCTCTTCCTTGCCCATGGCCGCAGTCGAGACCGGGTGCCAGATCTGGTTGGTATGGGCTCTGATATACTCGAGAATCTCATCGTCTGTCTGCACAGCGTCACCGGGGGTCGCCTCGGGCCCGATCTTGAAGCCCGGGGTGTTGGCGAAGGGCGACGACCACGCGGCGCGCAGGCGCTTGACGGCCGCAACAGCCACCTCGACGTCTGCGAGATCTGAGAGCCAGTTCAGGTAGATCTGCGGCGGTTCATTCACGGAGGCCGAGGCGATGGTGACGTTCCCACGGGAGAAGACGAGGGGCATGCAGGCAGAGAGGCTCCCTCGTGTCTGGCCCGGGCCGCTCGAGTAGGCGCCCGCGACGAAGGAGAGCTGTGGGGAGTCGGGCGGCAGGGAGGCGAGCTTCTCCCGCGTGTCCTCGCTGAGCGTGGCCAGGGTCGAGTTGGGGAGGCGCTCGTGGGCCAGGAAGCCGGCCGCGGAGCTGTAGGGGCCGGTGCCCGACTTGAGGTACTCGTTGACGAAGCCAGGGTTGAGGGCCGGGTCGTTGGTAAGCGACTGGGCCGAGGGCGTGCTGATGGGGTATGTGACGGACATCAGAGTGGGGTCCTGGAGGTTCTGTCCCACGCCAGGGATGTCTGCGACGACGGGGATAGACAGAGATTCCAGGTGCTCGCGGGCACCGATGCCAGAGACCTGGAGCAGCTGCGGCGAGTGGAACGTGCCGGCCGTGAGGATGACTTCCTTGGTGGCCGAGAGGGTATACTCAACCCCTCGCGTGTTGACACTCACACCAACCGCCTGCGTGCCGTTGAACAGGATCTTGGTCGCTAGAGAATGGGAGTAAACGATGATTCCGGTGTCCTTGATCGCTTGTCGCAGGAAGCTGCTCTCGCTAGTTGAACGTTGCGCCTTTTCCGGCTCAATAGTGGACGGCACCCATGCGCCATGGCCGACGAGCTCGCCGCTGCTAAAGCCCTTAGGACTGATGGTCAGTCCGAGGCTTAGGAGGACCTGGGCGAGCCAAGTGAGCGTTGGGTCGACCCAGTTGTTCCACGAGACCTGGAGCGGGCCGCCCTCTTCGTCGTAGTCGCTGGGGTCGAACAGCACCGTGGCGTTGGTGTTGCTGCGCTTTTCCTCGTTCGGGGGCGTCAAGTCGACAGAGCGCTTGAAATACTGCAGCATATTATCCCATCGGAACGAGTTGTCGCCGACAATATCGGCCCAGCGGTCGTAGGAGCCCCTGGTCGGGCGAATGTATGACATGGTGTTGATCGACGAAGATCCGCCCAGCGTCTTAGCCTGGGCGTAGTGGACCTGACGACCGCCGGCGCCGGGGATGGGCTCGGAGATGAGTGACCAGTCCATCAAGGGCTGCGGGGTGAAGCCCGGCGAGGGGTCGATGAAGGCAATGCCCGTCAGCGAGTAGAGCGGCACGACGCTGTTGTTGCCATTCTCTACCTCGTAGAATCCGCCAGCCTCGACGACGGCCACCGAGGCCGAGGTTGCGGCAAGGCGAGACGCGAGAGTGAGGCCCGAGGTGCCTCCACCGACGACGACGTAGTCGTAGCTCGCATTGCGTCCGGGATAGCCAAAGGCAGAAGAGAAGAGGCGGTCCTGAGCGGCGGCAAGACCTGCCAGTGACCGGAGGATGACCTGCGACAGAATGTGCATCGTGAGATTGAGTCCCTTAATGCTAAAGTTGACTTCTTGTTATGGCAATGCCGCACGCGTCTCGGGCTTTAGAGAGTAGCGTGAGGTATATGGAGAAAACAACTTATAATCCCACGGTCGAGGGCATCACGTCAAGAGATGCGGTGGCAGGGATGAAGACAAACATTGAAATGCAGACATGGGTTGATGGTGATACGATGGCCTTCCGAGCTACTGCTACACCCATGACGGTGGGACCAGGAAGACTGAATACAAGAACTCTCTGGGGTCGGTTCGGATCCCGTAATTGCATCCAACCGATTATCGGTTTCGATAGCGGTTGGCCACCCCAGTTGAGCGTCAGCATGGGGTGGGGATTCGACCCAGGTGTAAGAAAGTCTTAGGAGTCCCATGGTGCGTACGTGGAGGACAATGCCCGCCCTTGCTTAGTGGACAGCAACCGTCAAATCCAGATGCAGTGCTGACCTAACGTGCTGTTTCTTGGCCGCATTTCAACTTATGCCGAACGATGCGGGTCGGTGATTACCTACGAGTTGACTGAAGTCAACGTTTATGGCGGTTTCTAATATTGTGGGTGTCGACGCCGTGCGAGTTGTTCCTCGGTACGTCCACCTAGGCATCGCCAAACCAAATCTTGCGATGCCTTGATCTCTCATATCGCGGAGATGTAGTGTATATGCAAACAGGGTGCTACGCACGCTGATTCAAATTGTCTAGCTGTGTAGGAGATTTCGGAACCGTACATCAAGTAAATCAGAACCCGAGAGGCAAGGGAGAAAGCTGAATAAGAAGGAATCGAGTCTTCAGGACAAAATATTGAGACAGAATGTTATGGCGAGCTGGGCATTCCGGCCACTATTGGCTACATAGCGGTTCCTGAAGAGAAAGCGAAAGGGCAAATGGCCTGCTCCCTAACCTGAAGACATCCAGATTTGTTTTGACTGAAGTTTTGACTGGATACCATTTTCACCGTATCACAATGTGGTGTGGCGGTTGCGGGTACGAAATCCAATCCGGGCAAGGCCAGGCGATGCGTGGTATTGGGCAGGCACCTTGGAACATCTCGGCCGCCACATCATCACGCCTCCTGCAGGCAGGTATTCCTTCATCCGTATGCTCATGTCTTTCTGCGTGGAAAATCGTATTGATGATACGTTGGCAGTGCCCTGAAGTACATAGCGATACGTTCTTCCCACGAGTGCACAGTCGGGGTACTCTCATATGCAATCAAAAGTATCAAGAAAAGTGGGTCCGTTCAGTTCACATCCCCTTATTTTTCATACAAGTTGATTTTCGAGTTTTTTAAACTAACTTAAATCTAATTAAAATTTATCTTATATAATAGCGCTTTCTTTTCTCATTATAAAACTACTCTTATTTTGGTTTTTAGATATATATCAGGTGTGTAAATGTTAAAAGTAATTTAAAAAAGAGGAAATTGAGGAAAAAGGGGGGGGGGTGAAGTGCGCAACTTTAGCGTCTTTTTGATACTTTTGATTGCATATGAGAGTAAGGGTTTTCGCACGCGCTGCAATTCGTTTGCACGGATGTGCCCCACCCAGGAATCCGTTTGTTGACCTGAACCCAGCAGTGAGTCTTAATCTAACCTTGCTGCTCTTCACTTGCCTTCTCTTCACTTTCCACCTCTTCTTCACTACAGATTCCCCCCCTCGGCACCTCTAGTTGGTGACCCCTCCCTCGCTCAATTCGAGGCAAGACCACTTACGTACAAAAAATCATTGATCTCACCACCTGCGGCAAGTCCTCATCGACCGTCCACCACATCTGTCAAGATGCTACCGGCACCTCTTGTCAGTGTTTACCAGCAGTACAAGGACGACACCAATGCTGTGGCTGCATGGCTTGCTTCCACGGCCAAGTCATGCGGTTACTCCGCGGACCTGCTCTCTGGAGGTTCTTCCCAGGCGACCGGCCCTGAGCGGTCCAAACGACTCAAGGGAAAAGCCAGGAAGCAGGCCAAGGCCGCAGCTCCAAAGCCAGAGGGTTCCTCTTCGGCCACTTCCCGCCCCGACTACACCATCGCCATCAAGGACTTCATTCCGCTCGCCGAGTTTGTGGCAGCAGCCCAGAAGCCCGTCGTCTCAGTCCCTCTAGCCTTCGCTAACACACTCAACCGTGTCATCTCCACGCGGTCTGGATTTGGCGGTCGGCTGGCTGAACTTGGCAGCTCCCCCTCTGCATCAGCTGATTCTAAGCACTCTTACTTCGTGGGCGTCCTGGAAAAGGTGCGAGAGGTTCTCAAGCCGCGTGTTCCGCCTGCGACTCAGGATGCTGCCAATCCCCACGCTCCTTCAGATACCTTGGACGAGGTCGGCGGTAGATTTGCAAGACTCAGTGTCTACGAACCATCCGAAGAGTTCCTCAACGCCCCAGATATCGAGAGGCCAGCGCCGGTCAAGGACGACAACGCCACCTATGTTGCCGAGCCTCTACAAGATCTGGAGGAGGTTCTGTTTGCCTACACCCTCATGATCAACGATTTGATCAAGATTCGGGGCCGAATCGAGTGGATCTGGACCAACTATCGTGATGGTCTCTTCGAGCTGGTAGCTGCCGCCATCGCGACAAACACGGCCTGTGACCTTGCTCGCAACCTGATGGAGGATATGGCGCCGATGTTCAAGGCACACGGAGGAGCGATAGAGATCGCAAAGAAGTTTCATCTCTACCAGTGCATGGTCAAGGGCTTTTCTCTCGTAAGTCTCCATTTTGGTGCAAGAAAACGTGGCTTGGTGGCATCCCCGCTTCCGGAGGCTAACAGCAAGCCTACGCAGAACGATATCACTGACTCCGGCAACGAGTTCAACTATGATACGTATGATATTGCCACTGATACGTACATGATCGCCTTCATCATGCTCGAGAGCTTCCTTGAAGTCTTGGACCCTCGCCACCTGCCCCTCTACAAAGAGGGCATGTTTGGCACATATGACGCGACCCGGGAGTGGAGCAGAATGCCCAAACGAGAGAAGTTCCAACAGGACAAGATCCTGATGATGGAATTCTTCACTGAGCTCGCAACCGTCGTTCGATGCGTTCCAAACTACCCGGTCTGTGACGAATTCATTCGTGGCATGCAGGAACTCGATCGAACCCGAGAGATCCCCATGTACCTCGCCTTTGCGGCTCAGATGTTCCTCGATATCCACCACATCCTACGTGGCCGTGTTCACTCGGCGCACGAGACGTGCATGTCCCACATTGGTCTCATGGACGAAGATCTTGGACTGCACCTGGACTTTCATACCAAGCTCCGTATCAACCACTGGCCCCCATCCAACGACGCGATGCTGAAGGAGCTTCGAAAGAAGATCAAGGTACGTCCCACGGTGTACCATCATGGTTCACTCCCGTGAAGATTCCTAAACTCAAATCGCTAACGCTTCGCATTGCAGTGGATCCAAGATGACCCTATACACAAAGCCAAAGTCAAGGTCTTCAGCCAATCGGGCATACCTTGCACTGCGCCCATCCACCGAATCTTGAACTATTCCCCTGTGATCTCGGGCCTCATGCTCTATCATTTCCGCGCCGAGACATACGATGTAGGCCTCGCAGTAGCCAACGCATGGGGCTCGATCGCCTATCCGTTGCACCTGTACACTGCGCTACAGCAGGAGAATCTCTTGTCACCGCATCAGGTCTCCTCGGAGTCTTGGGATGACATGAGTGTGGTGCTCACGATGCTGAGCGAGGAAAGCTTCTACGTCGGCGCTGAACTGCCCAAGAACCCGCATGACTACTTCAAGAAGTTCTGCCTCCAGATGGGCACCACGGCGTCCGCGTTCACCAACAGCAAGCAGAAACGCACCCGCAACCTCGAGAACCTCCTCTCCAAGAGCGGACCCCGCGGTATCAAGGCCGACTGCGCGCCAGTGTCTGACATGTTCGCCGACCGCTACCTCCGCAACACGGGCCAGGTGGACTGGACACCCGAGCACGTGGACAGCGTCGTCTCTCGCAGCCTGTGGGAGGAGGAAGGATCGGAGGAGGAGGGGACTCTCCTCCTGGGCCAGATCGACGACCCGGAGAAGCTGCGCGAGCGCAAGAGGAAGATAGCCGCCGGAGCGGCGGGCAGACCGGCTGGCAAGAAGAAGACAACAGCCGAAGGCGCTCGGATCCCCCCGGACCGGCTCATCAGGGCCCTGGTCCTCTCCCTCCAGGCCGAGTCGCTGACGCTGGCGTTCCCGTACCTGACACTTCACCGAACGGCCTGGGGCGTGCTCCGTGCGCTGCGGGAGGCATGTGAGCCTCTGCTGTTGGAGTTGTATGGCCCTGCGTACATGGAGAGGGAGAACCAGCTGCCGTGGGTGGTGGGTTGGATTTTCATGGCGTTGGTGGAGGGTGACCCCAGGCTTTTCGTCAAGGCTGGTGAGGCTGTCAAAGATCAGTAAGTGGTCTCCCTCTTACATATCTTTTGTTTTCTTCGGAAGGGAATCGCCTTGTTGGCGTCCGTTGCTAACCATACTTATCTCAGACTTCGACGGGGTGAAGGCACCAAGGCCATACAGAAATTGCGAGGAATGGGATTTGACCTGGTGATGGAAAACGAATAAATCAGCAGATTCCTGGGCCGACTACCGAGCAGTCAGTCATGGAAACGTACAAGCACAAGTTCGCTTGTGTATGACGGAAGCTCGTTTTCAGGGCTTTTGTCAACTTACGGACGGGCACGTACTGCTTAGGAGGCCTTATGGCACAAGTCTGACACTCACTGAATGTGTGGTACTGTATTTCCCAAATAAGGGGATACCGAAGTGCCGTGAGACGAGACCAAAATTTTGAAATGAACCAGGCCGGACTGTGCCTATAGAATGTATCTATGAGATCATCTAGGCCAAGAGCACGTAAACATGTCTCCCGATTTCATGAAGGCTCATCTAATCGGACTGGATTTTCTTCCCAAAGAAGATGCAGGATTCCAACATCAGGCAAGTGGGAGGACCCTGAAGGCGGTCGAGCAGCAGACCACAAGATCGAAGGTTGATTTAAAGCACACGGAAGGTCTATCACACTGGAGGTCATCCTTTCGAAGATTATCCGAGTTGAGGTTCGACTCTCTGCTCGACTCTCTTCACTCCAGCCAGTCTAATCTCAGGCATCAGTCTCTCAACCTGAAGTCCTCCGTCTAGGCACAGGGATCATCTCCGTACCGGACCGAGCAATCCTCACGCTTCCCGTAGACATCCTCGAAGACACGAAGGGCAGGCTCCGCGTTGTAGGCATAAGAACAGAAGCGCCACTCAATCTCGCACAAGCCCTTCTCGGCCTTCCTGATGATCAGCCTCTCAGTCTGCTCCTTGAACCCCCACAGCTTGCGCAGGGCGACGGGGTTGACGATGATATGGGGGCCGCGGAAGAGAGCGACGCGACTGGCCGGCTCCTTGAGGTACGCAGGCTGGGAACGATGCGCGAGCGTGATCTTGGCCCTTTTGCCCTTGAGGTAGATGCCTTGGTCATCCTTGTTCCCCACCTGGACGAGGCGCGTGGCGGACTCGGGGCGCATGAAGCGCACGCTGGCGACGGACATGGCGGGAGGGACGTTGTTGGGGCCTGGGATGACGTAGACGTCGCAGGCGTAGATGTTGCCGATGGGCCTGTGTTCGGCGATGGCCTCGAGGACCATGGGCTCGGTGGTGCCGTCGGGGAGGTTCCAGATGGTGACGGCGCAGTTGCGGTTGGTGCTGGCTGCGGTGGTGGCGACCTCTGGGTGATAGCTGTCAGTAACTGGAGCAGTGAGCCCAAGAAATGCGATGCGATGCGATGCGACACCCACCAGGCTTCTTGCCCTCGGCCATTTTGTCGTCGACCTTGGTCTGTTGCTTGCCTGGGAGCTAGTTGTCAGTGACTCATTGCGATTCATAGTTTGATGCGAACGTACCATTCTTACTAGCGCCGGCCTCTTTGCTCTGAATAGCCATCTTGGTTGTGGCTTGAGTCGTCTCTGATTTGAGGGCAGCGTGGTAAAGTGCGGTATCTGGTTCGAGTGTGGTCAGTGGTAAGTATCGAGGCTACAAGGTTGCGGCACGACTTGCATCTCAGTTGGGTCGTGAGTTCCGCATCGGTTTCGTGGTCAGCATCTTCTGGCGCGACGTCGCGTACGGGACTTGGAGGAGAGCAGGAAACTGTTTGGCAATGAGTGACTGTCTTGAAAGTCCAGCGGAGCTCTTCCCACCGTTTTGAACGATTCCAAGTGTTTGAGCAACCTTGTCAGCATTCTGGTTACTGTTGGCAGGAATCGTTGTTGCCAGGAGCTCAGAGTAGGTGGTGCTCTCCTCCAGCTGGTCCTCCTGGTGGTGTTGGCCCTGGTGACCCTGCTGGCGCTTCTGCCTTCTTAGTCTGCGAGCACGTGACCCAGCCATCTCGGATCAGGTGAAGAGTGAGAGGATTTGTGAGATGCGAGCTGCGAGGTGTGAGGCCGGGGATAATGAGGAGCTTAGCAGCTCCCAGGCGGTGTCACTGGTAATGGCGGTGGGGTGGAGAAAGAAGGGGCCGGCCTGGTAGATCAGGTACTTCAGATCCATCTGCTAAATCATCAGGATCATCGTAGCTGACAAAAAGAATCCTCCAAACGACTAAGAATCTGATGATATGTCCTCCATGCTTCTTATGTGCGGGCAGCAGAACGCCAGGGTCTTGCTATAGGAACTCTCTTTATTACGAGCAACAATCAACACTTTGACTTTACTGCCAAATAGTGTAGGCTGTTTCTTTACTTCTCACCCTTTTCTTGAAATATCTGAGCAAGCTATTATCATATAGAATAAATAATAGTTGGTCTGTGATGAGGCCTTAAAGGGGGGTGGTTCAGCCAAGCCCTTTCTTGCGTTTCCATGCTTGTGATGCTGCCTGCTTCCACGTGTAAACTTGCGACAGGTGAATAATTCGCCAGCCTGAGTATCTCTCCAGCTTTGTCTATGGCTTCCAACCCAGTTTTTAATGAGCTGTTCTATAAGGAAGAATTGTTTGTACACGTCAAATCCACATGTATTTGCATCGTCCTCTTGTCAATACTTGGACTGCCTCTTTTTCAATGCTTACATCAAAACACAATTCTCTTCGTGTTATTACCTTGACCAGAATTTACTCAGCTTATCTATCCGGCTGACTGCCCATAACAGAGAGGATCTACACAGGGAGACCAGGGAGGATCAAAGCTCGTATGGAATCTACCTTCTCATTGCTCAGATCGACACTCCTCGCTGAACGGTCTCGTCATAGCCTACTTCAACCCTGTCAACTTCGAAACACCGGGAGAGTCCCAAGAGCCTACCCAGAGGGGAGTGGCAGCATTGTCAATGGTAAACTGAAGACGTCTTGAGTAAATTACGATGCTTTCTACAAACACAGACGGGTTGGGCTGAGAGAGATTTCCCGGCATTGGCATTGTGCAGTACACTGGAACAGGAATTTCCGACAGCTTCTTCCATATGGTTGAGATCTACCCTTAGGCGTGAATACGACTCTGGCAATGATAGAGACTGAGGGATGCAACAGTTTTGAGGCGAAAGTAACACGGTGCAGCGGATAGGCAAATGATATTTACTTTAGTTTGCTGCGATGTACAGGGGCTGAGATCCGAACTGATTAAAATCGGGGACATGGAAACAAATCCAGTACAAATTGACTGGAATTCTAAAGTCCAAAAAATGCTGCTCCATCCGCGTTGATCTAGTCAGAACCTCATTAATCAAGCAATGGAAACAGCCGGGCACTTACAAGCACAGTCCTCGCCTAGCAACATGCGATGGTCTGCTTACAGCTGTCGCCAGCACTGAGACCCACACAGGCGTCCTCGTTGGCCTTGGTGGCAGTCTCGTCGAAGGTGTCTGTCTTGCCGCTGGGGCAAGCGTCGATGTTTCCGGAGCAGAACAGGTTGTCGCCCTGGTTGCACACCGAGAGGTAGTTGGCGTGCTCGTAGCTGCACGCCTGGGCGGAGACCGAGGCAGCCATGATGCTAGCGAGCAGGGCGAGGGTTGGGAACTGCATATTGGGTTGGTCTGGAGTTTTAGAATGGAAATGGGTGGCGACTGGCTGAGATGTTCAAAGCTTGGACGGTAGAGATGGGTTATTGAATGCCTTTTTCGCAACGGGATATGGCTGGTTCAAGAACTCATGCCTCCCTTTATATTACAGGGAGTCTTGGACTTTGTGTCCGGTAGCTCCACATCGGCCAGTTCTTCAAGGTCATATTTCCCCGACTCGTGCCCCAGAGGTTTCTTGGATGTCAGGACACCATACCTTGTCCGGACCGATCGATGTAGTATGGAATGGAGAATGGAAGTTTACCCCTATTGTTCTCCATCGACTAAACTTCTTTATGGGGTTCCTAAGGATATGGACAGGTTTCTGTACCGCTGCAAGAAAGTGGCACTTGGCACAGGATGAGCTGCTCCAATGGTCCACATAGGGATGGAGACGATCTACCTGGGACTTGTTTTCCTTCTTGTGGGCCCCACAAAGTCCCTTCGCAAGCACCTGAATTAAAGTTATGCTTATTGCATATGCAATGTAAATCACAATACCATCTTGACAGAACTCGTGTGCTTGTGTCAGAGCTATGGTCAAGTCAACCTCAGCCTCGAAGCAGCTCTCGGCACATCTGATCAAGCTATGACCAATCAAAAAGACCGACAGAACAGAAAACCACAGTTTTTGGAATTGATTCATTATAAAGCCCGATGAATAAAGCTACCGAGCCTTGCAACATGCCCAAGTAGAAAGTTTTGCGAGGAAAGGTCCTGTGTGGCAATGGGTGGTGTATTCTAAAACAGCAACAATGCAACCAAAAAAAGCGTCTACATGGGATCCAGAACCTGAGTATTTGTTAGTTTTGGATTTAAATATACATGATATATCATTGTAACCGAGAAGAAGCTGAGGGAATGTCCGAGGCCAGTTCCGCGGACTGTCGATCCCCGGGCCCCTGAGGCAGACGCAGACATTATCTAGCACTGTCCAATCCAAGATATTGCCAACTTCTTTTCTTTCCCGGTTTTCGTTTCGTTTCTGAGACCGACGCCGTTGCAAGCAGCCCCGATAGGAGCGTGTTTGGATCTGCCACTGCCAGGGCCGTCAGATCCTTTTTTAACTTGTTCTGATATGCAATCTGCAAAATTACCTCCCCGACGTTGAAAGGTGATACTGGCGTACACCATCACAAAAGCTCAGCAGGTATCGTCAATCAATGACTTACCTCGAATTGGCGGCGTTTGACGACCCAGCTGGCTTCCCGGCGGGCGAGGGCGCTCCCGTAACGCGAACGGCGATGGGTTTGTCGATCCAAAAGAATGCAGTTGTTGATCTCGGGGAATTTTCTGGAAAAGAGGCCTGCGATCTAACGATCTATACGAGTAGCTCTAACTCAAGCAGGTCACGAGGAACAGAGCACGACCACAGCATGGTCAGTCGTTCTTGGCTGTTGGCCAACTAGACTACAGGAGGCTCTGGCGTACGCCGACACTCAGGCTCCGATATCCTCCTGAAATTCGTGGTGCCCTCCCTGTTCTCGATCGAAGTGGCAAACAAGTTTCTTCATTCTATGCTTGACGATCCGTGTTCCACATGTAATAATGTGGCGGGCTCACCTCAGCTACCCTTTAGTTTAGAAACCGAATCAAAAACGTAATGGAGCTGGTAGACCGTCGAACCCTTCAACGCTGCAAATAGCACCATCTTCAGCCCACAATCCACTCGCGGTGCAGGTTACGAGAGAGCCGGATTCTGCAGATCAAACTCGTATTAGGCCACTGCCGAAAGACCGTTGCATTTCGCGCTTCTCGGCTAAAGACGAGCTGCTTCATGTCGACGAGCCGGCGTTGGGCCAAGTACACGACAATGTATGAAAGGCTGGGATAGCAGGTGGAATCTCAATTGCAGTCGGCGTGGAGGTAGACTCAGGCAATGAACATGCAATGGCCGATGTTCCCAGCTCAATGGGCACGACCAGGGTCGATGGGCCACCAATAGTGATGATCGGCGACAGGAGCGAAAGGGTGCAGTGTTGGTAAAATAAGGCCAATCGCAGCGCGCGGTCGTGCCAATACTTCCGTTGGTTGTATTGAGTACATGCAGAATTACCACCATTGATCCCCCACTCGCCTCTCGCTTCTTACCTCTCTCCTCTTCAGCAAGACTGGCGCCGCCGAAAGAGACCCATCTTCACCAGCAACCATGGCCCCAAATGACGACTATGTCTTCACTCGAGATCTCCTCGATAACAGCCGGTTCGTACTCTTTTTCAACGCCGCAGCGTTCTCCACCAGAGCATATATGCTAACCGAAACCATCCACTCAAAAGCCTCAACTTGATGCATCATCACTGGGTGAAGGACTTTGGATATCTAATCCACCCGAGAATCCCTACCGAAGGAGCCAGCCTCAAAGTAGCAGACATCGGTTCTGGGACGGGGTGAGTTAATGAATTCCAGGCTGCCAAGACTCTAAGCATCTGACAAATACATCTCACTGAAGGATATGGCTGCTCGACGCATATGACCGGCTCCCGAAATCAACAGGGCTCGTTGGCCTCGACATCTCATTTGATGCAGCGCCACCACCTGAGACTTTTCCTGACAGTATCACATTCCAGAAGTGGGATGTACGTGATCCTGTTCCTGACGAGTTGGTCGGCGCCTTTGATATCATCAACGTCCGCTTCATGGTATTCGTCGTGCTCAAGGACGAGGTCCCGGTTGTGGTGGACAAATTCATCCAGATGCTGAGTGAGTTGCAACATTACCTGGCTCCTCTGATGCCACTCGGAATATTTCCACGTTTACTAACCATGCTGGAATCCTACCGATCACAGAACCCGGCGGATATCTGCAATGGGTCGAGCCTGACAACCAGACCGTGCACGGAGAACTGACGAAGCCGGAGAACAAGAAGACGAGCATCGAGCAGCTGATGGGCCTTCTGAAGTCCCAAGATCCGCGGCTGAACCCCACGTGGGTTCCGGACCTGCCCAAGATCTTCTCGGATCGTGGTCTGTCTGACATCGATGCGGACGTGCACACCACCCCGCCGCACTGGGCGTACCTGATGCATGAGTGCGGCCTGATCATGCACGAACTTATCGCACGAAAGACCCAGAATGAGCAGATGGCAGCCGAGTTAAAGAGACTGGTACCTCTGGCGGTGGAAGAAACTCGGAAAGGGGCTTACTTGGCGACTACCAAGTATGCTGTCACTGGAAGGAAACCTTAAGAGCGAATCAGGTAGAACCACCCTGGTTCTTGTAATTCGACTGTCTTATCCGTCAAAGAATCCAGAAATCGAATCATTACATTGAGAGTATTTGGCAAGACAGCCGCTGACGGTCTTTCTGTGCTGGGAAATCGCCTCATTTGTCATCTAAAGCTGGAGCAGGAGGAAAAAGAACTGTTTCCTTCAATGTCCAACTACAGTCAGTTCCTATGGATCAGCTATATTTGATATGGCTAGTCCTCCAGGCCCTTCGTCAAATCCAGGCTAGGGCATATCAATAAACACACGACACATTAAGTTGAGGCTCGGGCTTTGAAGATCTCACTTTGCAAAACACTCCACTTTATTTCGAGTGTGTTTTGGCGGAACTGAACATTGCACACAATGGATAGTTGCGAGCATCTCGGTCTGTGCCTGGGTATTGTGTTGGTAAATCGCTCTTGAGCAGTAGGCATCGTATTATTTACTACTCTGTGTTCCAATTGCTCTGGCTCGTGCAAATGTCGGAATGATTGGCTTGGAGAAATGGCTCCTCAGAAAGCCAAGGCGAGGTTATTGAGATGGCACCATCCAAATCCAACATATTGCCTGCTTTGCATGGAGGGGAACAAATTTAGTGGTGCTCTACTTTGAACCTGAAATGTCAACATGTAAGGACTTCCTTGCATGGAGGGGGAGTGGGTAGGCGGAAAGAGGGACATTTTTGCTCCCTCCGGAGCTGCCGTGACACCTGTACGGTTGACTTTACCCCGCGCCGTGTCGCCCCGTCACCCCACGGGCCCCACCAACTCATGCTATTGAGGCTCGTCACCGGCCGAGAAGATGGAGCATGCAAGCATCCGTGGACCAAGCCCGTCCAGCATGAAATCACTCAATCGAACCAACCAGCTACATAATAGCCTGAATTCTGGCGCCTCAATGGCGAGCGGATGATTTTCCACAATGGCCCGTTGCGCTCCAATCACGATGGATTGCGCTTCACGAGCTCCAGGCTATATAGCTTAGCTCAAGCCGCATGCTTGCCCCACCTCCGTCGTCCTGCCTACCAATTCAAGTTCTACAGAGACCACACAGCCAAGCACTTCCTCAGACACCACAAAAAAAGAAATAGCTGCAAATATGGCCACCGATGAAATTTCATTCCTCCCGCTCGGCGCCATCCTCCAGTCCCTGCACGTCGGCGGCGTCAACATCGTGCAGGGCTTCCCCGCGCAGGAGCACTACGAGGCGCACAACAGCCCACACTTTGGCGCCACCATCGGCCGCGTCGCCAACCGCATCTCGGGCGCCACGATAGACTCCCTCAATGGCAAGTCCTACAAGCTGCAGGCCAACAACGGGCCAAACAACCTGCACGGCGGCGAAAAGGGCTGGGGCAAGAAGGTCTGGGACGGCCCCAAGCCCGTCGGCACCAGGGACGAGGCCGCGCCTGGATTTGGGAAGTTCAAGGAGGGCGGCGAGAGCGTCAAGTTCAGCCTGCACTCGCCTGATGGCGACGAGGGCTTCCCTGGGACGGTCGATACGTCTGTTGTTTACACCGCTGGCAAGGACGACAAGGGCGCCACCGTGCTGGGCATGGAGTACGAGGCCACGCTCGTGGATGGTGCAGACGAGACTGTCATCAACATGACGAACCACTCGTGAGTTCCGCCAACACCCCCCAGCCAGTTATTCACTTGCCTACTGTCCTGGAAATTTATCTGACCAGTGCGACTCTCCAAACAGCTACTTCAACCTCTCAGGCGGCCCCTCCATCGAGGGCACGCAGGTCGAGCTAGTGACGAACTCATACCTCCCCCTCGACGACGGCGGCATTCCGACCACGACCAAGCCCGCCGCCTACCCCGGGCTCGAGGGCAAGAAGCCCTTCACGCTGGGCGCCGCCGAGCCCGACGTGGACGACTGCTTCGTCCTCGACGACTCGACCGCCTCCTCCGTGCCCCTCGACACCCGCTCCCGGCCCCTGACCAGGCTCGTCGCCGCCCACCACCCGGCGACGGGCATCCACCTCGAGGTCTACAGCACCGAGCCCGCCTTCCAGTTCTACACGGGCAAGTACATCGACGTGCCCGCCGTGGGCGGCGCCGCCGCGAGGGGGGCGCGAGCCGGATTCTGCGTCGAGCCCAGCCGCTACGTCAACGCGCTCAACGTCCCTGAGTGGAAGAGCCAGACGCTGCTGAAGAAGGGGCAGACGTACGGCGCGCGTATTGTGTACAAGGCGTGGAAGGAGTAGAGGGAGGCAAAAGTTTTGAGGTTTCGGTGTTTTTGCAGATTGCCTTTTGCTGCCTCTGGCCCTGGGACACAGCTTGCATGTAGCATAGCATGACATTCCACGCCATGCCTCTTCATACCCTTGCATATCGCATTGAATTAATCAATCTTCATCATCCATACCAGCATCCTGTTCGTGGTCCTCCACGCCGCCGTCTCGCTGCGCCGGCGTAGTAGCAGCTGCCTTTTCGCCCTGCTTCCTATACAGTCCAGCCAGGAACTCACTTGTGCTCGCCTCCTCGATGCCCTTGTCCTCCCTCTTCTTCAGGAACCGTGGGAAACGCATGCTCAACCCCCTGTCCTCGCTGACCAGCCCGATCGCCGCAGTGTATACGGGGCTCAGCGTGATGTCGGCAAACGCCATCTCCCACACCTCCTGCGGCTCGAACCAGACGTCGGGCTGCGGGCCAGAGTACTCGACGAAGCCCGGCTGGCGGGCGTGCGTATTCCTGCGCTCGCCGGACCCGCCCTCGCCCCCGTCGTCGTAGAACTCCTTGTTGGCCTTGTAAAACGCGTCCGTGAACCCGCTGATGCACTTGGTTACCACCTCGAGGCTGCCCGTCTCGTCGTTGCGGCACGCCAGCAGGATCGGAGACCACCACTTGTGCTTCCTGCCTTGCCCGTGCCACCCCGCCACGGGGACGAGGTCCAGCGTGTCGAAGGTGGTGCCGTAGTCTTTCTTGACTTTGAGCCATGAGTCGAGGCGCTTGTCGGGCTCGTACGTTGCGAGCAGGGGCTTGCGGCGGGACTTCTTCTTTTCTTCTCCGCCCTCTTGCTCCTCAGCCTTGCCCTTGCCCTTCTTCGCCTTCTTCCCTTTCGTAGTTGTCGGTGGCGGTTGCGGTTTGGCAGTCTCCGCACCAGCTTCGCCTGCATCGTCACCCTCGTAGGCGAGGTCGGGCAGGTTGTCGAGGATCTTGACCATGATACCTTCACACTTGATGTCTGTGGCTTGCTTGAAAAAGTCCGACACGGTCTCCGGGTCCTGAGATGTTGCGTCGAGGCTTTTGACCCACGTGAAATGGTGCGGAACCTCCGTGAACAGCGACCGCAGGAGTTCTCGCCGCTCACGAAACGGTCGATCGAGGAGGGGCTGTCCGTTCAGGTACATCAGGTCAAAAGCATACATGCAGACATCGATGGTGACGCTGCCGATCTGTACATCTTTCCTGGCTCTGTTAGACAACGTCTGGAACGTCTTGAGCTCTCCATTTTGGCGGTCGATGGCGACCACCTCGCCCTCCATGATGAAACTCTCGACGCCGTCACCGCGGACTTTGGGCATGAGAGCGACGAGGTCTGGGTACTTGTCGGTCATGAGCTCCAGGTGGCGAGAGAATATCGTCACCCTGCCCTTCTCGTCGCAATGGATTTGTGCCCTTTGGCCGTCGTACTTGAATTCACATGCAAACTCTCGGCCGTCTAGCTTGGTCAACATCTCGGCCAGGTCTCTTGTTATGCTGCCCAGCATGGGTCGTAAAGGGATGTGTAGTGTCAGGCCGCATCGAATCAGTAGTTCTTCGCACACGCCAATTTCAAGCATGATGGGAACGAGATCGTTGTAGTTGGGCCGCCGGGCGAAACATGCCTTCACGATCTCTTCAGCCTTCGCGTACGTCTCCGTGAGCTCCTCCTTCTTCATTGCCGCCAGCTCTTTCTGGCCTCTGATGGGGAAGTCAGCGCCTGGTGGCCGAGATAGCAAAAATGCTCGAGACAGTGCAATCAGCATGGTGGTCTTGACCGCACCAATGCGAAGGTGTTGACACAACGTTCGCACGATATACCTGCTCTCCTCGCCACCCCTAGCATCTTGCAGGAGGCGGTCCACAATCCTCTGCTTCTGCTCAACACTTCCCTGGCCGGAACTGTTGGCAATTTTCACCAGAGAATCGTACACGGCCCTGATTGTCAACGGCTTAGGCTTGCGCAAGGTGAAGCTCTGCTTCTTCTTGGCCTCGAATGCCACGTCCCCTGGGTCACCATACTTGTCGTAGATAGTCTTCAAAGCCCTACCGTCCAGGCCGCAGACCTGCTTCAAGGCCTTGGAGATTGCGGAGCCACCCAGGCCCAGCTCCAGGGAGATGTATGGTGGTGAAATAGAGTTGGTGGCGAGCCAGACTGCAGGCAGGAGGCTGGCGGGGTCTGCTTCGATGAGCAGGCGGACGCAGTTCACCAGTGTGTCGACTGTCTTTATTCGCTTTGTCGTTCCTCCCACCAACACAAAGCATCTTGTGAGGAGAGCATACGAGGCGTTTCCACCTTCTGCGGCCCATGCTTTCTGCAGATCAGGTATGTGCTTGGCTGGCTCGAATGTCAGCGGGCTTTCGTCCAGCGGTATTGTTGCTGAAACCGATTCCTCGGCATCTGCCATGGACTGCAATGACAACGTGTTCTTGCCCATCTGCTTGAAAGCTGAGGGAGGTGCACTTCTTGGTGTTCCTGGCGTCTCAGGCGTTTCTACTCCAGTACCCCGCGGTTTGGGTTGCTCAACATCCTGATCGTTCTCTGGTTCTGACCTCATCTGGTCTCCGTTGGACCGTCCAGCTTGAGCATCCTCCTCGGCCCATTCGGCCTGGAGCTTTCTGGCGAGCTCTTCGTCCGTCAGCTCTTGCTGATTGGGGGTTGCAACATGCTCCTCCGGCTTCTCCGGAATGGGATCAGGAGCATTCTGCTTCTGCTTTGCGAAGAAATATTCCAGTCCCTTCGAGGGCTGCTTGCTGTCGCTGTTCAGCTTCCGCTTCTTCGCTGGACTAGCCATGGCGAGCACTTTCAAGGTAGCAAGATCTGGTGGTTTTCTGTTCGGCCATGCTCAAGAACTATCGCATTACTCTGAACATCTTTACTGTACGACAAGGCTCAGGACAACATCAGTCATCCAAGTCCAATGGGTCCGCTCATGAAGATTTCATGTGGGTGGGCTGTGACAAGTTGTCTTCCAGGGGCGTTTTCCCGATCGGGGCGTTCCTCGTGAGCAGTTTGGTAGCTGAACAGGCACGGTGCTGAGACTTTTGCTGAACTAGGCGTCTCTTATTCTCGACAATCGACCTGACATGGATTGAGAAATCACAATCCATGAGAGACAGTTTAGATGAAGCCTGTCTGAAGTCTACGAAAGGCAGTACTTCAAGACTGGTGATGTCACAGTCCCTTGTCGCGTCTCGTCGGCCTAGACGCGCTAATTGGCCCGAGCGGTTGCTGACTTCTTCCGTTGACCGGACGCTAGTCCATTTTGGATCTTAGCGTATCACACACCAGGAAGGAGTCAGACTCCTCTGACCCGGGCGCGCAAGTTCAATCTTTGATGGTGGGGCAGCCCAAGGCAAGAGAGACAACGACAACTGGACTTTTGAACCTCACCCGAGCTACACATACCTTGTCCTCACCTCCCAGCACCACCCGACACACCGTTGCCCACCATGAGCAACACCGAGGACCCCCAGGAGAGGCCGCAAGACATTAACCAGATCATCAATGGTCTGGAGCGGTACAACCCAGAGGCCGTCGGCCCCCTCGAGAACTACCTCCAGCAGCAATGCGAGCAGCGGTTTTGCGACGGCAATGCGAACAGGGTACTGCTGAAGCTGTACGTTCACCATGACTCCTCCACCATCTCATCTGTGCTGCCTGTGTATTATGACGATCCAAATTAAATCACGTTTCCTATTACCTGACTGTCCTGCGGTCCACGCGACTGCGGCGCCTGAAGTCACCTTCAACTATATCTGATCACTCTACACCTGGCACACTTACGACCGCCTCGACGGACACACAGCTATAACTCAGGGTATACTGATGGCTAACCCACTGTCCACCCGGCCAGGTACCAGCTGAACCCAGACCGCATTAAGGATGAGGTCATCACAAACATCCTCGTCAAGGCAATGACCGCCTTCCCGTCACCACAGTTCAACCTCGCCCTGCACCTCCTCGCCCCTTCATCCCTCGCCCCCGGCACCGAGCTGTCCGAGGCCGTCACCAAGCTCCGAGCCCTCAACGCACACCTCCAGGGCGCATCCTTCAGCCGCTTCTGGGCCACCCTCGACTCGGACGACCTGTATGCCGATCTGACCACCGACATCGACGGTTTCGAGGACACCATCCGCGTCCACATCGCCCAGATTGTCAGCGAAGCCTTTAGGGAAGTGCAGATCGACATTCTGGAGGGTTGGCTCGGCCTGGAGGGTAAGGACGCCGTCCAGAAGTATGTCACCGACACATGCGGCTGGAAGGTCGAGGGCGACAAGGTGCTCGTCCCCAAGAACGCCGACAACGAGGCCAAGAAGGCAGAGATCAGGGAGGACGTCAACGTGGACATGTTCGCACGGATCATCCGGAGGTCATGGGAGGAAGTTGCCTAAACGTCCCGCAATGAGTGGACGACCAGGGGAGAGCCCGAGCCCAGATGGGCGAGAAAGAGGTGGGCTTTCGGACCGTGGCATGGTTGCATTTAGCACATTGGCGTTAGGGACGGTGGGATACTCTCGGGCCCGAATATGGCCTGATCGATCGATGACTTGGTAGCCGGGCGTTCGCCGAGCTGAGGAATAAAAAAGTCTATAATTGCCTCCATCCATCTCTTGCAGCCTCGCGTTGCACATATACCATTTGCCCATCAGGATATACCCATACCGGCCAAGACCTACAACAACATCACGCCGCCTGTCCCCGGCAGGGTTGGATTTTCAGTCTCCCACCAAGTTCAACGAGAGCCCCTGGATGTCCGTGTGTCATCCCGCCATGAGAACCAGACACGTCTGATCTAGTCTCAAGTGGCTGTCACTTGCTTCCGTCGTGACCACAGACCGTGATCGCATGGACTGAACGGACCTGTTCCTACACGCTCGGACAAGAAGTGGAGAGTGACAAGTCCATCAGCTACCGTCATCGTCGAACGACCTACCCAGCCTCAAGTTGATTGCCCTTCTGTCAAAGGCTTGATGGCTTACCAGACCTGTCAGCTCAATGATGATCTCTTGGCACGCAGTGTAAACTTCGGTTCGCTTGCAAGGCTAGCGGGTGTGCACAATGCAAATACTTAGGTAGACGAGGGCTTCTTAATCCATCTTTATTGCACCTGCCGCTCATTTACGGGCATCGACACAACGTGTCTTGGATGAACACAGAGTATGCTGACCCGCAAGTGTGGCTGTTTGGCAAACAAAGACTTCAAGACCGTGAAGTACCCACTCCATCAACTAACATGGTTTACGGACTGGGACTCAAGGAATGAAGCCACTAAACACTGGTCCCAGCTGGCCTAGACGGTATTTCCGTAACGAGCATTCACACAGCTCATCATGTTCAAAAGGTAACAAATGCTGCATGGCTTTCGACGGCTGCTTTGACTATATACGAGTGTAAAGAAGTAAATACAGGAGAATTCGGGCCAATGGCCAAGTGCCTCGTGTCTCAATCCGAGGAAGACTCATCTTTCTCCTCGGCCTGGGCAAGTTGAGAATCTAGCAGGTGAAGACATCAGGGCCGGGGACGATGTATGATGTGACAGGCGGAGTACTATGAATTCATGTCAGCAGTTTCCAATAGTGAGGTGTTGGGGTCACATACAATGTTGATTTTGACACCGGGGTCAGTTCCCTGTTAATCGACTGTCAGCTCACACACAATGACCCGGGAAAAAAAGAAGAAAAGGCGTCGGAAGGGGGTGGGAGCTCAACAACAGTCACTCACCTTGTAAGCACCAGGGAAGCTGACGGTGTTAGAAGGCGTCTTGGCCCCCGTGCCGCCAACGACGTTGACCTGGGCACACTCTGTGTAGAACTGAGCTCCAGGGTAGTTGCCAGCGCCATGCAGGGCGATCATCTCGGCGCGGAGGAGGTACTGGCCGGGAGCAATGCACTCGGGGATCTTGATCTGGTGCTTGCCCTGGCCGTTAATGACCTTCTCGGTTCCCCAGATTCCGTTGCTAAGGCCGTCCTGTTGAATCTTGAACCAGCCGCCGCCGACGCCAGTGTCGGTCGTCGCGTCCGACACCTTCTTGAGGTAGGCGAGCGTCGGGCCCTTGTGCGAGATGTCCATGACGTCGGCTGGGCCCGAGCCAGTCGTGCTGAGCGTGTAGCGCCAGACTGCGGTGACTGTGGAGCCGGCCTGGACGGTAATGACCTTAGAGGTCGGGGTCGTTGGGTTTGGGGGCCCGTTGCAGGCTATCGAGTTGGAGGTCACATCCTCGATCGGGCCGTTGTACGAGGGCACGCGGACGCCGTTGCCTACGCCCTGGTTTGTGCCGCCGACTTCGAGGGAGGAGAAAATAGTGTGGGCGCTTGCCAGCGAGGCAGTGAGGATGGGAATGAGAACTTTCATTGCGGTTGATTTTTTGTAAGTCAAAATTGAAAAAGATGATTAGATCGAATTCTGAAGAGAAAGTGAGAATGCTGTGCTTGCTCGCTAATGTATTGTGAGGGGGTCTCTTCGAAATGGGAATTTTTCAACAGCTTTATATGGACTTCAAGAGTCATTTGCAATCTACTCAGATGCCAGCTGACTGCAATTAGTCTCACTGTCACGGAGTCTCGAGCCGTGGGAGCGACGAGGTTGTGTGTTTGGGCCTGTGCCCAGGAGCCAAGACTGGCAGGACGGCGAGACATCAGCCGTGATGTTTATGGAAATCCATTGGTAGCCCAATATTGAAATGTTTCAACGCCAACGAACTCGCCGTCGAACTCAAGTCTCGAGTCCAGTCTCAATGCCTTGATTCTCGTTGACATAAAGCAGACAACCAAACTCACGTTAATCATAGAAAGTTTGTGTTCCTTTCAGTATCAGGCTATATCTGAAAACCCTAAATTAATATATCGTATTGGGAAGAGATGGCGTTTTATCTCAAATCACTGACGGCACAGCGACTTCACACCTTGAGCTTGATAATCGAGGCACTTTTACTTCCACAAGCTCGCTAAATTCCCTGAGTCTGACGATTAAGACAATGCAAGGGCAGCATTATGATAGGACTTGGACGTGGTGATTCTATTTCCGGCTTGGGATTTCCTGTCAGCCACTAGACACATCACCCTGTGGCGCTTGACTGTAGTGGTCTAGCTAGCATGGTCGGAGGGCAGGTTCGGCTCTGCTGCCGAGTCTTGGCTACCTCCGGCTCCCGAAATGTATGAATTCGGCACTAGCGTCCGGAGTTGGTCACTGGGTAAGCTCGTGAGCTGAACGCAAACACCTTGGCATTGTAACTCTTATGTTGTTTACATAAGCGCGCAGAGGCGGTGCTATCCGGCAGTGTAACAGGACGTGAATGATGTATACCAAGCGCCGAAGAAGGAAGGTCAAATGGTACGAGAGCGGGGACTATCGCGTTGAAGATAATGGAACTGTCGGCGTCGTGAATTATCTCGGGGCTGCGGAGGTGGTGTTTGTTGCTTCTCTCTTGCAAACATTTCGTTGGCTCTGTGTTTCTCATCGCTGCAGATGAGCTTGATTGCAAGATGCTGCCTTTTCCGTCTCTGTGGGCTTTCGCCTGTGTAGCTGCTCTGATCAAGCCGTCCTTAGGTCAATTTCCTCCGGCACCCGAGGGAGTGACGGTACTTAATTCGAAGTTCAATGAGAACATCACGATTAGCTACAAAGAGGTGTGCCCCAAGACTTGCCTTCAACGTTGAGACGAGATGAGACTAACAAACCAAGCCCGGACTCTGCGAAACAACCGAGGGCGTGAAGTCGTACGCCGGATACATTCATCTCCCTCCCGGAACCCTCGAGGGCGTGGGCCAAGAGCAGGACTATGCCATCAACACGTTCTTCTGGTTCTTCGAAGCCAAGAATGATCCTGAGAATGCCCCTCTCTCAATTTGGTTGAACGGCGGCCCCGGCAGCTCTTCGATGCCTGGTATCTTCAACGAGAATGGTCCCTGCTACATCAATGAGGATTCCAATTCTACGACCCTCAGAGACTGGTCATGGAATGACAATGGTAGCTACCCACACCATGACCTAACCTGTTGCCCCTGGACCTTGACTCACACATAAATAGTCAACATGCTGTACATTGATCAGCCTGTTCAAGTCGGGTTCTCATACGACTCCCTGCGGAATGTCACCAGGGACTTGTTTGCCGGAGTACAAACTCTGAACGCTTCCGATCCAATACCGGAACAAAATGCCACGTTCCAGACAGGCACGTATGCGAGTGGCGACCGCAATACGACAAGCTGGGGTAGCCGAAACGCCGCCATCGCCCTGTGGCATTTCTCCCAGGTATGGTTCCAAGAGTTCCCTGGCTACCACCCCAACGACGACCGAATCAGCATTGCCACGCAGTCTTATGGTGGCCGCTATGGGCCGGCCTTTGCAGCCTACTTCCAGGAACAGAACGAGAAGATTGAGAATGGTACCTGGGACGGCACCGATGGGGAGAAGTACATCTTGGACCTGGACACGCTGCTCATCGTCAACGGCTGCATCGATCGTCGAGTCCAATGGCCTTCATACCCCGAGATGGCCTTCAATAACACATATGGAATCGAGACAGTCAACGAGACGGTCTATGAAGGAATGGTGGACGCATTTTACCGTGAGGGCGGTTGCCGAGACCGGATCGACGCCTGTCGTGAGATCTCAGCCATCTATGACCCAGATAACATCGGCATCAACGCAACTGTCAACGATATTTGCGAGGATGCTGAGACGTATTGCACGAACAACGTTCGAGACCCATACCTTGAGATCTCTGGTCGCGACTACTACGATGTTACCCAGATTGACCCAACACTATTCCCGCCGCCGTTTACCCCAGGCTATCTCAACCAGGAGTGGGTTCAATCGGCCCTCGGCGTCCCGTTGAATTTCAGCGGTAGCTCGTCCGCATCTTCGTCGGCATTCCGCGACATCGGTGACTATCCTCGTCCAGGCTGGATCGAGGACATTGCGTATCTGCTAGAGAACGGAATCAAGGTCTCACTTGTATACGGCGATCGAGACTTCGCATGCAATTGGATTGGCGGCGAGCAAGTATCCCTCGCCATCCCATGGGAAGAACAAGACAACTTCGCTGCATCAGGCTACCAGCCCCTCGTGACCAACAGCAGCTACGAGGGCGGCCAGGTGAGACAGTACGGCAACCTGTCGTTCATCAGGGTATACCAGGCCGGCCACGCCACTCCTTCCTATCAGCCTGAGTCCGCCTACCGTATCTTTAACCGGGCTCTTTCCAACCGCGACATTGCAACCGGCGAGATCGATACCGCGACAAATACTACATATGGTACTGTAGGTCCGGCAGACACCTTTGGAATCAAGAATGAGGTGCCCCCTCAGTACGAAGACTTCTGTTATGTGCTTGACCCAAGCACGTGTACAGAGGAGCAGGTTGCGGCTCTGCGTGACGGCACTGCTGTCATCGAGAACTATATTATGACCGAGCCAGCTTATACCACTGACTCGATTCGTGGTGTCAAGGTTATGGCACGAGAAATGTGAGTTTCCCTCGATCTTGGTTTCGAGATAATCACTATATTGACTATCATGCAGAATTGATGGGCAGTAGATGAGGGCGTGTGACAAGATCTACTTATATACAAACAAATACTGTAAACAGCTCTGGGGTATGTGCTTTTGCTCACGCCAGTCACTACTATCACTGCGAACGTCATTTTGACAAGAATGAACATGGGAACGCCAAAGGTTCTTGACGGAAGACGATGGGTGCAATAGTGCTCCTCCTTCCCAACTTGGATATCTTGCTCTTCTAGTTAACGTATCTCTTGTCATTTTCCTATCATGTCCTTGCTCAGCCGCAACAGACAACGGGTCCAGATGTGAAAGATGCAAAGTCAAACCGCTCGACCATCGCCAAGTCCGTCACCGGGGCGCCTCAAAGTGTGCTTAATCAAACGGCGACATGTGTATACATTGGTCGCTGATTATTCACCGTCCGTCGCACGACTTTCATTCGTGTCTTCGGTGCTCACACCGCATCCTCCGAAGCGGCGAGCTTTGCAGCGGAATTTCTTTTTTATGCCGCACTTTCAGCTACGCCACAAAGCGCCTCAGGTCGACGGGAATACCATTTTGTGAGACCAGTCTCGGCTGAAGACAGCGGTTTCCGCTTTTCTGCATGAAGGGTGGCCGATTATTCGCTCCGGAGACTGGCAGATATGCAGACCCAATCAAGCGAAGCCCTGTAGGTGACGCAAATCTCGTCTCGCTCTACTTTTGCTGCCAACCACAGTGACACCCTACGTGCAGCTAGAACCCGGCCGAAGTGAGAGTACAGTCCACCGCGAATTGGGCTCCCATACAAGCATATGATGCGTTCAATTCGGGCGGGTTAACTCACCTGGGAGAGATTGTCTTCTGTAGGGGTTATAAGTGGCCTTTGGGCCTTCAGTTGAGTGGAATATTGTCCTCACGCAAAGCCCCATTCTAAATCAAATTCCTAGATAATCTTCTCACACCACTGTTGCACTATTCTGCCGCTATTGCATCAAGTCATCCTTCGAGTGCTTCGAACCGAGGGCCTTCAATTGTGCCGGAGTCGAAGCCTCAGCCGATGGCTCCTCCATGCTGGGACATGGAAACTGTGATCAAGGAAGAGTTGGAACTCTTCGTTAGCCGTGAGTTTGATTTGAAGGTGAATCATACTACCACTCAGCAACTGATCTTGTTCAAGTGAGAAACAAGCACGAGAAGGCAAGCCCTGCTAGTTCCCCTCCAGACACACCGTTCACGGATGTAGAATGCGGCCGCTGGGAAGATGCTCCCAACTCGAAATGTCACGCATCGTTTGGCGATCAGGGAACGACCGCAACTGTCGGCGCCTTCGGACAATTGATCCAGTTCAGTGATCACCTCGATGCGTGAAGGTCTGGCATGTTCTGCGCGGACCACACGAGCGTGCCGGAGCCGTACTGCGTGAAAGACAGAACAAGTAAGCTTCACGAACTGTTACAGCAGCCATTCCACTGTGGCCTGGCACTTAGAGATGAGCCATTGTCTATGCTCAGTTCATCTGAATATTCATCAAACTTCAGCGAAATGTTTCCGGGTGGTAACCCATGCTACGGTCTCAGGTTGCCAGGTCTTGTCCTGAGGCCCGGCATACAACCAAGTTTCAAGTGGATCCACTGGAGATGGCCATGCTATGAATATTCTCCAGGCCAGTTTGAAAACGCTCCAGGACTGAAATTGACGATACAGTGGATGGTTCGCAACGGAACTCTCCTGTAACGATGCGTCTTCGAGAACCATGGCGCAGATGATATTCATATGAATTTGGACTTCGGAAAATCCATGGTGATCAGAGACTTGGACCACCTCGAACCTCATTACAGTTTCAACCAAGACAAATACGGTCATCATGACAGCAGGCCAGGACCAGGCGGCTACAGTTGGGTCTGTGTACATAAGTTCAACTCGAAACACAACCTCGCCTCCTTTACCGTACATGAGCAAAGCCATGAGCATGAATCTCAAGAACCGCTCCAGGATAACCAACCTCTCATCGTTGAACCAGAAACGCCTGCTTACTCAAGATCGAAGCGAGCCGGGAAGAAGTCATACGGAATATCTGCCATTTCCTGTGTCACTATGGATGGACGGATGCAGGAGTTCGAAGACAGCATCACTCCGCAGAGCTGGCCCGTGGTCGTGGAGACCTCGCGGTCATCAGAAAAACCTCTTGAGGTAACGGTAGCATACGCAATGAGGTTTCTCGAAGCCCCGATAACTGATTGGAAAGCCCATTTGATTCGACAGGAAGATATGAGAGTCGATCAGTTTCTTCGAGAAGACCAACCAGGCCGATCAATATCCTTTTGCAATCCCGAGCCATCCAAGGGAACCACACCGAGTAGTGAGCAGACAGGGCAGCCACCACAAAATCACCTGGAATTTGCGGCTCGCCAACATCTTGAGCATATACTCTCGGTTTGCGCTGTTAATGTGGGACCATACACACATGGCACCACCGATATCAGTATTTCGCCGGCTCTATGTTAGGGATCTTCATGCAGGAAAAGGGATTGGCTTGGAAAAGAACCTCCGGCACTTATTCATTTTGGAAAATAATGCAGCTTTTTTAATGCTTAAGAGCATTATAAGAGCTGCTCCCTTTATAAAAAGAGGGAACCTTAAGAATAAAGAAAGAAAGAAAGGGAAGAATTAAGTTTAATTATATTTTATTTTTTAAATAAATTATTTAAGCATTTTTTATATATTACTTATATATTATATATTCTTAATTACTTTACTTATATTTAATTACTTTTATAATTTAAATTTTTAAATTTTATTAAGGAAATAAATTAATTAAAATATTAATATAATATTATTTTAATAATATTATAATTTATAATATAATATTATAATATTTAAATAAAATAAGCTTAATACTTTTATTATTAAATTAAAAATTTAATTTATTATTAATTTTAATATTTAATTTTTATTAATTTAATTTTTAAAATTAAATATATTACTTTTTATTAAAAATAATATTATGCCTTTATACTTTTATTATTAAATTAAAAATTTAATTTATTATTAATTTATAATTTAATCTTTATTAATTTAATTTTTAAAATTAAATATATTACTTTTTATTAAAAATAATATTATGTTTTTATACTTAAGCATTAAAAAAAATATTAATAAAATAATTATTTATAGCCTTACTTTTAAATATTAAAAATAAAAATTAAATTAATAATTAAAAAAAAAGATTAAGTAATATCTTTATATTAAATATATAAAGTTAATATTATTTATAAATAATAAAAATAAATTAAAAGGCTATTATATACTTAAAAGCTTTATTAAAAATTAATTTTTTATATTTTTTATAAATAAAAATATTATTTATAATATATATAAGCTATTTAATTAACTTATTAACTTGTTTTTCTTAATTTATTAAGGTTTATTTTTTTTAAAATTAAATACCTTTTTATATAATTTTTAATATTACTTTTATTTATATTATTTAAAAATTAATTAAAAAAATTAAATATATTATATATTATTTAAAAAATGCTTTTAAATAAGATTAAATTAGCTATATTACTTAATTAAAATTAATAAGCTAAAATCCTTATTTTTTACTTTTTAAAAAACTTAAAGAATTTCTTTAAAATTAATTAATTAATTTAATTATTTATATAATTATTATAATTATAAAGTATATAAGCTTTATATAAAATAAATATAAATTTATTATAAATTTTATTTAATAATATTAAGAAAATAAAATAAAGATTAATTATATTATTAATAATATTAAATAAATTGCTAATATTATTAATTATTTTTAATATAATATATATATTATTATTAACTTATAAATATAACTTTTAAATATTTAAAGTAATTTTTTTAAGCTTATTTAAAAAATAAAAGTTATTATTATTATAGCCTTATTTATTATATTTAATATAAATATAATTTAATTATAAAATAATTATAATGCCTTTAATAATTATTAAGCTTTTTATAGCTATTATTATTAATAAAGTTATATTATTTAATAATATTAATTATAATAATTAAACTTAATAAATATTATAATATTTAAAATTATATATAATAATAATATTATAATTTTAATTAGCTTAAATAACTTATTTATTACTTTTTAAGTAACTTATTATAATTATTAATAAAAGGGGCTTTATTTTAAGGTATATTTTAAATTATAAAAAAGTAATTATTATATTTATAATATAAAGAGTTATTATAATAATAATTATTTTAATTAAGTATGCTAAGTTTATTATTAAAAGGGGTATATTATAGCTAATTACTTTTAAATATTAAATATTAATAAAAAACTTTTATAAATATAATAAGTTAATATAAATATAATTTATAAATAATAATAACTTAGCTTTAATATTATTGTTTAAATTAATAATTATATAAAATATTTTTATATTTTAATAAACTTTAAAGCTAAAAAAACTTAATTAATTATAATATAATTAATATATATAAATAGCGTTATTATTTTAATAATAAGCCTTAATTAATGACTTTAAATTAAAAATTATTATTTACTTATAATAATTACTTTATCTTTATTAAATTATATACCTTTACAAGCATTACTTATATATAATATTATTGCTTTATAATAATAAATCTTTTTAATTATAATATAATTCTTAAATACCCTTAATTAAAAGCTATTAATTTTATAATTTAATTAAGTTAGTATTATTAATAATTCTTAATTTAATAAAAATAACTTAATATAAAATTAATACTTAAATAGCTTTTATATAATAAGGTATTAGCTATTATAATTACTTATTTATTATTAATAACCTTAAGTTAAAAGTTAATAAAAGCTTTAAGGGCTAAGGAAAAAATATAATTAATAAGCAGCATTTATTTAATAAATATATTAAATTTAAGAATTTTTATTTTAATAATAATATTAAAACTTTAATTAAATATTTCTTAATTAATTATAAGATTAAGCTAAAAGAAAAAGTATAGCTATTATAAGGCTTATTATATTTACTTTTAAAAGCAAAACTAAAAACGCTTAAAAGCTACTTAAATAATATATTAATATAAAAATAAATTTAATTTTTTATTAATTTTATTAATATATTTATTATATTTATGTTTAAAAAGAAAGGTAAGCTATGCCTTTATATTAATTATTATGCATTAAATTAACTTATATATAAAGATTATATATTGCTATTATTTATTATAAAAATTCTTAATTAATTAATCAAGGTATAAATTTATATTAAATTAAATATAAAAAAAGCATAATATTATCTTAAAATCTATATAAATAATAAGTAAAAAATAGCCTTTTATATAAAATATAAAAACTTTAAATATTTAATTATATTATTTAAATTAATTAATATATTAATTATATTTTAAGCTTATATTAATTATGCCTTAATAAAGTTAATTAATATTTATTATATTATTTATTTAAATAATATTTTAATTTATAGCAATAATTATAATATATATATATAATATATATATAATATATTTAAATACTTATATTAATAAAACCTTTATTTTAATATAATTAAGTATAAGTTTAAAGTAACTTAAATTAAATCTTTAAGCTTTATAATTATTTAAAAAGGAATTTTTATAAAGCATAATTAAGTTATAATTATTTTAAAATAGCTTTTTTTGCGTAATATTTATAATATTTATATATTTTTTAAATATATAGGATTTTATTAATAATTTATAAAAAAGTTTTTAAAAATCACGATGCCCTTAATTAATTGCTTAAAAGAAAGTATTTTAAGTTTTTTAATGTTTTTAATTAATATATAAGCTGCATTTAAGTATATTAAGTTACTTTTTATTATAACTTTTTTATTAAGATATTTTAATTTTATACTTTATATATAATTTAAAATTAATATATTTATAAAGGTTATTAATATAATTATTTTTTAATTATTTAAAGAATAATAATACTTTATTATTTTTTGCTTATAAAAATTAATATTATTAAAAATATATTATAAAGTAAGTAATTAAAAGTTATTTATAATTATTAATATTATTATAATTTAAAGGTATTACTTTTATTATACTTAAAAGCTAATAATAATAATTATTAATTACCTTAACCTTAAATATTAATATATAAAAAGGAACTTATTAATATAATAACTATATTAACTTAATATATTAATAGTTATAAATATAATTATTAATTATTAATTAAGAGCAAAGAATTTAATAAATAAGCTTTTAAGAAAATTAAATTATATATATATAAGAATAGCTATAAATAAGCTATATAAGTTTTATAAGTTTATTTAACTAATATATAATAACATAAATAAATATAATTATAAGATTAATTATAT